ACGGGCCCTCGAGGCCGCGCTTCTTGGCCGCACCGCCCTCCCCTTCATCGCGGGCACGCACGCGCGCACGGTACAGCTCCATCAGCTCCGGGAAGTCGTGGTCCGCCACCCTCGTGCCGATCTCGTCGTCCTCGTAGTCGCAGTTCCGCACCTTGTAGTCCATGATCAGACTGCCCAGGCTCGCCTTCACAACCTCCACGTCCTGCGGCGACACGTGCAACGCGTCCGCCACGCCCTTCTTGAAGGCGCTGTTCGCGTCCTCCGGGCCGCCCTCCAGCACGATGTCCCAGTCGTCGCCCTCAAACACGCGCTGCATCGCACCGGACTCGCGGTCGCCACGGCCACCGAAGCCGGCGCCACGGTCCTTCTCCGCCGCAGCCTCCTCCTCGGTGTGGTAGAGCTCCCACACGGCCGGGAAGGGGTACGTCTCCAGCGTCCTCTCCGCCTTTTCGGTACGGATCCCCGCGGCGCTCACGTTGTAGTGCACCTTCATGCCCTCGTCGTCGGCGCCGATGGACTCCACCTCCACGTCGGCCGGCTCCACCTCGAGCGCCGCCGCCGTGTCCTGGCGGAAGGCTTCTGCCACGCCCGCCTCGTCCGAATTGATGACTGCTGCCCAATGGGGGCCCTCGAAGTGCTTTTGCCCTTGTGCGACGGCCGCCTCGTGCTCCTCGTATAGGGCCCACACACGCGGGAATTCGTAGCGGCTGAGATCCTCCTGCAGCATCTCGTCATCCTGCAGGGGCGAGTGGCGCACGACGATGACCAGCGTCACGCCCGTCGCCTCTACCGTGGGCCTCGCGTCCTGCACGTCCTTCTCCTCCAGCGCGAGTGCGTCGGCCGTGTCCAGGCGAACCGCGGTCACCACGTCGGCCTCCTTGTCCTCCATCACATCGCCCCACCCCTCGCCCTCGAAGAAGATGGTGTGCTCCGTCGTCACAAGATCGTTGGGGTCGTAGGGGCGTATCTCATACAGAGCCCACAGCTCCTCGAAGGGGTGTTCGCGCAGGGCAGTCTGGATCGTGTCGTAGTCCTGCGCGAGGGGGTGTGTCACGCGGGCACCGAGGACCATTCCATCGTCCGTCTTCTCCATGTCGATGTCCCTGATATCCTCCGGCTGCACGCCGATGGCGTCGGCCACGCCCTTCGCAAAGGCCTCTCGCACCTCGTCCTCCTTCTTCCCCCAGGTGTAGTCCCAGTCCACGCCCTCGAAGCCGCAGTCCTGCAGCGTCGTGCTAGACGGGCCCTCGAGGCCGCGCTTCTTGGCCGCACCGCCCTCCCCTTCATCGCGGGCACGCACGCGCGCACGGTACAGCTCCATCAGCTCCGGGAAGTCGTGGTCCGCCACCCTCGTGCCGATCTCGTCGTCCTCGTAGTCGCAGTTCCGCACCTTGTAGTCCATGATCAGACTGCCCAGGCTCGCCTTCACAACCTCCACGTCCTGCGGCGACACGTGCAACGCGTCCGCCACGCCCTTCTTGAAGGCGCTGTTCGCGTCCTCCGGGCCGCCCTCCAGCACGATGTCCCAGTCGTCGCCCTCAAACACGCGCTGCATCGCACCGGACTCGCGGTCGCCACGGCCACCGAAGCCGGCGCCACGGTCCTTCTCCGCCGCAGCCTCCTCCTCGGTGTGGTAGAGCTCCCACACGGCCGGGAAGGGGTACGTCTCCAGCGTCCTCTCCGCCTTTTCGGTACGGATCCCCGCGGCGCTCACGTTGTAGTGCACCTTCATGCCCTCGTCGTCGGCGCCGATGGACTCCACCTCCACGTCGGCCGGCTCCACCTCGAGCGCCGCCGCCGTGTCCTGGCGGAAGGCTTCTGCCACGCCCGCCTCGTCCGAATTGATGACTGCTGCCCAATGGGGGCCCTCGAAGTGCTTTTGCCCTTGTGCGACGGCCGCCTCGTGCTCCTCGTATAGGGCCCACACACGCGGGAATTCGTAGCGGCTGAGATCCTCCTGCAGCATCTCGTCATCCTGCAGGGGCGAGTGGCGCACGACGATGACCAGCGTCACGCCCGTCGCCTCTACCGTGGGCCTCGCGTCCTGCACGTCCTTCTCCTCCAGCGCGAGTGCGTCGGCCGTGTCCAGGCGAACCGCGGTCACCACGTCGGCCTCCTTGTCCTCCATCACATCGCCCCACCCCTCGCCCTCGAAGAAGATGGTGTGCTCCGTCGTCACAAGATCGTTGGGGTCGTAGGGGCGTATCTCATACAGAGCCCACAGCTCCTCGAAGGGGTGTTCGCGCAGGGCAGTCTGGATCGTGTCGTAGTCCTGCGCGAGGGGGTGTGTCACGCGGGCACCGAGGACCATTCCATCGTCCGTCTTCTCCATGTCGATGTCCCTGATATCCTCCGGCTGCACGCCGATGGCGTCGGCCACGCCCTTCGCAAAGGCCTCTCGCACCTCGTCCTCCTTCTTCCCCCAGGTGTAGTCCCAGTCCACGCCCTCGAAGCCGCAGTCCTGCAGCGTCGTGCTAGTCGGGGCGGCGTCCTTGTTGTTCTCCTCCTCCTGGTAGAGCTCCCACACCGACGGGTAGGGGTGATCCTGAACGCTGGAGTCCGCCTTCGCCTTCTCCGTCTCACCGACCGCGGTCGGAGCAGAGAAGGTGATGCGCAGCTCCTCCGGCGAGGCCGTCACTCCCGTCACCTCCACCTCCTCTGGCGTCACACCAGGCAGCGCATCGGCAGAGTCCTTCCGGAACGCCTCCTTCAGCTCGTCCGGGCAGTTGTTCGCCACCGGCTCCCACGCCGTGCCGGGGAAGGTCTTCTCGTAGTCCGCCATCACCTTCTCGTCCTCCATCGCGTAGCACTTCCACACCTCCGGGTAGGCGTACGACTCACTGCGCTGCTCAATCTCCTCCTCCTTGAACCACTCGCCAAGCAGCGTGTACTCCACCGTCAGCCCCGCATCCGCCGTCGTCTCGGTGTCCTTCACGTCGATGAAGCGCGGGGGCAGGTTCAGCATGTTGCTCGTGTCAATGCGGAACGCATTGAGGACCTCCGATGAATGCGCCTCCATCTTCTGCGGCCACAGCGCACCTGGGAAGTTCTTGCACATGCTGTTGCTCTCTACCGAAGACTCGTACAAGGCCCAGACGTGCTCGTACTCGTAGCGGCCGAGTTCCTCCTGGAGGAGGTCGTTGTCCTGCAGCGGCGAGTGGCGGACCTTAATGCGCGTAATCAGCCCGGATTCCGTCGCCGTGTTCTTCACCTCCATGACGTCCTCGTTCTCTATGTTGAGGGCGGCTGCAGTGTCCTCGACCACGGCGCGACGCAGCGCCTCGCCCTGCATCTCGCACACCACGTCCCACGCGTCGCCCTCGAAGGTGAGCTCGTGCAGCGTAACCACCTTCTCGTCTTCGTCGTAGGGGCGGGTGCAGTACAGGGCCCACATCTCCTCGTAGGGGTACTTCCGCAGCTCCTCCTGCAGCTCGTCGCGGCTGCGGTTTGCGTTGTGGGTTACCTGGCACGTGATGACGATGCCGTCCGCGGCCGGCTCAATCCTCAGGTCGTTCACGTCCGACGCGGGCACCGTGATGCCGTTACCGGTGGCTGTCTTGAAGGTGCGCTCCAGCTCTTCGCGGTTGTGCTGGACTACGTAGTCCCAGTCGTCGCCTTCGAAACCGATGTCGTGCTCCGTCGTCACCTTGTCCTCGTCGGTGTAGGGATGGGCGCCGTAGAGCCCCCACACACGCTCGTATGGGCACTTCTTCAGCTGCTGGTCCACCTCCTCCTCCGTCTCCGCCTCCGGGTGCTCGACGTCGAACTCCGCCAACATCTGCGTGTCGTTCGTCATGCGGATGTTCTGAATCTGCTCCGGCGCACAGCCAAGCTGCTCAGCCGAGTCAGCGGCAAAAGCCTCGCAAATGGCGTCCTCGTTCGTCTTCAGGGCGTAGGGCCAGTCCTCGCCGTCGAAGCCCACCTGATGCTGCGTCGTCTTCGTCGGGCCCTCGAGGCCGCGCTTCTTGGCCGCACCGCCCTCCCCTTCATCGCGGGCACGCACGCGCGCACGGTACAGCTCCATCAGCTCCGGGAAGTCGTGGTCCGCCACCCTCGTGCCGATCTCGTCGTCCTCGTAGTCGCAGTTCCGCACCTTGTAGTCCATGATCAGACTGCCCAGGCTCGCCTTCACAACCTCCACGTCCTGCGGCGACACGTGCAACGCGTCCGCCACGCCCTTCTTGAAGGCGCTGTTCGCGTCCTCCGGGCCGCCCTCCAGCACGATGTCCCAGTCGTCGCCCTCAAACACGCGCTGCATCGCACCGGACTCGCGGTCGCCACGGCCACCGAAGCCGGCGCCACGGTCCTTCTCCGCCTGGCTCTCCTCGTACAGGTTCCAAAGGCGCGGGTAATCGTAGTGGTGCACACGCTCCCTCTCCGCCGCCTGCGCCTCCTCATCCGCGGCCTCCTCAATAGGACGAAGGCAGTACTGCACGTGCAGCCCGGAGTCGTCCGCGGTAGCCTGATACAGCTCCACGGCGTCCAGCGGGATGTCGACGGCGTTGGCCGTGTCCTGGCGGAAGGCGTCCGCCACCTCGTCCGGCTTCGCATCAAGCACGCCCTCCCAGCCCTCACCCTCGAAATCGCGCTGGTCAGCCGCCTCACCGCCGTAGAGACGCCACACGCTCGGGTAGGGGCACTGCCGGGCTGCCTTCTCCATCTCGTCGTCCTGCAGGCTCGAGCCATGCACGACGTACGTCACGGTGAGGCCGTCCTCGTCTGTGGCGGTCATCTCCATCACCTCCACCTCCAGGCGCGAGACGTGCATGTTCTTGGCCGTGTCCTCCGCGAAGGCGCGCTTCAGCTCGGCGTTGTGCTCCGCCTCCACTTGCGGCCAGCGCGCGCCGTCAAACTTCTTGACGAGGTCTGACGACGGGGCCACAAGCTCGTACAGCGCCCACACGCGCTCGAACGGGGAGTCCGATAGGTTCTGGTCGATCTCCTCCGCCGGCGTCGTGCGCAGGTGCTTGATGTACACCATCACGGTGAGGTTGTCGTCGAGGGCCTCCATCCGCACGTCAACGACGGCCTCTGCATCGAGCTCAGTCGCCTCGGCCGAGTCGTCCGAGATGGCACGGGCGACCTCCCATCGGCGGCGGCGCACCAAGTAGTCCCAGTGGCGGGCCTCGAAGCTGAGGGCGTGGGCGGTGGTGATCGTCTCGTCCTGGTAGAGTGCCCACACATCCGGGTAGGCGCAGTTCTCCGTCTTCTCCGTCATCGCTTCGTCGCTCAGCGGGACTGCGACTGCCTTCTCCCCGTTGACTTCCTCGTCCTCCGGAGCGGCAGCCGGTGCCGGCTGCTCCACGTCGTAGCCGATATACATGGCCTCCTCATCCGTGCGAACCGAGCGCACGACGACGTCCTCCGGGGCCACGCCGAGGGCATCAGCCGTGTCCTTCTGGAACGCCTCCGTGATCTCAGGGCGGCTGTTGTGCACGCACTCCTCCCAGTTGTCGCCAGGGAAGTCCTTGCGGTGCGCACCGGCGTCTTCGACGTCGTCGGTTTCCTCGGCGTCGCCAACAGGCATGGCGCGCTCGGCGTTGGCACCCTCCTCACCGACCTCGCCACTGCGCATGCGACGACGGTACAACCCCATCACCTCTGGGAAGTCGTCCGCGTCGATGTGCTCGCGAATCTCGTCATCATCGCCAGGCGGGTTCTTGATCTGGTACTTGAGAATGAGACTGCCGATCTCGGTGCTGATGACGGTCACGTTCTCCACTGGCACGCCAAGGACGCGGGCGGTGTCCTTCTTGAACGCCTCATTGAGCTCCTCTGGGCATCCGTCGACGAGGATGTCCCAGTCGTCGCCCTCGAAGCGGCGCTCGAGAATGCCGGACTCCGTCTCTTCGACGGGCGTGATCGGTGCGTTCTCGTAGAGCGCCCACACGCGCTCGTAGGAGGAGCGGCCCAGCTGCTCCTTGATCAGTTCCTGGTCCTGCAGTACTGGGTGCTGGACGTCCATCGTCAGCAGCAGCAGGTTGCCGTCCTTGAAACTCATCTGAATGTTCGTCACGTCGTTCGGGGTCACGTCGAGGGCCTCGGCTGTGTCGAGCGTGATCGCCTCGCGCAGCTGATCAGGCTGCGTTTCGACGACCTTGTTCCACTCGTCACCCTCGAAGCCGACCTCCTGGGTGGTCGTCTCGACCTCGGTGGGGATGTACGGGTGGTCGATGTAGAGGTCCCACACTGGCACGTAGCCGCAGTCGGCCAGGCGCTTGTCCACGTCGGCCTCGGACAACTCCTCCATGTGCTTGACGTCGAAGGTGGCGAGAAGCGAGCTGTCCGTCGCCTCCACCACCAGGTTCGTGATGTCCTCATCGCCCAGGTCCAGCGCCGCACACGTGCAGGTGCGAAAGGCCTTCTCGAGGGCCTCGCGGTTCGCCGACGTGACGTAGCCCCAGTCGTCGCCGTCGAAGCCGACCTGGTGCGAGGTGGTGACCAACCCCTCGTTCGGGTCGTCCTCGTAGAGGGCCCACGTCTCTTCGTATGCGTAGCGGCTCAGCTGCTCCTGAATGAGATCATTGTCTTGGAATATGTGGTGCGTCACCGTCGTCTTCACCATTAGCGACTTCTCCACGTAGTCGATAGAGTCGATCGCCACGTCCTCCTCCTCCGTCTCGAGCGCGATGGCGGTGTCGCGCCGGAAGCACTCCTTCAGCTCCGTGCGGCGGCTGGCGAGCACGGCGGCCCAGCCCGTGCCCTCAAACCCAATCTCGTGCGACGTCTGCATCGTCTCGTCGGGCCTCCACGGGTGGTAGCCGTAGAGTTCCCACACCGGCTCGTAGGGGCAGGCAGCGAGCTCCTTGTTGACGTCCTCCTCGCTGAGTTCAGCAGAGTGCCGCAGCTGGAAGTCCACGATGAGACTGCCAAGGGAGTACTTGGCATCCAACACGTCCTCCGCGCGCAAGGAGAAGAGCTCCGCGGTGCAGTACACGAAGGCGGACTCCAACTCTGGTAGCTTGTCCTCAACGACGTAGCCCCAGTCGTCGCCGTCGAAGCCGACCTGGTGCGACGTGACCACCCAGCCCTTCTCGTTCTCCTCCTCGTACAAGGCCCACGTCTTAGGGTAGCCGTAGGATGCGCACATCGCCTCCAACTCCTCGTTCTCGCATTGCTCATTCGACACGTTGTAGCGCACTGCGAGGCCCGCAGGCGTGGCGCGGACGGAGCGAACGTCGACGTCCTCCTCCTTCGCGTTGAGGCAGCTCGCGACGTCGCGCTGGAAGGCCTTCTTCACCTCTGGCTCTCGCTCCGTCACAACGTCCTCCCACGCGTCGCCAGGGAAGGTCTTCTCGTGCTTGCCGACCTCATCCTCGGACGGGTAGAGCTCCCACACGTTCGGGTAGGCGTAGTCCTTCACGACTTCCTCCGCCTCCGCAGCATCCGCCGGGCAGTCGACGACTCTGTAGTCCACCTCCAACGTTAAGTCCTCATTACCCATCTTCGTCACTTCCACCTGCTCGGGGTCCACGCCGAGGGCATCGGCCGTGTCCTGCTGGAAAGCGTGCTCGAGCTTCTTGCGGTCCTTGGCCAGCACGCTCGACCACTCCTCACCCTCGAAGGTCTTCGTCGGCATGCTGTCCAGGTCGTTGCCGGCCGCCTGCTTCTTCTTCTTGCCGCCACCCTCTTCGCCCTCGTCGCCGCCCCGCACGCGAGCGCGGTAGAGTGTCATCAACTCCGGGAAGTCGTCCTCATCGACACGGCGCTTGATTTCATCGTCGTCGTCGGCAGGGTCGACAATTTGGTACTTCACCACGAGACTGCCGATCTCAGTGCTGATGACGCGCACGTTCTTCGACGGCACACCAAGCGTGCGGGCGGTGTCTTTCTTGAAAGCGCCGTTGATCTCCTCGGGGCAGCCCTCGACGAGAATGTCCCAGTCGTCGCCCTCGAAGCGGCGCTCGAGAATGGCAGACTCGCGGTCGCCAGCTCCGCCGAGGCCGCGCGCGGCGTCCTTGTCCTTGTCCTTGTCCTTGTTCTCCTCGTACAGGGACCATGTCGTGGGGTACTTCGACGCCTTGGCGGCCTTCCGCATCGCGTGCGCCGACTCCCCCTCCTTGCGAGCGATGCTGTACTCTACCGTCATGCCCTTCTTGCTCGATTTCACGTCGTGCACGACGATGCGTTGCGGGTCCACCGCGGTGGCGGCGGCGACATCGTCCGCGAAGGCCTGGCGCACCTGCTCCGGCACGGCTGCGTTGACCGCCTCCCAGGCCTCGCCGTCGAAGCGCTGCGATAGGTTCGTCGTACCCTCCGCCTCCTCGGCGACCACCTGCTGGTACAGCGCCCACACCTCTGGGTAGGGGTACTCGCGCGTGTCCTCGCGCACCTCCTCGGCACGGCCCTGCAAATCGCCGACGTTGTAGGAAACGAGCAGGCGGTCCTGATCGGTGTCGACGGAGCGCGGGTCGACCTGGCCGGGCGCGGACTTCACTGCGTTCGCCGTGTCCGTGCAGAACGCCTCCGACACCTCCGGCCGGGCCGCCTGCAGCACCGTTTCCCAGTGCTCGCCGTCGAAGGCCTTCTGGTACTCGGCGCCGACGGCCTCGGCGACCAGGCGGTCATACAAGGCCCACGTCTTGGGGTAGCCGTAGTCCTCGGCCTTCTGGTCGACCTCGTCGTCGTCGAGGGGGCAGCCGCTTACCGTGTAGGGAACCGTGAGGCCGCCCTCGTAGCGCACCTCCCCGGCCTTCACATTGCGCGACGAGATGCCGAGGGCCTTGGCGGTGTCCTCGGCAAAGGCGGCGCCGATGGCCTCCCTGTTGTCCTCCATGATGTCAGCCCAGCGCTCACCGCGGAAGCGTACCTGGTGCGTCGGGCTTGCCTCATCGAGACCCGTCAGTTGCTGGTACAGCGCCCACACCTCCGGGTAGGCGTAGGCGTCGACCTGCTCCTGCACCTGGTCCGGGTCGCGCGACTTATCGGCCATGGAGTAATCGACGGTGAGACCCTCGCCCTCCTCGACGCGGATGTCCTGCACCTCGATGTCGTCCCGCTTCGCCCCGGTGGCGGTGCTCGTGTCCATCAGGAACGCCTGCTCGATCTCCTGGCGGTGCGCGGGTGCGATGTAGGCCCAGCGGTCGCCACCAAACTTCATCTGGTGCTCCGGAAACTCCTCCTCTTCGGCCTCTTCTTCAGCCTCGGCCTCCCCGTCGTCCTCGTAGAGCGAGAGCACCTTCGGGTACCCGCACGCGTCCACGCGGCTCTGCATCTCCTCGGTGGAGCGGCTGCCGTCGTGCTGCGCCGTGAAGTCGACAATGAGGCTGCCAATGGTCAGGTCCTCGATGGAGATGTAGTACTCTGGCACCTCCAGGCACTCGGCAGACTCCTCGGCGAAGGCGGCCTCAATGGCGTCGCGCTTGCGCTCGAGTAGGCGCTGCCAGTTCTCGCCCTCAAACTTGCGCTGCAGCTCCGCCTTGGCCGTGTTGGCCGGCACCGCACCGCCCTCCGCCGCCTGCAGCTCGCGCTCCTTCATGATGTCCTCGTCGTTGCGCGCGGCGTTGCTGGCCTCGTTCTCGTCCTGGCGGAACATGTCGTCGTCCAAGTCGTTGTCGCCGTCGCTCATGTCGTCGACGGCGTCCTGGCGTTGCATGAGGGCCTCGTCGAGGGAGCGGATTTGCGGGTCGCTGAGGTTGTAGCCCTCCTCCTGCTCCGTCGTCGTCACGCCGTTGAAGTTGGTCACGATGTTCTTGCGCAGCACAATGATGATGCGGTCGGTCGGCTTCCAGGTAAAGAAGGCCGGCTTCAAGTACTCCTTGCCCTCGCGCGCGGCGAAGCTGTCGGCGTAGCGGTCGCCACCCCCGACGCTGCGGCGGCGAGAGCGGGAGACGGAGCTTTCGTTGTGCTGGCTGCAAATGCGTAGTTGGTCGTCGAGATCGTCCATCAGCTCCTGGTACTCGGTGATGCGCTTCTGTTGCTCGCTGATCTGCTTCAATACGTCGCGCAGTTCCTTCTGACGCGCCACCTTCTCCTTGTCCACGCGGTCCTTCTGCGATTGTGCCTCGCCACAGTCGAGCTGTGCCAGCACCCAGTAGTAGATGGGGCCGACCGCTACGCTGCCCTGCATGGCACGGTCATACCGGAAGCTCTTCTTGCTCACGCATTCCTGCAAAATGTAGTCGCGACGCTCCGGCGAAAGCTGCTGTTGGGGGTCGTAACCGGTGATGCGGCGCTTGAAGTTGAAGTCGCGCAGCACTCGCTGCATCTGCGGCCACGTGCGGGCCTCGTCCTCCGACAAGAGCAGCATGACCGCGCGAATCACCACCGATACCATCTTGGGTGGAATACGATACGACTTCAGCTCTTGCCAGTGACGATCGGAGATGCTCTCGACATCGTCGCGGGCGGCGTTACGTACCGCGTTGGACTCCTCCACGTACTGATCCGCATCAGCGATTTGTCGCATAATGGACGCACGACGGTCGCGCAGCTGCTGAGTGAGGTCTTCGGACTGTGCGATGCTCTTCTGCAAGTCCTCCTTCACCTGCGCAATGCGCTCCATGAGCTCCGCCGTCTCGGGGTTTGCCGGGGTCTCGTCCTCGTTGTAGTACTCCGTCCTTTGCTTCTCCCACAGGCGGATTTCCACGTCACGCAGGTACGGCGGCGTCTCGACAGAGCCCAGTGTCCAGTGCATCTTGCCGTCCTTCATGTGGTGCGTCATGATGGCTACGAAGTCCCCCACGTTAAGGTGCATCAGCACACGCTCGTCAACTACGGCAGCCATTGTGCTGGAGTGGTTGTGTTAGGAAGAAGAAGAAAAAAAAGACAGGAGGATAAATATCGCAGGGTGTGCGGTGCACTACAAGCCTTCCTTTCTTTCGCTTCTTCCCGTTTCTTTTACAGTACGGAAAGAGAGGTTCAAACACAAGAAGAGAAAGAGCGGTGTGTGGCGAGCTCGAGCGTTCGTCCTAAGCGTTCCGCTGAAGTCGTACAGGGCGGGAAAGGGGAAAAAGAAAAAAATAATAAACTTTGAATAGACCTTTAATAGAAGAGAGAAAACAAAAAGGAAAAAAAAAACGATGTCGGCTCAAAAAATCTATCGAACGTGGGCGGAAGAGAGAAAATGGCCTACACAAAATCGCTCTGAGAAACCGAATATATATATATATATATATATACAAAAGCCGAAGAAACACCTTTCTCTTCTATCACACGTTAAACAAATAGCGACGCGGGAATTCTTAAACAACAAATGTTAGTGAAAACAAAAAGGCAGAAGAAAGACAGCCACAGAAAACAAAAAAAAAGGGGCTGGCCTTCTTTGCTTCTTATTTTGCTTGAAGATGATATAGATGTGTAGGTATGCGGCTCTGCCACTGACGGAAGCGCCTTTTTAAAATAGAAATGGTGAAAAATGGTAAACGACTTCAGCGTATAGGTATCATAGAAAGAGAAATATCTGTTCCTTTGAGATATATTAATAGCGCCGTGCACACTACAAATATATCCACAGCAGGTAGCAGGTGATACGAATAGCAAGTTTAGAAGAGAACTTGCCAAGTAGAATGTGTATTCAACTGAATCGCAAAGAATCTTCTCTACACCGCTCGACGTTCGCGAAGAACTTGGGGAAAGATATTGGCCCAGAAAACAGCAGAAAAAAAACAAAGGGTGCGAAACTGCGAATCCGTTGCTAAAGTTTCTGTTCCTTTTACACCGACTTGAGGGTGTGTGAGTTCGTGTAACGCGACGCTTGAAGTGTAATGCACCGATAAAAAGGCTTGAACAGCGGATATATAAAAAAAGCTGTATTTCTTCTTGTGGCGTAGACGCGTTTCGAGTCAGTGAGTGTGTGTGTGTGTGGTGGAGACGGGTGTACAGACAAAAACAGTGCAGATTGCAAGGGTGCAGAAGCGATGGAAAGGGGAGTCTTTTCAGAGTGAATGCGGCGTGCAACCAATCGTTGGGAGGAGAATCAATTCGACGCACGTGAATAAGGCGCGTAGTCGCGAACAGGTCGGAAATACAATTGAACAAACGAGACCTCACAAGCACGGGGTATCGAACGCGAAGGGGTGAACTGCACATTGGGCGTAAGTACATGCACAGTGCCTCGTATTGCTTTCATGTGTTTCTTGCTTTCCATTTGCCGTGCGATGCACGAAACAGCTGTATGAACTTTTTAAAAGGGAAGAGGTTTAAAAGGAAAGAAACCAAGGCAGCCGCACTCTGCTCACACAAGCACAGCGCTTTTTATAAATTTCGCACTGAGCGTGGCCAAGGGGACGGAAAACAGAGAATCAAGTTCTCACTCTTCTCCGCGACCCTCAAACCAGCGAGCCGCAGCTGTAATGAGGAACAACTCTAGTCGACTACTTTCTGATCAGGAAGAAAGAAAGAAGAACGAAATAGATCACTAAAACACAAAAACAGTGCCATTACATCCCGTGTGTCGTTTTCATTTTCCTTGAAGGATTGACAGCGTTTATTGTCCTTTTTAATTGAACCAGTTAGAACTTTTCCGAAAGGAGTTTCTTGCAGACTCAGATCGTCGGCATTTCCACCGCGTGGGATTGGAAAAGGGGGCGGGACGGCGGGAAAACAGAAAACAGCCTTTCCTGGAGAGAGGTCGACTGGAGGGGAGAGAAAGAGAAAGGGAAAGTAGTACAACATGAAGCTTTCGATTCATATCCCGGCCAACTTTTCCTGGCGCAAGCTTTCAGAAAAGTAAAAGAAAAAACGTTGACGAAACAATCAACATAAAGAGTGTATTAAAAATAATGAAGCCGAAGCCGATTGCAGAAAAAAAAAAGAAAAGGGGGTTGAGTCAACATACGTTCCAACGGTGATTCACCGTCAACTTCAATCCCCCATCTTCACAAGCGCGTTGATGAAGCGCACTCATTCGTTTCGGTCAGGCTTCGAGGCCAAAGTCCTGCGCTGCAGCGCGCTGCGACACCTCTTCCACACTTCCGTCAAGGCACAAAGACGATGAACGAGTTCCTCATCCGCCGAACTGTTCTTCTGCGCACGGGCGATGTCTGCGCTGCTGGCAGCGCCGTTTGCATTGGCAGTCGTTGCGCGCGCGTGCGCTGCAGAGGAGAACGCCTGCCGCAGCTCGGCGGTCGACGCGAAGCAGCCCAAATCCGCCAGCACCTGCTCACAGTTCAGTACCCTCATTTTCTGTCGAGGCTTGGAATTCGCACCCGTGGCGGTATGTGCGACCTCCCATGTGCCGTAGCGTTCGTGGAGCTCCTTCTCGTACTTCGCCGGCCCGAGCAGCGCGGCTGCCACAGTCAGCACCGCGTGCAGTGTCCGCCTGTCCGCACTCCACAGCTCATGTTCCACAAAGAAGCGCTTCGTGTCTGCCACGGAGGGTCGCTGCGTCGCCGTTGCCTCCTCGGCGGCTCTCGTGACGGCGGGGGCAGCAGGGGGCAGCAGCATGCGCAACCGCACCCACACCTTCTTGAACGGTGCGATTTCACGCCGGTACGTTACAGACATGTCGGACACAATCAGACCAATCCTCCGTGATATTATTCGGTCATCGAAGCCCAGAAAGGCCGGCATATGTCGCCGCGCAAACTCAGAGATCTCCAAGTACTTGGCGTTGTTCACGTGCCCGATCTCATCGATCATCCGCAACCCACAATAAACAGGGAGGATGAGGGGCTCCGCAATGAACGGGGCAAAGGCTGGATCGCGCGGCAGCCTGCGGTACCACGGCCAGACAATCCCGCGCACGCAAGTCCCGCTCGGCGGCTTCCGTTCGGCGCCGTCCGTCGTCGCCGCATTTGACTTGGCCGCAATCAGCGCAGCAGCGTTGCGCACCGCCTGCAAGGGCACCACCGCCGTCGGAGAGTCCGCCGGTAGTGGCGCCACGCCGTAGATCATTCTGCTCACTTTGGCACGTTCGCACAGTCCCCGCCAGACGTACCGCTGGCACCGCAATAAGTGAAAGAGTGCCATTTCCTTTCACGTTATTCCTTGCGTGAGAGTCGGAGTGCATGTGCGTGTCTGAGTAAAAAAAAAGGGATTTAAAAATGAAAAAAAAGTGAAGTCGAATACGAGCTCGCTAGAAGAAAAAGCGGCAGAAAAGGTGCAGGCCGAGTTTGTTTTCCTTTCCTTCACGGATGCCAGTTCTAATGCAATAGCAACAATTATCTTTGAGAAGAGCGCGAACGCGAGCACCGAAACAGAAAAGCCATTCGTCGGCATTGAAGCGAACGGAGAGATAGAAGGAAAGAGCAGTGTTGTCGAAGAGCAGTCAGAAGGGTAACAACAGGAGTGACAAGGAGGAAGTAACGGTACAACATGCGACACACACGCGTCTGCACACCTCTTTCTTACTGCGGTGCACCCGTCGCGAATACGCACACATTCGCAGGCAAACGTGGTTGCAATGGGGTGTTAGCACGGTAAAAAGTACGCCGGTTACGCTTGTGCTGCTTACTGTGACAGCGAAAGCGGTTTTCTCCCACGCATGAGTCAGCATGCGCGTGACGCCACGATGCCTGGGAAAGATCTCGCAGCTGCCTGTGTAGAACACACACGAGAAGAAAAAAAAAAACGCCAACAACAGCAGTGTGAGCGCGACGTTGAGAAGCCCGGTCTTTCCATCACGCGCCACCTGCCTTTGAAGCGTGCTTGCACGCGGGGTACCTGGCACCGCTTCGCTGTTTACTTTAAACTTCAAACACCATCACCTCAAAAACGAATTTCAGCCGTTGAGACGAAGATATATATATATATATAAACCGTAGCACTATATTTTCCCTTAAACCAGTAACAACAAGAAGAAAACAATAACAGAATAATTGAGTCCAGTACGGTTGAAAAGAGGGGGGTGCTTTAGAAAACATGAAGAAACGACAAGAGAAAGCAGTGAAGCTGATTTAAAAGAAAAAAAATCTACACAGCATGGAATACGGATAAGCGGCGCAGAAAGCAAAGGAAGGGTTTACCCGCAGGTGACGTTGCCTCTTTTTCTCTCCTTTGACGACTCACGATAGCCTGTTTACCTCCCCATGCGTTTGGCTCTCTCAACCTGTACCGGCGAGTCCTCCTCCAATGGTGTCGAAATAACCGCTTCTCTTTATTTTCCAAGTCAAAAAAAAAAATTATTATCAGTCACCGGTTAACTGGCAGAAAGGGGAAAAAAAAACTAGTCGACTACTTTCTGTTCAGGGAGGAGGGAAAAAAGGAGGAAGAGAAACAAGTAAAGTGCAAACAGATTTCATTACATCCCGCGTATCCTTTTTGAACTTATTATTACTACTATTAAAGGTGGGCACCGTTTATGCACTTGTTCTTTTTTTAGCAACGAGGAAACTATACGCAAGGGAGTTTTCCGCAGACTCATATCGTCTGCATTTGCACCGCGTGGGTTGGGGAAACAAAAAGGGGGTCGGGACGGCAGGAAACAAAGAAAAAATAAAGCCTTTCCGGAAGAGAGGTCGATTACAGGGAAGAGAATAGAAAGTGAGATGACGCAACATGCACCTTTCGATGCACCTCCCCGCGCTTTCCTCCGGTCGGAAGACTACCGAAGAAAGAAAAAAAGAGACGTTGAAAAAAGGAAAAAAACGGATAGGAGCTACCAATATATAAAAACATAGAGAGAGAGAAGGTTCAACGCTGTTGAGCTTAATGTCAGATAACTAAAACTAATACGTCCTCGTGAACGAAGAGGAAGGAAACATACGTCTATGAGTTGACGAAACAAACGCAGCAAAACTGCCTTCAGCAACACTTAATAGAGAGAGAGAGAGACATATATATCCCTACGCGCATACGTAGACAGTGAAGCGGTCCTGAATGCGGCTCTCGCGTTAACAGAAAAAAGGGGGGAGGAAGAGTATAAATTATTCGCTTCACCACATAAATAAATACTGCCTCGTTAACTTATGTGAAGGGACACCACGTAACAAGACGCCGTCTGAGGCTTTTCTGAGGCGTCTTCCTCGTTCTCCCTCCCGCCTCGCTTAAGCAGCGAGCAGCGTCACCGCGGCTGCCACGACAAGGGCCGCCACTCCGTGCAGCGGAGACGATGCGGTATCCACGCCCCGCGCCCGACACAGAAAGGTCGGCGTCAGCAGAAAGCCCTGGAGGCACTGAATGCAGTTGTTGGCGCTGGACGCGTTGCACACCATGCAGCTGGAAACGTGGCAGACCGGGGAGGTCGTCGTCGTCGTCGTGGAAGTGATGTTGGATTTGGTGGGGACAGGTATCGTGGTCGTCGTGGTGGTCGTCGTCGGTTCGGAAGTGGTGGTCGTCGTCGTCGTGGCGGCTTCGCACGCGTTCGCTGTCGCGCAGTTGTCTGCCACCACGGCGTCATCGCCGCCTACCCACACCCCCTTCGTGCGCCACGGCTGCGGCACGCACCCGCAGATGTGGTTGTTGGCGTTCATGAAGAAGCTGATGGAGGGCATGTTGCCCCACGAAGCCGGGATGGGGCCGGTGAAGCCGTTATTGCTGATGTGCAGTGAACTGAGCATTGTCATGCTCTCCCACGCTTCGGGCAGGGTGCCGATGAGCTTGTTCTGTTGTACGCTGATCGCTGTGATGCTCTGCAGTTTGCCCCACTCGGCGGGCAGTGTGCCGGTGAGGTTGTTGTTGTGCAGTGCGATGGCGGTGCAGGCGGAGAGGTCGCCCCACGACGCGGGAATCGTGCCAGTGAAGCGGTTGTCGAAGAGGTCCAGCGTCGTGAGGTGGGCGAGGTCGCCGTACTCGGTGGGCAGCGTGCCCGTGAGAGAGTTCCCGCCCACGGAGATGCCTTGCAGCCGGGAGAGAGAGCCCCAACCGCGCGGCAGGCTACCGCTCAGCTTGGCTGGCCCCCGGAAGCTGAGAGTTGTCAGCATCACCTGCGAGCCGTCCACGTCGGGGGACACCGCCGGGAGAGAGACGGTGGTCCCACGCAGCATTGCCATATTCGCAGAGCTGATAGCGACCCCACTGTTAGTACACGTCACGCCGACCCAACGGCAGAAATCGTAACCGGTCCAGTACCTGGCCAGCGGGGGCATCGTCTCCACGAAGCTCTGAAGGAACGCGCGCGTGTTCGCTTGCTGCGTCGCGGTGTAGTAGTAGTGGTGTCTGTGCGCCGACGCACACATCGAGCAGCACGTAAGTACCACGGCGACGAGGCTGACAAGGGCGGTCCGCCGATGAGAAGCAGACACGGAAGACGCCATGGCCCTCAGCAATCAGATGCGCGAATGTGTGTCAAGACGACGGAGAATGTTGCGGTTTGAAGAGAATGCCCTTCCTTTAAGGGGAAGAGACAGAAGAGACAGTGGCCGCAGTTCTCAGGAAGCGTTCGAAGCCGAAGAAAGCAAAAGAGAGGAGACGAACGAATAGGGAGACAAAGGCTTTCCGGATATAAATATATATGTATGAAGCACGTCAGCAAGGAATAAAAGAAGAAAAAAAGGAGAGTTGTGTTGCAACGTTTTGGAGAAGTAAAAAAAAAACAAGTTATGCGTAAGAGCGGAGAAGGTCAATCAAGCGGCAGAGCCTGATAGAGGTATACGACCCATTATAAGAAGAAGAGCAGAAATAATGAGAAAAGGTTTGAAGAGCAATAAAGCAGACAACTTGTGTTGCCGGAAAACCGGAGCAGTGGGCCGAGCCTCGTATGAAAACTAGCTGTGCATGCTTAGGTTAACGGCGTTATTGTTCACACATGTCGTGCAGAGGCAGACCAGGATTCGCGTACCTTCATTCAGCTAGACGGCACCCTAAACGTTCGGCCCAGCCTCTCAGCACGATGTGCCCAAGCAGGCAAAAACGATGAGACAAACCTATCGCAAAGTGTCGGAGCACAATGGAAGGGAGAGATGGGATGACCAGTCCATAGTAGCTAGCAACAGCCAACAGAAGTACTGCAAAGTCATCCTTTACACCTTCTGCGTGGCTCCGTCTTTTTTCTCTGCAATGTCTATCCCTTTCTCGTAACATGCAGTTGTTTTTTAAAAAGAGTTGAAGTCAGTTTTTCTTTTTAAATCGCAGTATATATTATTTTCTTTTAATAAATAGCGGTCTTTTTCGCTCGCGCTGTGAAACACCGCCGGTGACAGGTACTGTTGTCGAGTGTTGCGTGTTTTTTGTGTTTTTTTTTTTAATCCAAGGCTGTTGTGCTTCGGCGTGCCGCACTTATCACCGCTCGCGCACTGGACGACGGGCATTCAGGCTCCCTCCTCGTCGAGAAACAGCCATCCGTTTCCTCCCTTTCTTGCGGTGCGGCACCGTCGTCCTCTCTTACAGTTACGCGCTAAAAGCACATTTAGAACATCATCACTGTTGTTGTATACCTTCATTCCCAGCAGCGCGCACTGCGTACCGCCGTGCGTAGGCACAGCACATCCATAACTATCACGGAATTTCTTTCCCCGCGAGACGCGGTACAAACGAGGCGTGAGACAGTGTGATTTTAAAAAGGTTTCAAAAATAATAAAGTATCAAATAAGTTACCGCCATCGACACTTTCTCCTCTTTCCTTGTGAGAGCAACTGAACATGTAGTTCCTGATACGTGAAGAAAAAAAAAAGGAATGGAGGACTAGTGCGTCGTGCTCCAACCTCTGCAGCAACTTGCATGCCCCGGATAAGTACAAAAGAAAAAAAGAACAACATAGAGAACAGAAAAGAAAACCGCTGGCTATTGCGTCAGCAAAGTCGTCGTCTTTCAACTCGAACATTTACAGCAACTAAAAAAAAACCTTACAGTAATTCTGTGATATATATAACTATATAGAAGACAGCCTATACCGAAAAAGAGGATAGCGAAAGAGAAAAACGAACGTTGTTTTGCGTGCCCCGCCAACGCAACGGGCGGGCATGAAATAATAATATGAAAGACAAAAAAAAATAGAAAAAACGCGTAATTGTTTTTTCCCTGAATTAAGACAGCCGCAACTAAGAAAAGAAGAAGAAGAGAGGTAAGGAAACAGTTTTAAAAGAGCAGACAGTAGCTTGCGACAACATATAGAAAAAAGAAAAGAAACAAATTAGCGTCTATTGTGTTTTGATTTGTTTTTGAAGAAGATTGACTTAGAGCAACGAAAACGGGGGGGAGTTGCTCGTAAAGTTTTCGCGCTACCCCAGTCATCTTGAGGATGTTAAGCAGCAATAAATGAAGAAAGCGCCTCTTCGATCCGATGATCCTCTCAGCGGGCCATTCAATCACTCCGTTCACAGCAGGCAAAGAAGAGCACGTAAGGAAGGTGAATTGGTAGTTGTTATTGTTGATGTCCTCCGCTCTTTTTTTCTTCGTTTGGCTCTTCTACACTGAAGCAGGCGATGCATCGTGCCGAGAGCGCATCCAAAACCACGACGTCGCAGTTCGAACGAAAAGAAGGGGAAAAAAGACGACAGCAAAGGAAGCCACATTAATCCATGATGCTCTTACCGGTACGGACAACAAGCAGGAAGGCAAAGAATGCAAAGAAGGGAAAAAAGGAAAAAGAAAGCGAAGAATGAGCTGCCTCGTTGCCGTCACATCGCAGTGAGCACTCTCCAGACGGCGTAAACTCGGCAATCATTAAAATAGTATCAATGAAAAGGGAAAAGTAGGTGTGATGGAATCGACATCACAGAGAAAAAAGAAGAACAATGACAAGGAGTTTTATTTTGGAAAGAAGCAAAAACCCTTTTTGTCACAAAACGAAAAAAAAAAATCAGACGAAGAACGTTGTTGCACAGCCCTTGTGTATCCGTGCGTGGGCGTGTGCCACCAACTACAAAACAGGAGGAGCAGAACCGTTTCTTTACGCATCATTTCCGTTTAGAAAAGCTAGAAAGTGGAAGAGTCTGCCTTTTTACTGCACCACTCTTTCTGCTTTTTTTTAAGTAGAACAAAAAAAAAGCTACTGTTCTGCCTCGTTTCCTCATCCTTTATCTGAATTTCTCCGAAGCCCTTCGATGTCATTCAACGCTAGGTGGAGACAACATTTGCTTGCCGCTGGCAAAGCAGGCAAACCTTCCATGTGCATCTCAGCACTGACGGACAGATTCTCGTACAGCCCTCAGCAATCTGTTGTCCGCCAGTGGATGCTGCTTCCACCGCTCCAATGTCTTTAGTAGAAGAGACCACGAAAGAAGAAAAAAGTAGCACATTGCCACTGCGCGTTTCACAAGTTTTCGGCTAAAGCAACGGTAGGACGCGTGGCTGGGTACGTAGGAGCCGGAAGTACTGAGAATAGCAAGAGATAATAGAGAAAAAAAAGTTAGATAGGATAACCGCAGTCGCTCAAGGCGCCAGGAGTCCGGTTTTATAAGAAGGATTGCACAGATCGTTTGCTTGTTTGTTTGTGCTGCCCTTCCGCGGTCTCCCCTGGCCAGCGACGCCGGACAGAGTTCAAAAATAGGGCGCGGATGCTTATTACTCTCCTGGAAGGCTACCAGAGAGTCCGCAGCCGTACACGTTAAAATCTAGGAGGTTCGGCAGCAGAACCCACCCAATAGGAATCGTCCCGGTGATGTTAGGGTTTTCGCTCACATCCAGCTTCGTCAGCACGACGTCGCTGACATTCAGGTCACTTGGCAGCGACGGCAGTGTGCCCACCAGGCCCCGGTTACTTAAGGATACCACCATACCCTCTGCATAGCACTCCACTCCCGTCCACGTGCAGTAGTTTGAATACGGCCAGCGCTGTTCGAGAATCTGGAGGCTTTGGAAAAGGCTGCTGATCACAATCCGTGTGGACGCCACCTGATTCGGCGAATAATACGGCACGGAGCTGCTGCTGCTCGAGCCGGACGGCACAGAGGACGACGACGACGAAGCCGAAGCCGAAGTCGACGACGGCGGGGCGGAGCTGCTGCTGCTCGAGCCGGACGGCACAGAGGACGACGACGACGAAGCCGCCGACGGCGGGGCGGAGCTGCTGCTGACCCGGTTAGACGAAGAGAGCGGAAAACAGCTGTTTGCGGTAGAGCAGTTCGCAGCTGTCACTGCAGCGTCCGCCGTCACCCTCACTGTCGACGACGAAGTGGTCCACGCGGTTGGCAGGCACCCGCAAAAGGTATTGCCCTGCAGATTCACCGTCACGATGCTGCGCATGAAGCCGTACGACTCGGGGATGCTGCCTTCGAGGTTGCTTCTGTCTAGAAGCAGCGTCTTCAGGTTGGAGAGCGCGCTCCAGCCCCCTGGCAGGGTGCCGGTGAGCCCGCAGTTGCGCATGTCAAATTCGGTCAAAGCGCTCATTGCTGCCCACGACGAAGGCAGCGACGCATGCATACTCAGTCCATTGGCGCGGAATACTTGCAGCTTAGTCAGCGCACACCATGATTCAGGCATCGTGCCGGCTATCAGTGACCAGCTGAAGTCCACGTACTCGAGATTCGTCAGCGCGGACCACGCGTCAGGCAGAGGGCCGTTGATTCTGGTGCCCACGACCGAAACGAATTTCAGCCCTTTCAGCGTGGACCAGCTCGAGGGCAGCTGCCCAAGGAGTCCATCCTCCCCAGAAAAGTCGAGCTTGGTCACCTTCACATTTGCCCCAGTGACCAACTTCGGCACGTCAGGCAGGTTTCCAAACATGCTACTTCCGTGAATCGTTACCTCCACACCGGACGACGAGCAGCTTACGCACTCCCAAGCACAAAAGTTTGGGCAGTCCCGCGAGAGAGGGAAGATGGGCTCCAGCAAAGGCATCAAGAAGTTGCGAGTGTCCTCGATCTGTGTATCGTTGTAGAAGGGAACCTTTCCATTGCACATGTACATGACGTCGGCAGACGAGGATGCTGCTGCGGTCGCGGTGGTTCCGCACGCACACAGCACAACCAGCAGAGCAGCAAGGAGCCACGCCGTGCGTCGACGACTCTGCAGCACCTGCGAAGATGCGGTCATCGATAGCGCGTACCGTTGTGTGAGTTTGTGTGGCTTGTGTGTTCAAGACGCAATGGCGGGCGTCTGGAAACGAAAAGAGAGTCCTTTTTCGTTTTTATGTTTGAGCAGCACTGGTGTGTTGCGCAGTCAATGAGAGGAAAACGAAAACAAAACAGTCTTTTTAAGAAAAAAAAAGCAGTTATCGTTAAGCCGTAGATTATCTACGTGCGCGAATTGCGGGGTGGTGTAAAGGAAAGGTGGAGGAGGGAGAAGGACAAGAAAAGCACACGTTGAGTAAGTTCCGCTCGTTTCCTGAAACACAAAGAAAAGCCTGCATACGTGTCTCACAAAACGCCGTGCCGCAAAAGTTTGCGTACAGTATAGATGAGCGGGAGAAGAAGTATCGATTGGCTTGGCTTCGGAAGGAGCCTCAACAACAAAGAAACGAGGTCTTTAAACTATCCAGAAGAAAAACTGAATTCCTGCTACAATCACGAATTCAGTTTTTGCTCTCTTTCTTTTTCATCTTTTCAACTCGTCTCCGTGTTCGGTCCCTTTGGTGAATCTACACAGGGAGTGGTGTGAACGGGTCATCTGAATGACCTGAGTGAAGAAAGCATGGTACATGGCAAATAGTTGTATGCCTGCCATTCGATTTCAACTACACCCCGCCCAGCATATCTCTTTTTCCCTTTTTCACATCGCGTGCCTTTCGCCGCACCAGACACGATGCAAGAGAAAGGGACACCGAGAGGCGGTCACTATCAGAAATCTCAACACACACACACAAAGATTAGTTAATCTGTTTCCATAAAAGCAGTTTAAAAACGCTTTGGGTGCGCTTTCCTCGACGGAGCACAGACAGAAAACGCCTCACAGCAAGTAGAGAAAATGATGAGCGAAAATAAAGCAAAGATAACACGTTTCGTGATCGGCTGGGTTCGTTACCTTGAGGTGCTCTTGTATGCGACAAAGCCTGAGAACGTGTCTACACGACAAACACCACCACATTTGTGCTTTTTTCTTCTGCGTAAATGGCTTTTCCTTTGCGTACCCTTACTTTTTCTTCTCGCCGTCCGTCGGCTCAGCCGAGGCGCCGCTGCTAAGTCCGAGCGCCTTCTTCACAATCTCGCCAAACCAGAAGTACTGCAGCAGCTGAACCGTGGTGAGGGCGACCACCGCTAACCCCGTCGCCACCTCGTTGTGCACCCGGGGCGTGTGCCCGGCCTCTCCGGCGTGCACCACGTCCGAACGCCAGTTACTAAGGACGCTGTACAGCCAGTTCCCTGTCACGTAGGTGCCGCCGATCACGCGAATCAGCAAATAAAGTCCGCCAAAGACGTACTCACACACCGTGGCCCGCTTCTCCAGCTTCTCAATTAACCGTTTCTGCGTCTTCTTGTCTGCGATGTCACACAAGTCGCGCATAATGATCGACGCGTGCAGGAAGCCGTTGCTCAGCTCGAAGCAACCGGTGTAGTACCCCGCGTAGTACTCCGAAAACGGAAAGAGTAACGTGTAGCTGCCGATAAAGCTGCAGAACGCGTGGAGCTTCCACGACAAGGACCAGCGATAATAATAGCACACGAAGATGTCCCACACGAAATAGGCCACGATTGCAACGCGGCTGAAGCGATAATACGGCATGGTCGCGTACAAGTCGTTGGACAGCACCCCGCCACTCTTGATAAGGTTCGTGACGAAGAGCACGGCAGAGAGGGACATGATGCCAGCATTGGCGATGCTGCAGCAACGCACAATTATATCTTCCTTCTGAGCAGTCGTCAGTTTCTTCCAGTTTGGCACCCGCTTCGGCAACTGCTTTGTGAAGAGAAATTGGCAGGTAAACCAAAAGCACACCATGGGCGCGAAGATGATGCCATCACGTAGCATGGGCGCTACCCAGGTGTCGTGCGCCGTAGCGAAACCCATGGCGAATGCCGTTCGTATTATATTATTTTTTTTCCGGATTTCGTTGAAGAAGATTCTTTTAAATTACCTTTTACACTCTTGACAGTTTCTGCTAGTTGGTAAGTTGGTTGCTTCATTGCAGCCACGTGTCCGGAGTGTTTTTGTGTGAGGTAATGCGTGCAGCGGAAAATGAAGCACAGAGCAAGAAAGAGATTTTTAAAAAGCAGCAGAAAGAGAACAACGGTGGAGGGTTTTTTTTTTTTGAGGTTAAGTGAAGCTTCCGTTTGTTGGTTTTTTTATAGAGCGTGTCTTGAGACGCAGAGCCGCATCTCTCTCCTCTCACATACGAGCATGAGATGTCAAACACACCAATAACGCTGTCGCTGAGAGCATCGTGTGCGCACGTGGGCCTTTTTTTGTTTTTACTCGCTCGCTCTCTCTCTCCTCTCGTTGCGTGTGGGTGTGTTTAGACGAAGCGCAAGTTGCACGCTATCAATGAGGTTGGTGTAAAACACGAAAGCGAGGTAGAAATATTTGTTATGGCTCCTTTTGAAGAACGGAGGCCGAGTAAGGCGAGAAAGCTTGGAAGAATGCGAGGAAAAAATGGGCAAGATAAAGGCGTCTATAAGACAAGCAGCAGCTTTTTTCTACGCTTTTCTCCCCTTCTCCAAGTTGCATGACCAAGTTTTTTTTTGTTAATCGATGAAACCTCCTTCTGTATCCTTTTTAGTTGTTTTCAGACACCTCCGTCTTCGTCCCGAGGCTTCTTCCTCAATTTTTCCCCCTCGACTTTAATTACCAAAAAAAAAAAAAATGGTTGCGTGGAACCCAGTAGCAGCTTCAGCGTTCCAGTTTAACCGCTGTTGTTTTTATCCCTTTTAACTTTTTGATGGACATGTGTTTCCAGTCCACGCCACGTCAAGAGCAGGCAAAAACGTCCCCGCCACAAGGCGCACAACGAACTCTGTATAGCGTGTCGCCGTTGATCACGCAGTGCGAGCACCTGCAATGGTCCTCTTCTGAAATCCGGCCTTTTCTTTTGCTTTGCTCAATGTGGAAACCAACGGCTCCACACCAAGGAAAGCCTTTGAAAGGAGCAGGCGTTTTTTGCCGCTTCATCGGCACAAGCGCGCAAGAGAAAGACAGGAGAGAGAGAGCGAACGCACACGAGCGTGCAGTCTTAACCAACTGCACCGATAACACAACAAAAACATCTCGTACAGGTGGTCAAAACTGTTTCCTTCCGCACTGACAGAGTTGTTGCTGTCGCCACTGTTCTTTTCTTTTTTTTTATCTTTTCTCCTTTCGACCTCATTAACACCGCATTTAATTAGACGACATAACGTGGACTTATGAAAGCAAACAATAATAATAAAGACGTGCTGACGTGTTGCAGTCTCGGGTGGCGTGACCATTAAAATTAATTTAAAGAAATGGAATACGCAAGACGCGCGAAACCATCGCGAGAGTGTGGCGTGGTGTTTTGATTGCCCGTCAAATAGCTGACCAAACATGATGCATCACCAAGAGAGGAGGCCAAATGCAAATAATAATAATAAACGACTATTGCTCCTCTATCGTCTGTCTTTCCGCTCGGGCGGCATGGGTTTTTGTCCCTCTTCACGCAGTCGCCACGGCCGCCGCTGTCGCCGCTTTCTCCTCTCCCTCCACCGCATGCTGGTGGCCCAGACTGTTGAAGTTGGCCCAGTACTTGTGCATCTCGAGGGCCACCACGCAGCTGTCACGCACAATCGGCTCCGGGTGCGCCGCGTACGTCTCCAGCACTGGCAGCGTGGCGGGGTCGGCGATGGCGCCGAGGGCCTCCGCGGCCTCGTGGCGCACCATCGGGGCCTCCGCCTCGTCTTTCAGCGCCTCAATCAAAGCCGGCTGGCTCTTGGGGTGCTCCATCTGGCCCAGCACGAAGGCCACCTCGTGGCGGAACAGGGGAGAGACGGTGTCCTCGCGAAGGGCGCGGCAGAGCGCTGCCACGGCGGCGTCGTTCGCCATGTTGCGCAGGGTGAACATGGCCATGTAGCGACGGAAGAGCCGCGTGTGGCCGGACGTGTCTAGCAACACCTCCGTCAGCTGCTCCACCGTCGTGGGCACCGGCTCGTCGCCGTCCGCAGCCTCGTTAAAGGCCGGTGACGGGTCCACCGAAACAAAGCCGCAGTCGCTGGATGGCGCCACCGCCTTGTCGCCCTTCTTCTCCTTCATGGCGATGCGCGCCAGGGCCAACTCGCACGTCTCGCGGATGGGCCCCTCCGGCTCCTTGGCCGGGTCGCTGTGCTCCTCCAGCACCTTCAGCGCCAGCGTGGACCCGATCGCGCCAAGCGCCTCCGCGGCCTCGTGGCGCGTCACGACGTCGTAGCTGACGGTGCGCAAAATCCGCTCCAACTCCGGCACGGCCTCCTCGCGTCCGCTCTGGCCAGCGTTGTAGGCCAGCTCGTGCTGCAGTAGCACCGAGTCGGTGGTGTCGACGGCCTCGAGCACCACCTGCATGCCGGGCACGGTCTTGAGGCAGTCCTCCTTCAGGCGGTACAGCTCCCGCATGCGGCTGTCCAGCGGCTCCTTAGGGTCGAGCAACTTGGCGTAGTTCCGGCGGACCTCCTCCACGGTGAGTGTTGAAGCAGACATGATGCTGTTCTGTGCGTGTGTTTGGGTGTCAAAAGTGGGATGATCACGCTCTTTTCTTCTCCTTTAAAGGGAGCAAAGACAGCAGAAGGTATGTGGTTGCTGCGCGTTTGCGAACAGATGGTGCAGCCGTGTGCAACGCGCGTTGAATGGCCAGTAGCCGAATAATAATAACAATAATAATAATGACAAGAGCAAAGAGAGAAGCAATCCGTGGGTTTTTTTTCAAAGACGAATAATCATAAGAAAAGGAGATGTTTTGAACTTCCTTCTCTCAAGCCAGTGCAGGGCGTGCGCGCAGGAATGCGCACGGAGGAAGGCAACTCCCCGCAGGTTGGTCACGGCGAGCGGCAAAGACCGCGTGAGGCCGAACAGCTTCGAGGACAGTGTTCAAGAGCAGAAGAGCAGAGACGTGGTGGCGATTTCCTTTCGCTTCTTCCACCGCAACAACGCGTTCCTCGAAGTGTCCCTCCTTGCTCTCCCTTTTTCTCTTTCAGCAGAGGCGACACCCCACTGAGGAAGACGGCATTTGTGTGAGAGAAGCACCTTTCTAGCGTGAGCACCGTCTGCACGAGATCGTCTGTGGACTCCAATACGAAAGCCAACCAAAGGTCGTAGCTTATCAGCACTTGTTTTTCCTTTATATAGTTCTCTTTATTCGTAGGAGCGGTGTTCGGCATTCGTCATCGCTCTCCTGTTAGATATATGTAGCTCGCAAAGGTCAAAAAAACTAGCGTCGGCGTTAACAAATTTATCGCCCTTTCTTTTCCTTCGTGCGCGTCTTCGTACGCGGGTTGATGTGCTTCTTTTTGCGGGTACGCGTGCGTGTGCGTGTAAGCGCGCCGAAAGAGAAAAAGGAAGAAAAGCCTGTGAAAACAAAAACAGAAGCGTAGCGAAGACTCTCTAATCAAAGCGGCACGTGACGAGTTTCCTCCTCTGTATCTATTGGAGTTATAGGTGTGTGCGTGTGTGCGTGTGTGTGCGGGTGGGTATGCGTGCAATATCATGAATGTTGAAAGGCCACCGTCGAAAAAAGAAAAGAAACAAAACAAGGCGCGTGTTTTCCTTTACGTTATTGGATGACAAAGGCAGACCGTCGACCGCGCCCTCTTTCGAAGTTTCGGTGCCGGGGTGGCAACAACACAAGGCACCTGGTGCCGCTTTCCTTAATTCTCTTATGGGGGGATCAAACATGTCGTACGAGACACAGCACAGAAACGACAAGGCAGCTCTCACGGGAAAGCTGTGGAAGAAGAAGCAAAGGTTGGTAGTGAATTTAGATGCTCGCGGCTCTTTCGTCAGCAGGTGACTACAAATACGAAAAAAAACAAATCACAACAGCACCAACGGCGCCCCTCTCGCCAATTAAAGGTTGCGCATCGCCTGCCGGAAGGTGAAGACCTCCGAGAAGAATTTGTCCTGTGACTCTGCGGCGTGCGACAGCGTGGACAACGCCTCACGAACGGTGTTCTGCTTCCGATCGGGGTAGGTGCGCACAAAGTTCTCCACAAACGAGAACCAGAACGGTGGGTGGGTTTCAAAGATGGGGTACACCACCGCACAACTCACGCTGAGCGCGCGATCCTGGCAGACAATGACGTTCATGGCGACGGAAATGAGGCGCTCCCACAAGCTACTGAAGGGTTCCAACGTCCGCGCCAGGGCCTCCCGTGCGAGGCGCGTCGAGCGCGGTGGGTTGGGACCAGCAGAGCGCCCGCCAGCGCCGCCGCCGCTACGACCGCCAATGCTGCCTGGGGTGCCGGAGAGCCTGCCCGAGGGATTCGCGTAGAACGAGGGCAGCTGCATCGGAGAGGGGGGTGGAGTGCCCGACATACCCCGCGTGCGCGCGTCCATCGCCGGCGAGACGGCCTGCGTCGAGAGCGCCTTCACCTCTCGAATGAGGCCCGCGATGAAGCTGAGGAAAGACAGTCCGTGTAGCAGCGTGCCGGTCTGCGTGTCCACGTCCTCGCACAGATAGACAACAAAAGAGATTACCTTCTCCAGCTCACCCGCGTCGAGCTTCGTCAGCGGAAGGAATGCGAACTCCTCCGTGACAGTGCGAAGCATGTTTACCACCGCGTACGAAACCTTGCTGTACTCTTTGAAGTAGATAAACGGGAACACGCCCATCATGCGCAGCATCCCCAGCAGCATGTTGTCGTAGGTATCGTCGCTGTAGTAATACATTGCGCCCAATGGTACAAAACCGCCCTGGATGCACTTTCGCAGAACGCTGAAGGACAGGGCCAGCGGCTTCAGCATCATCTCGTACGCACCGTCGGCCATCTCACCGCTGCCCTGACTCGTGACGCGCTGGATGTGTTCATCGGTGACGCAGCGCTCAATCACCGACTGCATCAGCGTGCAGATGTGGCGAAAGAGCAGCAAACCGCAAGAGTTGTGGGCGGTGCAGCAGGGCAGCGTATAACGTCCCCCGATGTGCGTCACCAGCTCCTCTAAGAAGCGCAGAAAAGAGACGATGACCATGCTGCTCTGCGCAGCCGGGCGATTCAGGCACTCGTGAAAGGAGCTGGCGCGATCGCAGACCCACTCTACGAAGTCGCTCAGGCCGTCCGCGATGTCGCGCAAGGATAAGACGACGCCGCGCAGGTCGCGCATCCAGCCAGCGGTGTAGAGGGCATCGTTGCCGCCACCGCCGCTGAGGGTGCTCTGGATACACAGCTCAATCGGCTGCAGAAAAGCCACGAGGGCATCGGTGGAGTAGGGCGTGGAGCTGGACAGTCGCCACAGCATCGCATACAGATTCGTGCGCAGCTTGTAGGTCTGCGGCGACTGCGCGAGCGGCAACTCCACGACCGGGGGCAGCTCCAGGTGCAGCTCCGCCAGCATCGAACTCGGGACATCCATGCACGCGTTGCGGATCAGCTCAATCGACTCACGGATGATCTGCGCCGACTCCCCGTCGTGGCTGCCGTTCACACCGCGCAGAATGTTGTGGCCGGTGTTGCTCAGGATAAACTGGAAGAGGGCGGTGCGCGACTGAAAGACGTTTGTGACGACGGTGCTGAGGGCCTCGTGCAGGCGCGAAGAGCTGAGAACGCTCTGCGTCATGGTCAGAAAGTGCAGTAGGGCTCGCTCCACAAAAGGGCTGGACAACGGAGAGCCCACCACGGCGCCACCGCTGCTGCGGCGATGATTCGCGCAGTCCACGCAGAAGACGAAGAACATCGAGCACGGCTCCACCGCAGGCTCCTCCACCGCGCTCAGCACGTGACGGACAAGCCCGGCGGCGAGGTAGAAGAGCCACGCCGTGGCGCTCGCGCTGTTTAGCACGCTCGGGCCCAAGGTGTGGTTGACGTAGTCAGCGAGCAGCTTCATCGTCCGCGCATGATCCAGCACGGCGAGGTTGCCAATAGCCTCCGTCTGCGCTAAAATGGAGTCCATGGTGGCCTCGAAATCCTCGTCATCCTCCATGGCATACTCGACGGCATTACCGCCACCGCCGCTGGTGGTGTTATCACCGCCGCCGTTGCTGGGGCCTTGCCCGCCTCTGCTACTGCTGCTGCCGCTGCTGCTCGACCCCTGCATTCGGGATTCGAAGAAGCACACCACCAGATCCGATGAAAACAGCTCCAGGTCCTTGGGGGAGTCCTCCGACAAGCTAAACGTGCGCCGCGAGGTGGCAAGTCGGCTCCAGAAGTTGAGGAGGGTGGTAGCGGTGGTGAAGGAGCCGGGCTGGCCAAACGGAATGCGAAACACGTCGAGTGAGACGGCGCGCACACCGTTGATGAACGGCTGGAAGGCGCTGCTCAGATGAAGATCACGGTACCCAAACGGGGCGACCAGCCGATAGCACGCCTCTCCTAACTCCGACACGTACGACGGCACCTTCAGCCGCCCGTCAGTGAGCTGCATGGTGTTCACCAAGTAGCCCAGAGTGCCATCGAGGTAGTGCACGCGGTCGTCGGTGGATTCAAAAAAAGTTCGGCGAACGCCGCACAGGCTCGTCAGGGCGACCAGCAGCGTTTCACAAAACGGGAAAGGCAGGGCAGCGTGTTGGCCCCACAAGATCTGCTGCGTACGCGGAGCGAGGAGCACCTCCTTCCACGTGCTCGGGAACTGCGCCGATAACGCCTCCTCTGTTTCGTCGACCGTGATTGCCATAAAGTCGAACGTCATGACGTCCTTCACGAGTTCCAGCACCTCTGTGGTGGTGGCGGAGGCGTAGTTCACCTCCTCCAGCTCCGCGATGGCGGCCGTGAAGATGTCCAGCAAACACTCGTCCCGGAAGTTGTTGCTGCAGCGACGGTGCGTGGAGAAGTTCATGTACGTTTGCTGCTTCGAGGAGTCGTACTTGCTAAACTCGTTCACCAGCGTCGTCAGGAGCACCAGGGCAATGTAGTACATCCGACTGCGCTCGTCGTCGCTGTTCAGCGCCATGTGCGGCAGGCGTGAGCGATTAATGAGGCTGTAGCCCACCGTGACAGTGACGCCAGCTCCGGAGGAGGAGGAGCCCGCCGGCAGCGGCGTAGAACCTGAGCTGCCACAACCACCGCCGATGCCACTAAGCGCATTCGACTCTGCAGGACCGACAGTGCCGCAGCCCCCATTTTGACTCACGTGACGGCTGTACGCCAGCGAGGTGTCGTGCAACATCTGCAGAGCAAAGGTGGCTGCATCGATCAGGAAATTGCCCTTCTCAAAGCACAGCTTCGTCAGCTTTGCATACGCGTTCATGAGGGCGAGAACAACGTGTCGCGGCGCGCCGGCGAGACTAACGCGCTGGACGCAACCACCACACATTTGCACCACCACCTCATAGCGCTGCTCCTCGGAGAGCCATTTGCTGTTGGCTTTGAACCACGTCACCACGCCTTGCGCGGCAAACAGCAGTGCGTACTGATTGCTCGACTGTCCAAAAATCGCCCTGAGAGGGGCGACGTCGGCGTTCTCGTGCGTCAGGGTGCTTAACCGCTCCTGGGCCTGCTGCCGCGCTGACCGGTCTGGATTTGCGTAGAGGCACTCAGCCAGGGAATCAACCTCCTCCACAGAGCTCATCGCCTATTCGCTGTTCTTTTCGCTCTCCTCTACCTTTTATACTCGAGTTTGCGTGCTATGTGAAGCCACGACACACGCACACACCAGCACACCTTGGAGAGATAGTCTTCGAAGGTTTTGGGGGGTTCTCTTCGTGCTCGCGACAAGACCGCAGCTCTGAGTCCAACAAATCCACACAGCTTGATGCAGAAAAGGAAAAAGAAAGGAAGAGAAAAGAATGTGAATGAAGCAAAACAGAAATAATAATCCTACTGTAAGCGGACGTGCTCGACACAACTCTGGTGCACACACACACACACACACACACAGACACAAGAACAAAACGCACGCGTACTCTTGAGGTTTTCGTTTAATTGGGAAAGGGATCGCAGAAGCATCGCCGATAGGAGGACGACGGACGGACGGCGTGTGTGTGTGTAAAACGAAGAAAGAGAGTGGGGAAAAGGAAAGCTCGAAAAGTGAACTATTCAGGGAGAGAGATGGAGAGAGCGCAGACGACTCAACCAAAGGAGGAGGGAAAAGTCCTTCGCAATTGCACAGCTGCAGCGATTGACAACAAACGAAGAAACTTTACTGCGCGGCGATGTAGTCAACAAGGACGCTCTTTGTATTCTATCGTATGGGTGGGTCATTGTGTTTTCGTTTCCTCTTGTACTTTTCATAAGGTGGAGCTATCAGTTCATTAAGTCGTGCGGTGCGAATCAGCGGTAGCAACTGCCCAAACGGGCACTTCAGTGTTGCTTGCGCTGCCAGAGTTGCACGAACAATGTGGATCGTGAAGGCACAAAATGAAACCTCGCAATATCGCTTCATCTTCTCAACGTCGGTACTCAACGCACAATGCAGCTCCGCGCAGTGACCGTGAAAGTCGAAAGCAGACCTTCCATCTGCGTGTTGAAGGTGCGTGAGAGGGCCAGCGTCGGCTCCGCCGTGAGGGAGGCAACAGATGTCGGCGCAGCCCTCGGCCAGCTCCACTCCACCGCACCAGCCGGCAGATGGAGTCGGTTGATGCTACCCACAGTCAGGCTTGTGATGGACTGCCCACCGCCCACAGGTGCATGCGCGGGTGTCCCTCGAGCGCCGTCCGGCGGCGAGGTAGTTGTGACTCCGCCAGGGCGGTCACTCCGCTCCGTCAGCGACGACATGTACAGCAGCTGCTCCTGCGCGTGGTAGCTCTGCACCGGCGAGCGAAACGGGTTGCACAGCGCGGCCGATGCGCTCTCGTACAAGGCACGGCACAGCGGCACCATTGCATCCGCAGGTGCATCGCTGCCCACCGTCACGAGAAGCGTGCGGATGCCGGTGGCGGAGCAGAAGCCGTAGGAGCGCATTCGATGACTCTCCAGCAACTTACCGAGAAAACGGGCGTCGGTGGTGGGCGAGATGAGTCGGGCAGCGCTAGTGGCAGAGGACACCGCGTGAGAGTCGTTGGCGATCACCGTAGCGGCAGTGTTGGTGGGTGGGTTGGACGGGCTTCCCTCGCTGATGGACGGGCCGGGAGGGGAAGGCTTTGCTGTGTTGTTGTTTCTGTTGAGGGCAGAGTTGCTCCGCGAGACGGACGGTGTCGCAGATGCTGACGACGGTGATGGTAGTCGTTGGCCCGCGGTCGAGAGCGTCGCGACTGCAGTCTCCGTGGCAGGCACCTCGGTCCGCAGGACACGTGCCTCACGTAGCTCCTCACAGCGGTCTAGAGAAGCGAAGAGCACAAAGTGCAGTTTGATGACATCCTCGGGTCCTACGTAGAGGTGGGCGTGCAGCGGGGCTGCGGGGGAGTTCAGCACGTTTTTCGGGGAGATGTACGTGCGCAGAAGGAGGGGGCTGCCCTCCACATCGACGATGGCGACCCCGGCTACCGCCCATGTTTCGAGAGACATTTCGAAGCAAAGAGGAAGATAATGACGTGTGCCGACGGAACGATAATGCGAGTTATCCTTCGAGGTGGGGAGCTGCCTGGGCTTCGAAAAAGGCTGGCAGTTTTTAAAGGTTTTACGATGCCGTCAACCAGGGCACCACATAAAACAAAGGGGAGGGCCTAAGAGAGATGCGCTGCTAAATATGTGAGTGCGAGTTCTCCGGTGTGCCTTGCAGTATAAAACAAACCTGCTTCATGGCGAAATCAAAACAGTACAAAGCGGAGAGGTGAGAACACGTAAAGATGGATGGCAAGCCGGGACAAAATAGATATGTATATACACGCACGTGCACGTTGACGTCACAATACGTGGAGGAGAACGACGGACAGGACGTTCGACGCTTCACCTTCTCCTCGGAGGGTGTTTGTCGCAACGCAGTGATATTTCAGCGCAGCGGAACAACACGGCAAGGGGACCATTGTTTTGCTTCTATTACCATCATTAATTGTCAGCATTCCTTTTGTCTTTTTGCTTTGTGTATGTGTGTGTGAGGGGGGGGGGATAAAGAAGCTCCTGCCCACCAAGCCGCCCATCCCAAAAGCGGCGCCCCACGTCTCTCCGAAGAAGGACCTTGCGGATATCAAGAGAAGCGCAAAACAAGACAGAAACAAAAAAAAAGGCAAAGCTGGCAAGTAATCAACCGGGTGTTTTCTTGTGCATCAGTTAAGTCTATTTCGTTGAAGATTCACAAATGAAGTTCGCATCTGAGAGAAATCAGAAAGAACGCAGTAATTTCATTGGGTAATCATCCGTTGCACGCACACACGCGCACGCGCAGGGGGGCACCATCGCAGTAAACAACATCAACATGCAACTCTCGCAACCTTTTGACACACAACCTCGGGCACTGGTGGGCACACAAATGCATTAGCGAACCCGTCCGAGCGGTAACACAAGCTGCTTTCTTCGATTATTTGCAACTCAAATAGAACCGTGTCCTCTGATGCAACCCGATCTATGCCGTTCCGCAGCACCATCAAGACCCAAGTACACGCCTTCACTTCCACTTGACAAGAAAACAATGAGTACTCTATATATAATAGAACCGTCGATCAACTACAATTCATGCATCAGTTAAGTCTATTTCGTTGAAGATTCACAAATGAAGTTCGCATCTGAGAGAAATCAGAAAGAACGCAGTAATTTCATTGGGTAATCATCCGTTGCACGCACACACGCGCACGCGCAGGGGGGCACCATCGCAGTAAACAACATCAACATGCAACTCTCGCAACCTTTTGACACACAACCTCGGGCACTGGTGGGCACACAAATGCATTAGCGTACCCGTCCGAGCGGTAACACAAGCTGCTTCTTCTTTCTCCTGTCTGTCACATCAGCCCAGTTTGCATCCTTCATTCCAGAGAAAACGTCATCGCCGTGAGCAGGTTGGATGCGCGAGCTCGTTCGGTCTTCCGTTAAAACCCAAAAAAAAAAGGAAAGAAAGAACAGCACGTAGAAAATGCAGCGTTCGACGTGGAGGAGACGATGAGAGGGAGGCAGAAGAGACAGAGGAGAAGAGAGCGCGACCTTCCGTGAGGGCAAACTTGTGATGGAGCCACGTCGCAGAGCACGTGTTATGAGGAAAGAGAGAACAAGTTGAAGGGAATGATGGTGCTTTTCAGGGTGCAGGCTCCTCTTCTGTTGTCGATTTTTCCCCGTTTTGCGTGATGTGATCGCACTTGACGACAAATCGCTAGACAAACCCGTGCCAGATTGCCCTCAAGGAGATTCAGCCTTTCGTTTTTGAATGGAAAGAAAGAAAGCCGGTGCCTCTCTTCCGGCTTGCTTTCCTTGTGCGTGAAGCGTACATTAATTCATCGTAAATAGAGAAAACCAGTAATTATATACTTACGTATATTTGAGACATTTGTGAAGAAATCGAAGGGTGCGCCGAAAACCGCGGCGTTGAAGAGAACGAAGAACGATTGGTGTCACCGTCGCAATGCTTGTGTGATTGCCGGGTCGCGCAACAGCAGAGCAACGTGAGAAAGCAGTGAGTGCGACAGCGTCTACTGAGAGTCGATGTAGAGTACGGGATTCGAGACCACATCAGCGCACCCCTCCACGAGCTTCTCGCATATTATTTTTCCTGTCAACCGTCGCTTGGCTTCATGCCGCGCGTCAGCACCGGAAAGCCCTTCGGCTGCACCCGTGCGTTGTTGATCTCCAGCACGTCGCCCATCTTCTGGTAGTCAAAACGGCGGCTCTTCTTCCCGTAGGTAGACTGCAGCTCCTCCAGAAGCTTCTTCGCGGCCGCCTCGCGGTGCCAGCGATTGGTGAGGCGATAGGTATGGTCCAAGTCGTCCAGATCACCGGTGGGCATCTGATCCACGTAAGGGTCCTGGTAAAAGCCCTCCCACTTCAGCTGCTCCTCCGCCTCGGTGTCGCTGTTGAACGTGACGGCGTGCGAGAGGGGCCGCTCCACGCTCAGCGGGTCGACCTTGTTGTCGCTGGAGGACATGTACTCCTCCATGTGCGGGCTGGATTGCTTGTAGAGGTTTCGCATGGCCTCGGACATGGGCTGTACACCGGGCACCAACGGATCGTCCTCTCTCATCTGCTGCCGAAACTGCGCGTCGCTGGCGTCACCGGCGTCGTCCGACAGCTGCAGGTCTTCGGCGTGGGCGCGCTCCCGCAACTCTTCCTCGGTGAGTCGACGCATCGCACTCGCCTTCAGCAGCGCCTCCTTCTCCTTTTCCTTGGCACCTTGCTGCACCTCTTCCACGTAGCGCACCAGCGCATCGCCGTCGAAATTCGGCGGCAGCAGCAGCTGCTTGCGAGACCAATCCACCTCCAACTCAGGACCCAATAAAAACGTGAACTCCTGCCAGTCCCAGTGTGCCAACGCCGGTCCAACGCGAAAGAGCTCCTTCGCCCACGTCAGGCGTTCGGCGTATGTGCAGTCGTTGTTCACGAAAGCGTCCACGCCGCCCGGCTCGACCATGTCGCGAAACTCCTTCAAGTGCCACATCGTCGTCTCCAGCATCTGCTTCGACACGCGGTACAGTTTCCGCTGCAAGTCCAGTTTTCCACTGAGCGCCTGCAGCCACTCTCGCAGCTCCTGCGTGGTCTGCATCGCCACGTTAATAACAACAACGCCGTTTGCCCGCGTCGCGTGACGCATGCCGAGTTCGAGCGTCAAGTTCGTCAGCCCGTACCCGTGCAGGAGCTCCTTATTGCGGTGCAGCAGGCGCAGCGTCGCCACGGCCTCCTTGTGCGAGCACGAGACAAGGACGTCGTCCAGCTCCAAGGCGGTGCACAGCTCCGTGATGAGCTGCTCCACTTCCGTGGCGAAGGCGGTGGCGGCCGTGCGGCACTTCGCAACGGCGTCAGCGTTCTGATGGAGAAAGCTCACGAACTGAATCGGCGTGAAATCCCACGGCACCGTCAATCCGCCAGTGATATCGACGCCGATGTCCCAGTGGTCGTCGATGATGAGGGGCATCGACTCCCACTGCTCGTAGTGCAGCTCGCCGAGGTAGCTGCGCAGGGTCAGCAGGGCCGCCGAGCACTGAAGGGGAGAGAGCGTCTTGGAGAGAAGAATGTGGTCGGCGTCCATCAGCTCCTCGATGGTGGGCACACTAGTCAGCGTCCACTGCGTGTTGATGGCCTCGCTCGCCTCGTCCAGCAGGGTTTTGCTGGCGCTAGGACTACCTTTCTTGTTCTTTAGCCGTGGATCCGGCCGGCGACGCAGCGGTTTGGCCTCCCGACGCGCCGCAGCGTCGTCCTCCGCGACAGACAGCGACTCGGTGACGGAGTCGATGCACTCTGCCCGGCGCAGCAGATCGCGCAGAAACTTATTGACAGAGCGCTCCACCAGTCCTCTGTTAGGCTCACTCGCCACGAAGCCCTGCGGCAGCTCGAAGGTCGAGCTGATCAGCGCGGTTTGCCCGCCCTCTGGGCTTAGAAAGCCGCGCTTCGCAAACGAGGACTCCTGCGGACGGCCTTCGGCGCCGGTTGAGGCGACGCCCTCCTCGTCTGTGCCGCTTCGGATCGCGCCTGCAAACGACGAGTCACGTTTGCCGTCGGCGTCGTCTACGCGGCGATAAAAGGTGAAAGCGATGGTCGTCGCCGGCGGTGGGCGCAGCGTCCCCTGCTTAAACTCACGTGCCCAAGCGAGAAGTTCGTTCAGCTGGGCGACGGCGTTCTGGTTCACCGTTTGCTGCTGCACATCGTGGTGGAAAAAGTCGGGATGGACCTTCAGAAAGAAGGCGTTCAGGGCTTTTTTGTACATGGTTTACGGCCTGCAAGAGAGCAGGCACGACAGGAGGAGCTGGCAGAGACTTCCGGTGCCTTTTTGGGGGATGTGGAAGACACTCGCTGGCCGTCCCTGTGATGCTGCCACGCGGGGGAGGGGAGCGGTGGTGGTGATGAGCCGCTTCAGCTGTGAGAAGAGGGAGTTGTGCGTGGACGAAAGGGAGGGAAAAGGAAGTGCGCGTTGTAGACGGGGATGCGACGGACAACGAGAGACGTTCGAATGAAAACTTTTTTCTCTTTCGAGGAGGCTGGAATCGCCGTGCGTGCTGACTCGCCCTCTCCATGCATGACACAACGCGAATGAAGCCCGCTGTGCCCCGTCAGCGCCTTCTCCGCGCCGCGCGATGCGTGAGATGACGATGCCGCAGAAGGAGAGAAAGCGGTGGTGTCGAGAACAGCTCTGACCTGCGCCACATTAAATTATGTCATTATTTTGCATTCCACAGCTTCTAAAGCGGGCACAAGCGAGACGACACGCGTCGCGCACGCAACGAAAAACAAGGAGAGACGAGAGTCAACGGTCGCCTGCACGATAGGAGAAACACAGATTTCACATACAGAGTCGGGAACAGCGGAGGGCGAGAGAGGGCAGAGAAGGCAGCTTGAAACGAAGCAAGTGCCATCAAGAGCTGGTGCTGCTCTACGGCGGCGGCGGGATGTGTGCGTTTGACATGGACTTCTTCACGGCCTGGGTGGCACGACGGATGCTGTTCTTCAGCAGTCGCAGCGCCTCCTGCACGTGCTTCGAGCTCTTCATCTCGATATCCAGCGTCAACGAGCGCTGGCACAGCTGGTACACTATCTCTTGCGGCGTCTGTTTAGCCCCGACGCTGCCGCGTGAGGTGTTGCTGATATCGTCGCCGCCGCCTAGCAGCCGCGCCGCCTTGGACAGAGTCGACGGCGACGAAACGGTCAAGAGTGCGTTCGCCGTGAGCGTCTTCTCGATCTCGCTTGACGACGAGCCCACCTCATTCGGGCTGAAGGGACGCTGAATTGTGATGACCAGGTGCGACGCGGCCGACCTGGAGTGCTCCTTCTTCGCTCGAGACCCTTTCGATGCGTGGGAGGCGGGGGTGCCAGATGGAGGATGCACCCCGCTCCCCTCCGCCGTGATGGTGTTCACCATGGAGGAGTGCAACGAGGAGGTCTCGCCGGTTTGATGGCTTGCCTCTTCCCCTGACATGCACTCGAAGCCAATACCGACGGGGTGCACAACCATCTGCGCCCGTCGCGAGCTGCGGCCAATTGTGCGGCTCTTCTCAAAGGTCAGCACAAACAAAATCTCCCACTCCAGCGACAGCTCCACCTTCTGCGCACCCCACTTGCCCCGGCCTATCACCGTCTTCTGCTGGTGCTGCGGTTCGAGTGGGACGCTGCCGCGCGCGACTCCTTCGTACGCCACACGCATCAGCCGCTTGTACTTACCTTCCAGCACACGCTCATACTCGGACTTGCCCCGGTCCGCACCACCGGCCGTGGTCGATGACCCGCTGAGCTGGCGTGAGAGATTGGCCGCCGACGCGGTGCTGGGCTCTGGTGCACGGCGGTCCTGCTGCGACGGTGCTCGCTCCGGTTCGGGGTTCATTCGAGGCGGCGGCTGCGGCGAGGGCGACGTCGGTGTACGCGACTGCACACCCGGGTTTGCCTCGCGCTGCCTTGTCGGGGGTTGGCGGCTGCTATTGTTGTTGCTGTCTTTCAGCGCGTTCATGAACGGGCCGCCCGTCAGCGTTTGCTGCGTGTGCGGCGGCGATGCCCCGGTGAGGCGCGCCATGCTCGGGGAGGCAGACGCGCTCGTCATGGGCGAGAGCACGCCCAGGTCAGAGTCATCGTCGCCGCCCCCGCGCCGAGCCCGCTTCGTCGACTCCGCGGCGCCGGTGTGGTGCCCCTGTGGGTAGTACTGCAGATTTGGCGCGTCCGGCACGGAGGGCGACCGCGCAGCCGCGGACGGCGTAGACCCACGCAGCACCACAATCGGCCCCGCCTCGCTCGTCGGCTCCTCCGTCACCTCATCGAAGGAGATGCTGCTGGAGTGGGTGAGGGGGTGGGGCGGTGTGGGGAGACGGCGTGGGTGCGGAGGCGGGCGGCCCTGCAGCAGCTGCGTCGGCGTGACCAAATGTTGTTTTACGTCGTTGTTGCTGCCGATCGATTTCGTTGTCGACGGACTCGTCGCTCGCGGGGTGTCGGCGCCGTCTCCGCCGGTGTTGCCATTGTCCCCTGCTTCTCCATTTCCTCTTCTCCTCGCATTTCCACCGTCGCGGTTGTCCGCCCCCGCGCTGATGCCTTTCCGGTAGACCTCCTCTCTTTCCGGTATTACGCGGTCGTACGCGACGGTGGGCGACGCCGACTCAGCTTGCCATTTCGCCTCGGAAGCAGCCGCGACAGCTTCAGCGGCTGTGGGCACGGCATTGCCGTGTGTTAACTCCCTCCACGAGGAAACGCCCAACTCGTGCTCGAGCGCGGTGGCACTGCCGTGATAGTAGTGCACAAGAGACCCAATGCTGCCGTAGCTCTTGATGAGTCTGCCCTGCACGCCTGGTCGTGCTTCTAAAAACTTCTCCATTTGCGCGACGGTGTCCGCGGCGAGCTTGTGCCGTCGCAGGAGCCGCGATAGACGTGGGAAGTAGAAGCGATCAACCTGGTCCACCGTGAGCGGCACAATGCCGGCACGGCCGCCGCTGCCCCCGCCACGACGCACAGCGTGATTGCTGTCCTGCAGCCGATTGGCCAAGGTGGCGCGGCGTTCGTTCGTCCGAACCTGCACCTGCAACATCGCCGTGGCGGCGCCACCATCTCCGTGCAGCGTGACGGACAGCACGGCGTGCTTTCGGTCCTCGTCGGGGGGCTGCAGCAGCGCCAAAAAGTCGTCGCAGAGGCAATCACGTGCCTCCTGGGCGAGGGCGGTGGACGAGGGAGAGGTGGGCGAGCGCTCCGCTGCGGCAGCGGTATCGTCACCGCCGACGGCAGCGTGCAACAGCCGCCACGCACGACACACTGCCGTACCTTCCTGATGCGTGTACGACAGCGTGAAGGTCTTGACGCGGCCTTCCAACTCGCTTGACCGGCGCCGCACGCGGACGGGCGATGAAACCACACGGTCTTCGTCGCCCTCATCGCTCACTGTGCCTCTGCCATCGGCTACTGTCTTCCCTGCGTGCACTGGGGGAGGAGGGGAGGAAGCCAGTGCACCCCTGGTATTCTGTGCCTGTTGTCTCGACCCCGGCGATGAAGTGCTGTCACTCCGCGTACCGTCCTTCCCACGACTTTCCGGGCTGTTGCTGCTGCTACGAAGCTCCGCCATATCCGGTTCTCCTCGACTCGGCACGTTGCTCGCTGGAGCTGTCCAAGGTCGCGGCGCCCCTACAGCGGGTACGTGAGCGGCCTCGTACTCCATCTCCACCATCGACGGTGTCTTTTCTTCTTCCTCATCCAACGCGGCGGCGGCTGCGCCTCTTCGCGGCACCAATCGGTCGGCGGGCGACAAAGGACCCGACAACTGATCCGTCAACACCGCATTCTCCGCGTCTTTGCCTTCACCTGCAGGCGGCCTTTGGGGAGCTGATTTGGGCTCTCCAGGTGTGGGTTGCTGCCGTTTCTTCTCTGTCTGGCCTTCTTCGTTTTTGGCGACAAGTGACTGCGGTGGTGAAAGTCGAGAAGAGGGCCCTTCACCCCTCCGCTGCCGGTCGTGACCGCGCTTTTGCTTCTCTGGTGTCTCCACGCTCGTCGTCTCTCGCTCCTCCTCGTCGTCGTCGTCGCCGCTGTCCGTCAACTCATCAGAGTTGCGAAAAACTTTTGTGTGTAGCAGAACAGCAGAACGGCTCTCTGCTGGAATAATTTTGGTAGGGACGGATGCGGTGGAACCCTGTCCCTGTGAAGGCTCCAGCGCCAGAGGGGTCGAAGTGGCAGCTGCATCGCCCGCACTGTCGTGAGGAGCGTCGAAGGGATTGGAAGTTGCGGCACGCTCAGCTTGTCGAAGAGAGCGCAGCGATGGTGTCGACGCGTTGCCTCTGGTGTCAACAGCTGTCTTGTCAACCGTCCCCGCTCGCGAAGAAATGTTCGCTGTGTCATCCACCGGTTGCTGTTCCTCCGCGTTGCGGGCGCCAGCGTAGAGGTCGACGACAGGAATTTTTTGCTGCGCTGCACCTGATGGAGAAGCATGCCTCTCTTTTCCTGTTTCAATGTTGTTGCCGTGCTTCTGTTGCCTACGCGAAGTGCCGTCTGAGGCTGACATAGCCGAATGCACGTCCTCCCCTGCCTCCCCCTCTCCGCTATCCGCTGCAGCTGTTGTTGCTGCTGGAGGGTTGTGGTCTGTTGCAGCTGGCGTGACAGTCTGGCCTTGGGAAGTGCTTGCATTGATGACGTCCACTTCCTTCGTCTCTACAGCAGTCATGAGACCCAACTCCTTCCAAAGCTGGGGGTGCAACTGCGCGAGTGAAGCAACTTGCGGCGCTTCGCCCTCCGCCGCCTCCTCATAGTCTTCTGCTGCGTCTAGATGGTGCGCATGAGCAGCATCAACTGCAGATCCCGCGTAGAGAGCGTCTAGTTTCGCGCGGACAGCCGGTGACAACCGCGCCGCGCGCTCCACCGCCTGAACTGGGTCCCACTCGGTCACAGTTGCCGCTGCTGACTTCTCTGCCACCTCTGCACTGCCTTCCGCTACCACATGCGCCCTTAGCCACTGTAGAAGGTGGGCAAAGCACGCGCACTGGTCAGCCCACGGAACGTTCAACACCTCCTGCAACCGCTGCGCCATGCGTGCTTTGCGCTCGTTTGTCGTGACTTCAAAGCGCATCCAGTGTGATTCCGCAGCGTCGGTGAGGCCGCGATTGTCAGACGTGCGAAGATCAGGCGGGAGGTACTTGACTGCCTCGACCACGATGGCAGCTGACCGCGGAGACAGCGCCATGCCGTCCTCAGTGCTGTTGCTGCCGTCATTGTCTGGATGAGACGCGGCCTGTGCACTCGCCTTCTGCAGCGCGCTCAGCAGATCGGCGGCGAGTGCCGCGCGAGCACCGTTACCGAGGGGATCCGGCGGGGGTCGCGCCAGCACGTTGAAGGTGCGGCAAAGGAGGTGACCGGCTGGGTGGTCGAAGGAAAGAACAAAGACGCGGCTTGGACGTGCTTTGGCACGACGTTTAGCCGAGCGGGCGGTGGGGCTGCTGAAGTTGTCCCGCTCATCCTCGCCGTCTTCGACTTGACGAGGAGCACCAGCACCGTCTGCCCTGTCCACCGTCGCTGCAGCGTCTCCAGCGCTGCTCGCCGCTTCTCTTTCCTCACCTTTCCGCTCCGCCTTCTCCAGAAAAAGAGATCCGAGTGACGTGCCGGTGGCGGAGAGAAGGCTGCCACGTTGCGACTGCGGCGGTCCCTGCAAAACCTGCTGTTGGTGTGCGGCGGCGGCGGCACTATCACTAGAGTGCGACATCACCAACGACGATGGTGGAGGGAAAGACGACAGGGACGTCACCGGGTCGCCGTAGCTGTTGACCGACAGGTAGAACGGTGCTGAATTCACGAGACCACTCGCCTCGTCAAAGGCCGCACCTGCTACAGGGATGGGCCGAGGTGGCAGACGCGCATCGGGGGTGGTGAGCAGACCCGCACCCGGACGTCCTTGCAGCTGACTGCGAGTGAGCGCTTTCGATGACGTGCGCGGCACATCCAGCGAGGAAAGAAGACTGCGTTGGGCTGCGGCGGGCTGCGTAAAAGACGACGAGGTAGATGTGGGGGACGTGCGAATTGCACCAAGAATTACCCCTCCGCCACCGGCGACTACGGTGGTGGCGGTGGCAGCAGGCGAAGACAGGGCGGCCGCCGAGTAAGGAGGGCGTTGTGGCGGTTGATCGGCGAGGTGAGATGCGCCGCCGTCATCACTGGCGGTGCTCATCAGACGATCGGCCTCGACCTCTGACACAAAAAGGCGGCTCCGTGGGCAGGTGCAAAAAACGTCGCCGCGCTCGTCACAGCCGGCGTAGTACACGTTGACGCGAGCACTGCCATTCTGGCTAAAAGGAGAGGAGCGACAACGAGCAGCGGGAGTGCTGCGGCCTCCACTGCTCCCCAACGTGCTCATCGGAGGCGCGCTGAAGTACACCGTTAAAGAAGACACGTCGTCCTTGGCGGAGCCGTGCGCCGCCGACCGCAGCGCAGCTCGCCGCAGAACGGCCGCCTCCGCCACGGTGCACACCTCGTTCAAATACGCGTTTGCCTCCCGCGTCTGCGACGACGGCACACGGCCCTCCCCTTCGTTTGTTCCGTTGGCAACGTAGCCGTTCGCCTTGTCGAAATCACCCTCGTCGTCTTCCACCCCCGCGTTGCGCTGCAGAGCCAAGGTCGCCATCTGGGCAATCGGTATCGACACCCGCGCCACCCCCTTGTTGCCGCCGCCTTCACCGTCTTCGGTTTCTGCCAAGAGGAAAGCCGAGACGACGCGCAGACACCCCTCCGCAGTCAGCAAGTTGTCGGACAAGTTCAACGTGCGTAAGTTCGCCAGCATCCCGGTGCGGAGTCGACCGCGCCGCACGCTGACGCAGAGTCCACGCGCGCCGGCGTCTGTCAGGCCGGTGTTGCTGAGGTCCAACTCCCGCACGTGGGCAAAGGCGGCCGGCACGACGCGCTGCCGCACCACCGCGTTGTACGCCGCGTGGGCCATCAGTTCACCGCAAACGTCGCCGAGCAGCGTCTGCCCTGCCGCAGTGGCGGTGTCCAAAACAAACTCCACCTCTCCTCGATCCTCGCGGTACATCTGCAGCCCGCGCTGCCCCTCCGGCCCACGCAGGCGCCGCTCCACGGCGGCGCGGCGGTTCGCCTCGGCCACGAGCCGCTGCTGCTCCTCCGCCGGTACCAACGACCACTCAAAGGTGTCCGAGAGGTCCACCAAATCGAGCTGGGGGCAGCTGAAGAAGATATTCAGCAGCAGTTCCCGACACCCGACCGGCGAGCAGGACTGGCTCAGCGGCACGCTATGCAGGACGAGGGTGGAGAGGGCACAGGAGGTGGCAAAGCCGCGCACATCGCTGAAGGCCGCGTGCGGACGCCGCATGAGCGCTCCGGACGAGATGAGAGGTGTCTTGGCCAGCCGAAGCCGTCGTGGCGCGGGCGCGGGCCGGTACGTGTGCGATCGGCCGCTGGCCTCTGCCGGTGCGGCTGCTGCTGCTGTAGCCATCTCCTGGCTGCCCATATCGAGTGCTTCTTGATAGGCGGTAGGAGGCAGGGGCAGCAGTGCTGTCACACCGGCCACATTGTGTGACAAGAGGACAACACGTAGCCGATGGGCGCGACTGGCAGCGGCGAGGGCATCGGAGAGCCCACGCGCCGATGCACGGCAGTCGCGCAGGTCAAGGAGAACAGGTCCAATCGGCAGGCTTTCGATGTTATTGGCTGTCGTCCTCTTCTCTCGTTCCTCCGCACCTCCATCCGTTTCTTCTCTCAGTTGTTGGGACAAGGCAGCAGCCGCGTGGCGCTGCCCTCGCGCGAGCCGTAGCTGATGCCGCAGCGTCCCAGGAAAGAGCTCCGGATCGCTATCCACGGCCTCCACGTTCAACTTTGACAGGTAAATGGCGAGAGTCTGTATACCGTAATCTTTTAATGGGTTGCCCAGCAACCGCACCTCTTCCAGAGAGTCCGCCATCCACAACAGCATCTTGCCCAGGTGATTGCAGCTGCGCTGCGAGATGGCATTTCCGCTGAGATCGAGCACGCGTAAGAAGTGGAGAGGCGTTGTACGGGTATTTGCCGTGGCGGCGGCGGCGGCGCCACTACGGGGGGATGCATGCACCGACCGTAACGCAGACGGCGACGGCGACGCACGCGGATTACTTGCGAACGAGCAAACACCGCAGCTGCCACGCACCAACTCCACCACCTCATCGTCTGCGAGTCCCATCTGCACCAGCCGCAGCACCTCGAGGAGCTGCAGCTGCGGCAGTATCTCCAGCGCAAACCACGTCCACTGTGTCCGTTGCATTCGATAACAGGTTAAATCGAGCGCCGTGATCTGCGTCGATTGGGTGTGGCGGCGGAGGTGCACCTGCAGCCCCACCCAGCCCACCGTGCCCTCCGACGTAAAAAGATGGTACTCGTCGGTGAGGGAGCGGAAGGTGAGGTGGCCAAGAGCCCAAGGCCCTGCTGTAGTGTTGTCCGCATCACTGATGCCCGTCGCGTACAGAGCTTCCTTTGTCTCTCCCGCCGTCATCATGCCCGACCCACCCTGCGCAGGCAGTGGCAGCGGCGTGGCCCACACGTCTTCAACAGACACCCGTGGCGTGCCGCGCGCCGTGTCCCTCCCACGCCCGTTCTGCGTTGTCGATGGCTCTTCCTGTGCGTCGTACGCAGCAGGTGCGCGCCGCGACGAAAGCGGAGCCGAGGAAAGAGGTCTCGCTGCCGCCTCAAAACGCGTCTCCGCCACCGTGCTGTCCGTAGTGACACGAGGCACCGTTTCCGGCTTTCCTGTACCGGTTCGCACCAGCGGGGGAGGAGGGCGCTGCGTTTTCAGATCCACATTGCCGCGCCGTGCGCCAGCAGCTGCACCCGTCGGTTTTAATATGGACGCCGGGGTCCAGGTGGGCAACGTGAAAGCAGAAGCAGCGGCGACCGGAGCAGCGAGAGAGAGAGACGGAGCGGTGCGGTCACGTTGTGACGGCCATCCTTCCACCGCAAACCCATCGTCCGCCGGAGCGCTGGCCGTGTCACGACCGATTTTTGTTCGCCCCCAACTCGAACTTCCTCGACCGGTGATGTCCGGCGTTGCATGAGGCGTCGCTGTGCTGTGCCCCTCCTCTCGTTGCCGCCGCTGCGGCTCGGGGCTCTGCCGCCCGACGCTGTGCGATGCAGACGGGGGAGGGTAGAGTGACACAGCTGAGGCACCAGGCACCTCGGAAGACGCGCTTCGGTAGCGTATCTTCGGTGTCAACCTTCCCCGCTCAGTGGTCGGCCCACGCAACTCCATGCTCTCCGTAGCCGGATGAAGGCTGTGCGGCCTCCACGCCGCGGGAGGTGTCGGCGTTTCTGCTCCCGAGGAACGCCACGTAAAGGGCGTGTCAGGCACGGTGGTGTCCAATGTGCTACCGCCGCCGCTATGGACGTATCGCATGGATGGTCTCCACGCGGACTGCCAGCTAGAGGACACAAGCCCCGGTGGTGGCGGTGGTGGTGCGGCCGCTGCTGCAGACGTGGCGGACCTGTCCAGCGATCGATCCGCTGAGCCCGACGGTGCGGGTGCAGGTTGAGGAGCGACATAGCTTGGCCGAGGCTCTTCCCCCTCCTCTTCCCGTCCGTTTGTCACTACAGACGCCGATGTCGTCGCTTTGCTGGCTGCTAAAAGGAAGTTGTCGCCATTGTCGCCCTCTTTCAGTGGCGGCTGCACCCTCGTCTTGTATGAGCGATCCACCTCACTCGAGTCAGTTGTCGGACGCGGAGGTGGGGTAGTAGCAACGGTAAAGCTGCTCAGCAATGACCTTGCCGGCCCTTCTAAACTATGATGCATTGTATTCATGCGTTCGAACGTTGGCTTCCCTTTAAGGTTTTCTTTCTCTTTCTTTTTTTAACCCTGACAAGCCTTGTCAGTCACCGCACTTAAAGAAGTCTACAAAGAAGAAGAGTGAATGCGTAAGCGTAGCAGTAATCGCCCCTGCAACCCAACGGTCTACTATAACAAGGGGTAAAAAGAATTAGCCGTCTATGCTTTTTTAAGGTGCTTCAGCCCTGCTTGCCTTTCTTTTCTGCAGAAGTGCGAAGCAGCTGAAGGAAAAAGTACGCGTCGCACAACAGTAGAACAACAAAAACAGAAGGAAGGTGAAGAGCTTCCTGAATCGTGTTTTATTCAAATTTGTGTCTCCACAGTTTTACCCGCCTGCCATACAGGCTTCGATTCGAGTAATCGGCTTTCTGTGTGTGTGTGGTTGGCAGCCCGAAAGGAAGAACTACGCAGGAGAAGCAAAAAAATGGATACGAAGTCAAATAACGGACACTGAGAAACCTGGACGGCACGAATCCGATTGGCCCAGCACAAAGGCCTCTCTGCGCACACAGTCTCCTCACCCTTCACGACAAGAATTAAAGGTGCAATACGGTGGAGTATGAACGAGGCAAACAGGTACGCTGGATCATTAAGGTGACGCAGCGAGACCTGCGCACTCGACAAGTAGCAAATCCACGAGATCGATGCTGAACGAATGGAACACCAGGAGGCGCAGAATGGAAGAGGGGAAAGGAGGGGGGAGGTTGAAAGTACTCGCACAAACACGCATGCACATGAGGTCTACAAAAAGCAAGTTTTTATGTCGAGCAACGATAGTTGCACCGCTTTGTCTTTTGTGATGTTTTTTATTAGTTTTTCAATATCAGTAGTAGCTCATTCCGGTCCGGAAAAGACGAGAAGCAGACAGCGTTGCTCAGGCAGCCCCTCTTAGTCTTCCATTCTACAGTGCATTCTTTTCCTTTCGTCTGGGTTTTTTCTTCTTCATTTTCGTAGACAAGAACTGTGCAGAAGACAACGGAGGATAACAGCGAAAAAAGAGGGAGGGGGAAGTTAACGGACGCTACGGTGTATGTGCACGGCACAACACTGCGTATACACGCCGTCAACTTGGCTCTCGTGTTTTTGGAAGCGCTAGCGTGTTAATGGCTGCGTGGATGCGCGTGTGAGTGGCAGTTTTCGTCGTTACAGGAAAAACAAACATGTTTAGCAAAAGAAGAACCATTAAATTGAGAGCGACAAACGTGGGTGATCCGTGAAACAGCAAGGCAAGGGTGAGTCGTATGCTTGTTTGTCTCTCCCTCACAGAAGAAAACTGCCGAGAACGAAAACACTTTTTTTTCAAGCGAAGAAGACCTGCCTTACTGCTTCCGTTTCTTGAGCACCACAAGAGCTACAGTTGTCAAAACGCAAACGCCGCTTAACGCCAGCGGCACCACCATCTGCCACGACACGTTGCCCTCCGCTGCCTTCGCCAGTTTACCAGTCGGCGCCGCGTTACCCTTTACACGTCCAGCGATGGCAGCCGTCGACGCCACCGCCGGTGTCGGCGTAGCAGAGCCCTTCGCTGAGTTCGCTGCGGCCGAACCTGAAGTGCCGTCCTTCGTGGCTCCCCTGCTAGAATTATTATTACTACTATTGGCTGCACCTCCGCCCTGGACAATGACGCGAGAGTACTCGGGCAACTCGTCCCAGGTCACGTCCTCGTCCAGCACAACCGGCTGCGGCATCGCCTCCACGGCGAGACGAGACGTCTTGACCAAAAATCGCGAGGGGACGGCGCGGATGTCGATGATCTCCACCTGGTAGTTCTCCAACGGTTGGAAGATGCTTGCAAAGGCATCGTAGAGCGGGTACAGATCGACCCGCTTCCGCATGGCCTCCCAAAACGACATCGTCTCTAGCAGCTCCAGACCTTCGCCCCGCTTTAGCAGCAGGTCCGTGATATCCTTCACAACGTCGTCTTCGTAGATCGCCTCGGAGCGCGAGTTGGGTGTCTCCTCCGGGCACAGCGCGAGCACCTCCTTGCGGTACTCCCTACACGCCACGTAGCAGTAAGGGACGGCGTAGCGCTTCCACGTAGGGCCGTAGCCGATGTGAATGGCGTACGCGGACGGCAGTGTCTGCAGCACCAACGAGAAGTCGTAGTGGAACTCCATCAACTCGCCCGGCGCGACATCGTGGAAGTGACGCGGTCGGTAGTTCGTGACGAGCGGCGCCACGATGAACTGCGCAATCGCCGTCTCGGGGTGGCCGCTCTTGCCGAACCGCTGATCCACCTTGATGTGCGGCAGCGACGTCTTGCACTTCTCACGCAGCGGTGCCATGAAAGGTGACACGCTGTGCAGCAACGCGTTGGCGAAGGCCTCGAAGGCGTTGCGCTGCGACTGCTCCTGCCGCTGCTGGGCTTTGGTGAGCTTCTTCCAGTGGTGCTTGGTGCCCCCTTTCGTTGTCGCCATGGTAAGCGCCGTGCTCGCGCTGTCGTCCACGTCTGCTAGGGCCGCTGCGGCAGCCGCAGCCGCACTGCTGGTGCTGGCGACGCCAAGCGTGGTGGGCTTGCGTGCTGCGACGGCGGCACCTTTGACGGCGCTGGCGTACGTTGTGGGGAGCGGCACCGCGCTTGGCTTCGCCTCCCCGGCAGCTCCACCGGCAGTCACATTCGGAGTAGCGGAGGTGGTGGCAGCAGCGGCGGCCGTCAAGCCACCACTCGGATTATGCGCCGTCCCCGCCACCTCATCACCATCGAGCCCCTTTAGCTGCCGATCGATCAACTCTCCGGTTAGCTCCATCAACTTCTTGAACTCCGCCTCCCAGTCAATGTTGGCGAGCTCGTCGGCGATGGTTGGGTCGCCGCCGGTCATGTAACTCGGAATGTACGAGGGTGGGGTACTAGAGGCAGCGGCAGCGGCAGCGGTGGCAGCTGAGGCGGCCGGCGGTGTGCCAGCCGAGGCCCCGCGAGACGGCTCGTCGCTCTCCCTCTCACCCGGCAGCACTGTAGCAGGAGGAAGGGCGAAGTCGGTCATGCCGTGCTCGTTGTTTCCCGTCGGCTTCCATTCTGTCGCGTTTGGATTGAGATGAGACATCTTTTCCTTTTTGGCAAATTAAAGATGTGTTTTTTCTTTTATTCCTTTCCTTCGACTTACCTGAAGAAAAAATAAGGAGACAAAGCGCACGTGCAAATGGCGACAAATGACGCGTTGCACACGAAATGCATAAGATGGCAAGCAAACAGAGAACCCCAACAGCGCTCACTGCTGACTACGGTCAAGTCAAAACGAAAGCAGCGATAAAGAAAAGAGGCTGCGAGTTTCTGGCGCACGCGTTTTGATCAGTGTCCGCTGTTTCGGTTTTCTGGTGACCATTGCAAACAGGAATATAAGAAGAAGAAAAAAGGATGGACAGTTGGGGAAAGGAAGAAACTGAAAGACAGATGCGTTGAGGCAGAGGCGGTGGCAGCGACGCTTCGCACGTTGCCGTCACGGGGAGAGGAAGAAGAGGGGGAGGAATGCGAGGCGGCGGTGACAGCGAGGACGGTGCTGCGTACACAAAAAAAATGTCTTGTTTCTTTTTTATTATTGCTTATTTGAGCCGATGGTGAGAACTTTAATGCACGAGCCATAGGATGCTCTCTCCGGTGTCGATGCAGATCTTCGCGTTTGGCGGCTCTGGATCGCTTATCGGAGCATTCCATACACCTTGAGCGCTTCAGCACCGTGAAGAAGAGAAACAAATAAAAAGGCACGCAAGGGAGAACGAACAAGGGAGAAGAAGAAAAAACAAATACGCAGCTGCGCCACACAAACAAACAAAAAGAATCGACACGCAGCCCGACATCATCAACTGATAAATAACGAAAAGGGACGAAGAGAAAAGCATTGGCAGACAAATCCAATGGTGTATAGCGCCGAGTTGCGGTCTGTGATATAAGTAAACAAAAAAGAAGAGAGAAAGGAAACGCCAACAAGTTGATTCAGAGCACTTCAACAGAAACACCAAATCTACACCACAATCAAAAAAAGAATCTCAAGCCGCTGCAAGATCTACGCAGAAAGGATGGTGTCCTTCCAGCTTGGCGAGAAGAAGGTGGCGAAGACCTTCGAGGGCATGTAGGTATTGTACTCCATCACGTGCGGCTCGTCGCGCTCCCAGCACGCCTTGAAGTGCAGCAGCAGCGCGTGATGCAAGGCAAACATGCCAGCCTCAGCATTCGTGAGGGGAGCGCAAGTTTCCCAGAAGGCGGCGGTGTCCTCGGCCCTGGTGTTGGTCATCGATACGTTCTTCTGTGCCGCGAGCGCGCGTCGCGCCGTCAGTTTCGCCGTGGCATCGCCCGCGGCACCCTGTCGCAGGGTATCGTAGATGAGCTCCAGGTGCGGCAGGTGGAGTTGGTGGTCCTGCTCCAGGATCAACTGCGTGGAGAGCTGAATGCTGACGACGGCGAGCAGGTACCAGCTGTGCTTGTTCTCGCGCTGGATGCGTTCGTTGTACGCCATCATTTCACGGAACGCGGTGTTGTGCGCCTGTGCAAAGTGGACGAGCTGGCGCAGGGCGAGGATGCCGCCGCCGCGCAGATCGGTGACGGGGTCCTCGCCTTGAAAGCCGAGCGCGCTCCACTGAGAGCCGAGACGGTTGTACGCCGTTGCCGGCTTCCCTGTCGCCATCCACAGTTGCTGCAGGAGGTTGAGGTGGCTGCGGTTGTCGTTGTCGAAGACGCTCGCCCGCTCCACGCCCATGCGGCGCAGCACAAGATCAGAGCCCCACAGCTGGTTAAAGAGCTCCCACTCCACCCGCAGCGACGCCGGCGGCTTCGTTGACGCCTGTTCCTGCTGAGCGGACGAGGAGAGCTGGCGACGCACCGCTGGCAAGTAGCTGACCTCGATGTAATGCAGGATAGGGTAGGGCACACGCACAAGAAAGGCATTCGCTGGCGGCAACTTTTGCGAGGGCAGCTGCAGCTCCAGCACCCCCAACCGGGCAGCCGCCGGTACCGGGGCGGTGGGCGAGCCGCGCAGAAACGCGACAAGCTCCCCGCAGGTCGTGCACCGGCCACTGCGGATCGCCGCGAGGGCCTCGGCGATGGCCTGCCGGGGAGCTTCCACAGCCGAGTCGGAGCGAAACGCGCGCCGGCCACCGCCGGTGCCGACTCCGCCGCTGGAGGACAGCATCAGATACGTCAGTCCTGCGCCGAGGGCTGCGGCGGCGGTGACGGCGGCGGCGATGATTTGAGGGCCGCGGCTGCTCCCATTAACTGTCGAAGAGGAAGTTGACGAGCTCATTGCTGTGTATCAGAAAGTGGAGGAATGGAACAAAATATATGTAAAAAAAGTGAAGAGGAAGAAAAAAAAGGCGGCTGCCGTTTGGAATGTTTCTTCTTTCCGTTGTTGTTGTTGTTTTGTTACTATGTAACACTCGCTTCGTTCTGCTTCGATATGTATAAATCGGCGCCTTCACAAAGCGGAGGAGCAGCGCGTGATGGGCAGAAAACAGCTGTATATCGTTTTACCCTTCTTTGACGCACCAGAAACCTGCTGCTAGAAAACTAGGGTAAATAAGTGTGTGAGAAGACAGTTGGAGATCGGGGAAGGGTTCGACAAGAGTTACGGATATGAAGGTAGCAACACCGCTTTCGCTGCTCGATTGGTCTTCGAAAGCGGTCTTGTCCATCAGTCCAGAATGCATAAGTATATATGGAATGTGAGGCGCATACAGTGAAAGTGAAATAAGCACAGCGAAGAAAGACGGCAGACGGCTAAGAAAAACAAGAGGAAGAAGCCGAACCACACAGCACAAATAACCACACCTACCTCAGTGCGCGTTTATCTTTTTTCTCAACTAGCCGTCGTCTCAACACGTCAAATGGCATTCGACTTTAGTCTGCAACTCTTCGGTGTGTGTATGCGGGCAGCATCTGTGAGCTGACACGCCGCTGAAGCGATTGGCCTGCATTCTTGGCATTCTCTTTGTTTGACTACATGTCGTTGTGATGGTAAAATGAACAAAGCCGTTTAAAGACACTTGAGCGGCACACTACACGGTTAACATGAAATACTGATCCGCACGCCACTCACTGCCGCTCACCAACCTTGAAAGAGAAACATATATCTAGCGCGGCATGAAGGCGCCAAAGAAAAAAAAACGTCAATTTAGCTTCCCTTGAATTTCCGCTCGCGGCAGAAAACCGGCTCTGACAGGATTAAATAAATGGAGAAAGAAAAAGGTTCCATGAAGCCACGTAATTCAAAGAAAAGTGAAGGCGTAGCACTCTTGTACAGGAGAGTTGCGGGCGATGCCGCGAGTCATTGCTTTTGCTGCTGTCTTCTTTTTAGTGTCATTTTTTCCGCCCGTCTTAGCACTAATCGCCACCCTTGCTACCCTTTTCATGCTTTACTCCCGATCATCACGTGTGACGCTGTTGTCTTCATTTAAATATCAGCACAGGCCCTTCACAATCTCTACAGGTATCGATTATTTTCATAGACGGGAAATGCTTCCACACAACCCCTATTTAAAAAAAAAAAACGAAAGCCCAAAAAAAGAAAAGGAGGTGTAGAAGGGCCGTTCGCTTACAGGAACAAATTTTACGAGATCAAGCTTTCTTTCTTCGAAGAGAGGATCGTGTTGGGCAGCTTGGGGCTGCCACGACGACTGCACGGTTCAACAAACGAAAAGAAGAAGCACTTCAACCTCCATATGTATAGCTCAAATGTCCAGGAAACAAATAATATTAGTAGCGCCGCAACAAAAAAAAACGGGTGCGGTGGGGCGAACGAGGGGGAAAAGATCGACGACGAGAGCAGGAGAAGAGGGGGAGAAAGTTCGTATTGCCGTGGACGTACGATTTCAGCTTCCAAAGACACAGCGCTAACAACACACCACCAGGCTAAATATAGTACGTACACTTTTTTGGGGATAAAAGGAAATAAGGCCCAAGACACGAAAACAACAATAGGTGTGATGAAGAGGAAAAAAGAAAGCTTTTCTTTCTGGAATCCGTGCGTTTGGCCTTTCCGGCCGTTTTGTTGAGAAAAAAAAAGAAAAGGAAAAGAAAAGATGAACTGCTTTGTTCTTGCGTGCGCGTTTTCCGCGTGCTGCTCGCAGCCTAAAAACGGAAGCGCACCACCCACGCCGGGGCCGCGTTCATCCATGTCGTCTCTAACGTTGTCGTCCATATGTCGCCCTCCTGAATGGCGCCGGCAACGTGCGCATCCTGCGGCGAATCGCTGATTGGGAGGTCGCGCATCACATACGGAGCCGCAGTGCCATCAGCTCGATTGCCCGTCGCGAGCAACGTCGCCGTGTCCTCCGCGGCGACCGGGTGCTCCTGCGTGGTGTAGATGCGGGTGGCGTACCGGAAAAGCGGGAAAGCGGTGGCGAGCACGTCCATCGGGCACAGCAGCAGCACACATGTCACGCTTTCCCAGTGGCGGTACGTCGGCGTGTCGCATGCGACGCCGCTACTGATGCACTCCTGCAAAGGATCTGCCGTCGTCGGCGTGGATAGCTGCCGGCCAAACCCGCGCGCCATCTCCTCCAGCACTTCACCGTTGTCGTCTGAAAACATCGACGTCGTGGTGCCGGCCAACGGCGAGGCCGCCGCGTCGGCGGGCTCATTCTGAGTTGTCTCGCTGCACGGCGGTACGGCAGCCTCGTCCTCGCTCATGTTGCGCGACGACGCAAGACCGTCCGCCGAGGTCCGTCGAGTTGGCAAGGTCGTCCGCGGTGTTCGGCCCAGCAGTATGTCCTCCAGCCGCTGACACAGCTTCCATACCTGCGACTCCTCAAGGCCCAGACCGCAGCAGAAGACCACGAGGTGTGGGTCCTCCCTGCCGGTCAGGGACGGTCCCTTCTCGACACGGCACAGTCGGTAGAAGTTGTGCTTCGCCGAGCATCCACCGCGGGTGGAGCAGGTGCTGCTGGTGTTGGACGTGACGGAGCACATACTCATCTCCATCACGGACGCAGGACCGCCCCTGCGGCCGTGGACGCCCGCAACCGCGTTGTTCAGAAACGCGTTGTTCAGCGCCGCACCTGCAGCCACGACGCTGGCGGTCGGGTGGGGGCAGGTAGCAGCACCGCCCATCCCGGGCGCGCTCATGGCGGCGGTGAGGTAGCGCGAGCTGCCAAAGCTGCTGGCGTGTTCCCCGCCGAGGCCGTTGACGAGGTCGAGGGTCCGTGCCGGCGCCCACCCCCCAGCGCGCGACAACGTCAGCGGGTCCCCCAGCAGCGGGAAGTGCGGGAAGCGGCACAGCGTGGCGTTGGACAGCACGCCGGGGGCCAAGGCATCGCCTTCGTAGAGCAGCACACGCGCCGTCGGTTGCGGGATGCGCGTGGTGAAGGACTTGGAGAATCCGACAGAGGAGGGCGTGCGCATAATGGACGTCGACGTCGTAGATGCGGGTGAGGCAGGACAGCTGCAGGAGCTGGAGCTGGCGGAGATGGCGATGGCCTCGGGTGCCGTCGCATCCAGCAAAGACACGGGACCCTCACGCTGTCCATCCTGCGTCGCTACACCGGAAGGGACCAGCAGGGTGGTCTTCAGATTCAAATAATGGGGGACAAGCGCGCGGCGAGCGACACGTATGCGCGACGGGACCATCTCAATGCCCACGCCCATCCAACCACGCCACACTACGTTCGTCGCATGCACCCCGAGCGGGGCCAGTGCAGCGGCCAGCAGCTTGACGCGGCGTGCGGCAGCCGCGTAGGTGCCGCCGGCCACACCGTTGTTGAGCGCACTCGGCGAGGCGGCCAGCGGGGTGCCGTCGCCCTCCGCGTGCGAGCGGCGCCGCAGGTTTTCTGGCCGGCATCGACACGCCGCGGTGGCGAGCCGCGCCCACTCAAAGAGCAGCCGGCCGTTGCCGCAGCCCACGTCGACGCCCACCACAACCGCCCCTCGCGGGACGTTGCCGGCCACCAGCAAACCCGTGCCGTGACCGTAAGTGTCGCTTCCGCGGCCGTTCGCCGTACCAAATGAGTGGCCAGGCGACGTCGTACCGCAGCCGGAGCTTTGTGGCTGCAAGTGGCTCAGATACTCGCGCGACACGGAGACGGAGGCCATGCTGATTGCCTGCAGCTGCCGCACGCCGACGGAGGTGAGTTCGCCGTAGAGCAGCTGATGCTCCAGCGTTGGGGGCGACGTCGCCATGCCCTCACCGTCCGCACAAGAGGAAGAAAATGGTCGAGCTTGTGGGCGGCAGGACGGGCCGACATTGCTACTGCTCTCATCTGGGGGCGGGAGAGGCGCGGAGTGTGGGTGCGCGGCGGACCTCCGCGCCGCTGACACGTCCCCCGGCCGGAGTGCGTAGACTTCCTCCAGGTCTTGGTACACCACCGAGGCCTCGGCTTGAATGTCGTCCAGGAAGTGGCTGCGCGAGGGGGTGGTCCGGAGCGGTTTTCGCAGCTGCATAGCGTCCAACAGCGCACTAACCGTCTCAACGGGTGAGGCCAAGGACGGTGAGTCCCGTGGCGGTGGGACGGGTGAGACGCCGGCCGCGGCTGCTCCCGTCGTAGCCGGTGTGGTGAAGTCCGCGCCGCTTTCACTTGTCAGTTCTTTTGTCGATGTTGGGGAAGTGGTGCACAGACTCGGTGTCGGGCCACGCTCGGTGCTCCACTGGCTGGTGTCCTCGTCGACGCTCTCTGACTTTGGCTGGACTGCCGCCTCCGCGTTGGTGGACGGCGAGGTCACTGCCTCTGCGGAGGCGGCGTCAACGAAGAGGGGCGTCTCCGCCGTGTTGGACGCCGTCCCCGAATTGCCGGCCGCTGCTGCGTCATCCGTCTCACGCACGCCGACGGCGGATAGGAGGAGCGCGGCGCAGGCATCCTCGTACGCTTCCAGTTTCCTTTCGAAAATGAGCTCGCTCAGCTTGCACACGTAGGAGAACCAGGCATCCATTGTATTTCTGTTGTTTGCTGTTGTTTTTGTAGAGGGAAATAGACACCACAAATGTTGGCTGCACGCCTATCTTTCCGATACGCGTGCCTCCGGGTAGTACAAGAGAATTTGTATATGCCTTCTCCTGGAATGAATTAGCTCCTCTGAACTTCGCCTCTTTCCAGTTCAGCCTTTTTACAATAATACTAATAATAATAAGTGCAACCACCGAGAGAGGGGAAAACAATCAAACCGCAAGAAATGGCTACCACAGCCTGAGCTGGAACGTAAGGCGTGATGGGAGAACAGGTCGCACAGGTATGTTGAAAGGGAGCACGGTTGTAAAGGTTTTTTCCAAGGGGTGTGTGCGTGTGTCGCCAGTGCACGCACCTCGTACCAAGAGAGCAAAGGAAAAGAGAAAAGGTATGTTTTATAGGACTGACAACACCGTTTTGTTCATCTATTGTTTTAGAAAGGTACGACCGTCTTGCTCCGCTGCCATCAAGCAAGAAAGGGGAGAAAAAGGCAAAAGCACTGATTTCTAAAGAGAAAGAAGAACACTCAAAAGAAGCTTTTTTATTGCTTTCAATGAATAAGGGAAGGTAACCGAAAACCAAAAGAACCGTTTTGTTGCTGTTGGATTAGAGGAAGGTGAAAATGAAAAGTAGGTAGTGGAATGTGTATATATAGGTATGAACAAACAAGCACGCCACAGTCACAAGCGGCACTTCAAGGACAACAAAACGGACCAAACAAACGTATGCGAAACCAAATACAAAGCCGAGAGTGTAAGGTCAAACCAAAAAAAAGGCAAAGAGTTTCGCTCCTTCGTAGGGTGTTTTGTGTCCTCTTGTCTGATTTATTTTAATAAAAGCAACGTAAGAATACTTTCAGAAGAAACATAACAAACAACCCGAAGAAAGAAGGCCTAAAAGTGAAAAGAGAATTATGCGAGATTACGTAGGTAAAGAGAGGACGACGTCTTCTTTGGTGAAGGTCGAGGTGCGGTTTGGGGGGGGGGGATGGAGGTGCTGCAAGCAAGATTAAGTGGTGATGTGAAAAACAACGGTAGTACCTGAGGAAAGATACGTATGTGAATGTTCGAGTGGAGGTATCTGTAGCGATGGAGTCGACACTGGCGACGTAAAGCCAACCGCCAAGACTCACGCCCTTCCTTAAGTTGCCAACGCTGAGACAAACAAATATGCACTCTTTAAATATATATACATATCAATCGCGCATGCAGCCAAGAAAGAAAAAACAAGAACACGGTTCGGAAATATAACGGACGCAAAACCCTCAAAAAAAAAACCGACGAGGCAGAGAGACGAGCTTTTTCGAGCTGCTGTATTTTGTTTATACCTGTTCTGCCTGATTTTAAATTCTGCCAATGTACAAAGGACAAAGAAAAGAAGAAAAAAGTGGTGATGTCGAATCAAATGTCGTCTTGCTGAAAAAGGTGGCACTGCCCTCCTTACGTTTCCTTTTATTTTTATCTGAAACGGTCAATCTAAAAGTTCAAGACAATCTGATGGATGCGATATGGGAAACAGTAAAAAAGGTGTTGGAGAGAGGAACAGATTTAACATAAAAGACGCTTTGGGGGGGGTGTTCGTTCTACTGGAAAAGCGCTTCAACAACAAAAGAAAGTTAAGACGCCAACAGTGGGTGGTTTAATCGGGAGGCGAGCTAAACCGTTTCTAATTAGCCAGATGCCCCTCAATAAAACGAAGATGGCACCTCAATGGATATATATGTAACCGTCGAGTTATGAAAGAGAACTGCGTAATAGATCGCAAAGAAGAGAAAAACACTTTGTGGGTTTTTTAGAGTCCACAACGTTCAGCTTACTGTGAGGGGTCGAGATTCGTTTGTTTCTCGTTGTTCTGTGTTTGTCGCGCTAAACGACCTAGATAGATAACAGCAGCACGTCACTGTAGTGTGTAGCAGCGTTCGTGTTTTGGGGGTGAACTCCTTTAGGTGCAAGCAAAGAAATGAGTTAAGTTTGCAAAAGTTGAATGTTGGCGTTAAAAAAAAAAATGGGAGAGAGGGATAATGAAGCCAGGAGAGGAGTTTTAAGTATATATATACGCTTGCCGTCGTGCCTCGTTGCCGCCGCATCTTTCATCTCCCCCGTTGAAGAAACGAAGAACACACCACTCAACGTGGTGCTTTCACTGAGCATTTACTTCTTCGTTGTGGTGGTGGTGGCGGTGGCGGTAGTCCTTTTGTTAGTTGAAAGCGAAATGGTTCTTCTTCGGAAACATTGGAATATGGCGTTCACAGGCGTGTGTGTGTGCGTGTGTGAGAGGCGTACATATCCAATGAATTAAGGTTCTAAAGGCAAGACAACAGTGGTCAACGATGAGTTTTACAAGAGCGGGGGAAACAAATGGGAAAGAAGACAAAAGGACAGATAAACAGAAGCAAAGGTACAACAGAGATATTACATCTGAGAGTGCTGCTTCATGACGGATTGATGAACCTCGACGAACAGCAGTCAGGGGAAAAAAGTAATGGGGACGATCTGTCCTTCAATCAAACGGAGATGGGTGCGGCTGGTGGACATCTGGTGGGTGACGGCACCGTTCCCAAAAGCGGCGGCAGCGCTCCGTCGTCCCATTTAGCGCACGCGGCGGCGCTTGACGTTGCTGCCGTCGTTGCTGGCCAACACCGCCACGCTGCGCTGCTCGGCCGGTGATACGAGCTTGCGTGGGATTCGGTGCGTTGTGTTGGGGCTGCGGCACAAACAAAGGAAAAGGGGACATTCTCTTTTGTGGCTGAGGTGGGTGGTCCTGAGAGAACCACGGCTGGCGTTGATGCGGATGTGCGCCATGACGAGGTGGCGCCGGTGCCCACGGAGCAATTCCACGAGAAGAAGCGCTGGTGAGTGCTGCGGCGGCTGAAGGCCACGCTTCGCCATACTCAGGCAACTCCCTACTCTCGTACCGGCACACGTCGGCTGTATTCGCATTCTGCGGAGAGGAGGAGGACGGCAGCCACAGAAAGCTTGAAGGCGGCGTACAGGCAGGATTGACGGTGTGCGGGTATGGAAAGGCGACTTCCAAACCAGGAGTGTCCGCCGCCGCGCCCCGCTCCGTATTCCATGCAAAACACTTTGCTGAAGTGGATGCTGCTGGGGGCAAGGGCCAATTGCTAGGTATCGCTTCAGGAGAAACGGCGTCGCGGGTAGGGGGATATGGCGAAAAGGAAGAAGCGCCGCCGGCCCACCTCTCCGCTTCCGCCAACGGCATTGCCCAAAGATGTGTGCCTTGTCTACCTTTCCCAGCGAAATGTGATGCGTCCTGGAAAGCGGACGCCTGCTGCGGCGACCAGTCAAGAGGCCGGTCATCAAAGTCAAAGTGGTTCACTGATGGCGCGTCGCGCGTACTATTGAGCTGATCGGTCCCCCCCGGAAAACACATGGGCGGACAGCTGCCCATCTCCTTGAAAGGGTCAGAAGAGAACGAGCCAGTTCTCACGGCCGCAGCCTCTTGGAACAACGACATATCCACCGGAACAACCGATTCACCGCACTCGCTGATGCTGCAGCTGACGTTATTGCCGCGTTCGGGGCGGTGGTGGTGCTGAGCGTCTACCGCCACCTCCACCACCCCGGCCTCCCACGACGCTCCTCCTTGAGCAATGGGGATGGAGGTCCATTCGCCTCGGCCGCCAGTGCTGCGGCTGCACCACGTTTTCACGGAAGCAACGCCGTCTACGCGGTTTGCAGACGCCGGCTGCTGCTGCGACGATACGAAGGATGCTGGACGCCGTCGCTGTCCCTCCACGCGAGGGCACGATGTGGATCCTGCTGCCGTCACCGTGGAAGTCGTCCAGGAGCTTGTTGCATAAGATGGTGTTTGTGCTCTTCCGCGCAAGGGTAATTGCACTGATACGCAGTCCACCGACACTACTGGCGGAGGCGCCGCATACGTGCTGCCACGGATGGAGCTACAATGTTTGGTGGCTTGAAGCGGCGCATCGTTGCGATTGTGTTGCTTCGTGGCGTACCGGTGCGATTTACCTCGCACCGTCTCGGCGGGCCGAATGGATTCACTGTGAGGCAGGCGGTGCTGTTGCCGTTCTTCGGCCTCTACCCGCTGTCGTAGCCGCTGTAGCACACCGTAGGTGTCCATGGCCGTCTCCGACGCCAACGAGTGCGCCACGCTGCTGCTGCGACTGCTGCTTCCCTGCTCAACACTGCAAACATCCGTCTCGCTCGCATCTCCGTCTACTGGATCACCTCTGACTATTGAAGATGTCTTTCCTGAGAAGTCCGCGACACGAGAATGGTGGTGGGAGTGGCTACCACGATCGTGGCCGCGGCGTCGTTTTCTTTCATTCTGCGCTGCGTTCATCATCGCACGGACAAGACGGTCTGCGTGAGAACGAGAGGAGAGCGACACAAAGGGTTGACCGTTCTTTGCGGCGTTCGCAGGCGGTGCTTGTGGGGAGCGAGACGGCGGAAGAGACAGAGGCAGCGTTAGGACGGGGGATGAAACACACGTCGCCGTGCTCGCATGTGGAGAGCAAAGGGTCTCGTCGTGTCGCTCTTCTGATAACGAAGGAGGTCGGCATGCTGCGGCGGTGGGAGGTGGTGTTATCTGTTGTTGCACCTCAGGCAAAGAAGCGGCGGCATCCACTGCGGTTTGCGACTCTCTGGTTGTCGTTGTGAAAAGAACATCAGATGTTGCTTGTTTCTGGGTTCGATTGGCTTCCTCGGCAGGTGCTCCACGCTCTGTTTCCGCAGCAATTTCTGAGCGGGTTTCGTGCAAATCGTCGGACACGGTTTTATGAGCTCCTGATGGTGCACGTCGTGGTTCTGCCTTCGCTTTGGTGGCCAACGGAGAAGCGCAGGAACGCGGCGCCGTGTGCAAAGGACGAGAAGCGAGAAGTAGCCGCCCAGGACCGCCGCCGAGACCGTGTTGCCTCGCCGCGCGATCTGCACGTGCTTTTGTGCCTGCCGTCCAGCGGAACATGGACGAGGGAGGGATAAAAGAAACAAAAGGGATGTAAGAAAGACCCCGCCACTACTGATAGGCAGTTTTCTGTTTCTGCGGGGTGTGTTGATCTGTGGGTGTAGAATCTGCATAGAGAGAGAGATATCTGCGGTCAAAACAGAATACAGCCGCACAGGTCCCTTTTTCCGGTGTACACGTGTTTTTTGGAGACGATTGGGAAAGCGCACGCCAACCGAAGTTTGACGTTTTCGAAGCAGTGGCACCCTTGCTGATTCAAAAGAGGAAGATGTATGAAAAAGACGGGTATGGTGTCGTGCGGCGAAAGGAAAAAGAAGGGTGAGTTTTGTTGTCTCACCTGTGTGTCTCCACAAACACGCCAAAACATATATATAAGAAAATAGGCAAGAGACATTCGAGAGCAGAAATCGATCGAAAGAGAGAACGAGAGAACGAAAGGAGAAATGGAAAAGAGCATTTAGAGAAAAACGGTCAGACTCACTCATCTTCAGTCATTCCATGCTCACGCTTCAGCAACTCGTACAGTGGGCGTCGAGCAGGCACAATGCGCGCCAGAAGAAAAAAAACACGCGTGTTTAAAGAAAAGCGACACGCCCCTCATCTCTTGGTGCACGCACTCCCTGCACAGAGCCCTTTGTCTGTTGACTTCTTCGCTGCATAACTAAACACCCTTAAAAACGGAACTCTTCTCGCTTCATTGCTTCTTCAGTTTTCATAAGTCGTTCATCCACATTAGGAAGCTTCCGCAGCCGCAGTTGAGCTCGTGCTGGCGAAGTTCCTCTCCTTGGATGCACGATCCGACCATCAGCACGCGGAAAAAGGGGCGGCGAAAGCCACGAGGGGCGAGGGGAAAAAGCTCAAAGTAAACGACGCCAGAAAAGCATCGTGAAACAGAAACCGCAAAGCAAGAGGTGCAACAGCGCACTTCAGCGATTTCGCACGCATCTTCGTTGACGAGTCCTTTCAACAGCCCGACGGCGCAGAAAAAAATGGGAGGATGAAGTAGGAAGAAAACACGGCGACAAAGCGAAACCTACCAACATCAAAAGCCGTGTTGTCAGCATGGACCGCTGCAGCGCATTTCCTCGCACGGACGGAGAGCAGCGCTGAAACAGAAGAAGCCTCACCAGCACGTTCAAAATGGCGCCATTTCACTTGGCAGCAACACACACCTCAACAAACGCACACGTCCACGGCTATACCGCACAGTACGCGCGCGCAAGTGCGTTCAGCGCGGTGTCGTATTGCGCCCACTGATAGTAATCCAACAAACCCGCAATCACACGGGCATCAGGAGCGCACAACGAGCTGTTCGTGCCGCCGGCCACCAGCGCACAGCCCACCGGCCGAGTGGCCTCCTCCTCCACGGCCTTCTTGTCTTCAGGGTCGTTGCCTGCTCCAGACGGAGGCCGGGGAGACTCGTTACCAAAACGCGTCGAGGCGGAAACGGGGGTGGCAGCGGTGTTGGAATTGGCCTGCGGTACGGCCGCACCCTCCTCCAACGCAGCGTCGAGGTTGGCCAGCTCACGCACGGCGCGGTAGCGCCGGGCCGCGTCCGTCATGACCTCCAAGCCCTCCGCAAAGTACGACCCCCACGGTGTGCTTTCGTTGTTGGCGGAGGGAGGAGTTCTGCCCCTGTCTGCAGCCCCCACTTCGCCATCCCGACCTGCAGACGCACCGGCGTTGCTGCCTCCACTGCTTCTTTCTGTTCGTAAACCTTGCTGCTGCTGCACCATCGCGGTCACCTGCTCCTCAATTAACTGGGTAAGAGGATTCGCCAGCGGCGGCACTCCCGTGTTACCGTCACCACCCGCACGTGAGTCAGCCATCTTGTTCGTCTGCATCATTTGCTCGTCGCCGCAGACGGCGGCTGTTGCGTTGGTGTTCTCCGGATCAGAAGCGGACTCTGCCTCTCGAGTAACAGCACCACTGGGAGTAACCGCAGCCGGCTTGTGTTTCCATTCGTTATAGGCATCCCAGCACATCAGCTGCAGCGCCGTCACCATCAGAAAGAGCGGTGCGTGGAAGAAGAATGTTTCACCGCTGTTGTTGCCGCCGCTGCTGCCGCTGCCCCCACCGCCGTTGGTGGCATTGCGATGTGCGTTGAGGGCCGCATTCGTGTTATAAACCGCCTTAAACCATACCTCCGACCGGCACCGATTGGGAATCAGACCGACCAGCGGAACGCGCACGTACGTCGGAGTCGCAGTGGCCCCTGCCCTGACCTCCAAAAAGCTCTGGCTCGCCAAATCACGCAGCCGCGGCCGCGCGTCACCGTTGTTGCTCATCGAGTAGCTCTCGGCGGTGTTGGAGGCGCAGCCCGCTTGTCCATCCCCCCATGAGAGGCGGCCGCGACTGGCCGACACCGATGACGCGGCGTCGTCTTCCTCACCCACGACGGACGACGTGGTGGTGACGTGCGTCGTGGGCGGCGACGGGACCCAGCGGGCGACGTGGTACTGCCGCTGCAGACCCCACAGGTCAAAAGACAGCGCCGCCCGATCGCCGCGAAAGACGGGGCTGCTCCACGAGCTATTCATCGCGGCGCTGGCGCTTTTACTCGCAAACGGCAAGAAGAGATGCCGCGGGGCGCGGAGGAGGTAGAAGGCGAGGAAGGTACCGCAGCTGTACTTGGCCGAGTGGCCACCGCAGAAGACGGGCTGCCACATGAGCGCGATCCACGACTGGTGATCGACGTCGGCTGAGGTGGCAGTCAACAGCTCCGCGTAGCGCTCGTCGCAGCGTGCCAGTTCAGTGATCTGCTCCATGATGATGTTACGGTTGTTGGGCCGATCAGCAGCGCTCCACGTCAGCACGCCGTCCTCCTCCGCGTACGCGTCCGCCGCGGCGGCTGGTGTGTCATCGCTGCCGCCCGCCCCTCCATCGGCCCGGGCGGTGACCCCGCCTTCCTCGCGGCGGCGCTGTCGGCGAACTTCGCGAATGGTCGCGAGGCGCTTGTACGCGGGAGAGGCAGGGTGGAAGCGAATTCGAAAGCCGCTCAGCAGCGGCGTGTACACCAGCTCATCCTCGGCAGGACGCATCGGAGCTGGATAGATGGGCTCGGCCAGGTTCACCACACACCCGAAGGGGTTGTCAAAGCTCTGCCAGACGGACTTGAGGGGGATCACCGGCTCGCAGTAGGACGGGCCGTCAAAGTCCCAGTAGTGGCTGCGGTCGGCCTCGGCGGGGCGCGGTGACGGGCTCGTGAGTGTCGGGGCCGCCGTGTCCTCCATGTGCAGTGACACGCCGCCGCTGCGGCTGCCGAAGCCGGACCCGTGGCTGCTGTTCCGTTTCGGAGCGACGCCTGGCGAGGACACCCCCAACTCCTCGGTGCTCGTCCCGGCCTCCGCCGGCAGGCCAGACGCACGCAGCAGTCGGCACTGCTCCTCGTCGCACGGAAACTCCAAGTCGCTGACGATCGGGACCTGCGGCGAGAAGGCGCTCACGAGACACGCAATGTTGCCGAACGACGGGGCGTTGAAGCCCATGGCGGAGTGGAACTCCTCCAGCAGCACCTCCTGCCCGGTGTGGTGCTCGTAGATGTATGCCGGATGCTGTGATAAAGCCGGGAAGCCACAATTAGGCTGCCCGGCATTACTTTTGTTGCCACCGTTGGAGTTGTTCCCGTTCGTGTTGGAATTCACACCAGCACCACCTCCACCGGCGTACTGATTGTGAGAACTGTAGCGGTTGTGCTGCGGTGAGTTGGCGTGCACGCTGCCACCACTGTTGTTACCGTGATGACTGCCATGTGGGCTGGGTGTGTTGAGACCCGCAGCCCCGGCGTTGCTGTTCAGGCCGCCGGGACCTTGCTGCGTCATCAGCTTTGGTTCCGCATTCGAGGCTAGCGCGTCGACGACGGATGGCACGGGGCCCCTTGACTTGATGGCAGCTGCTGCGAACGCGGGAGAAGTCGGTGGGACGCCGAAACTCGTGGAGGGCGAGGGAGTTGCGCGGTAACCGCCCACCCCGCCACGCCGACTGTTGCTGCTGCTTCCACTGCCGAAGTGCTGCTGCTGCTGCTGTTGTGACGCAGGATACGACGGGCTCACCGGCTCGCCTCTCTGCCCGCCTCTGCCACCGCCAGAACGCAAACTCACGTCGTCGTAGCCGGTGCTGTACACGTCCGCAGCATCGGCACCAGATGCGTCCGAGTAGCCGCCTCCGCCGCTCTGCGAGTACGGGTACGGGGACGACGCGTACGGGCTTGTTTGGGGTTGCTGCTGTTGCTGCTGCTGCTGCAACGACATCGTAGAGGCTGCCCCACTGCCGGCTCCTGCAGTCACTATCGGCAAGTGAGGCGCGGAGTTGGTCGGAGCTGCGCCGCTCAAGGTGTGGGGCTGCACAGCCGCTCCCGCACCACGGCCAGGCGGCGATGGCAAGGACACGGCATCTGCCGCAGCTCCCACACCTCCCGATGATCGCGGAGGCGACGAGGCGGCATTACCCGGTGATTGCACCAAGGGTTCGGAGGTGAAGCTCGCAGAGGCAGCTGTCAGCGCCGTCGGCTGCAGCGAAGAGGGCGAGGTGTGTCGGTACGCGTGTAGGTGCTGCGGACGCCCTGCCGTCTGTGGCGACTCTGGCCGCATATGCTGATTGTGGTGGGCGAAGAGATGCATGTGGTGCGGACGATTGCCTGCGGCGGAGTGCGGGGAGCTGTTCGCTGAGGAGGTGGCGACACCTAGCTGCGGAGACGGTTCACTCTGTTCATACAGCGACTCTCCCGACGAAACGAGAAGGTCCGTGGACAGTGTCATTGCTTCGCCGTGTTGCGCATCTGGTGGTTGCTGCCGTGGCTGTTGGTGCACGCTGCTGCTTCCTGAACCCGTTGGGTCATCATCATTGTCATCGTCACCCACTTCTTCATCGTTTTCCCTCTCGACGACTCGCGCGCTGTCTACTTGCGCAGTGCGGTTTGTGCGGCGTCCGCCGTGCTTTTCTCTGTAACCCTCCTCGGTATCGTCGTCTCTATCCCCGGATCGGCTGTGCTGCAGGGCACCTTCCCTAACAACCTTCGCATTGGCGCTCACCGTGTGGTGCGTCAATATCCGCTGCACCGGTGCGTAGATGGCCGGAATGGCCTGCGACGAACCGGTGGAGAGCGACGCACTCGAGGACACCACGCCCGCAGTACCAGCACCAGCACCGGCAGCAGCAGCAGCAGCAGCAGCAGCAGCAGCAACAGAGGCAGCGGACGGGGGGAGGGCTTGCATGTGTGCCGCCTGGCCGGCTACCGCTCCGTTCAAATAGGTGTGGAAAGGCGTCCCCACGCATTGGGTGAGCGGGGAGCGACGGAGGAAACGCTGCGTCGTGCCGGGTGGATTGCCGCTCGAGGTGGAGTGTCCATGCACACTACTGCCCGCCCGGACAAGGTCGTCGTTGCTGCCGCTGCTGTCTGCTAGAAGAGCATTGCTACTTCCACTGGTGAGCATCGTGGCGTCAGCGTGCGAGTTTCTTGCGCGAGGCGCCTCACCCGATGTTGGAACGGCTGTGACGGCTGCCCCCTCATCCTTTCTCACACTACTCTCTCCGATTTTAGTCGACGCGCAGATTTCTTTTCGCGCCGCATCGCTTTGATCCTGCTGGGGAGGGAACGGAGGCGCTTGTTTCTCCGCTGGAGAGGTCTTCTTCACATGCACAAGAGACCTGTTGGCTGCTGACCACCCCTCGCGGTGCATCGAGCTGCACTGCGATGACATCCCCTCGGCCGCGTTCGTCTCTCTTGTCCACCCCACACCCTCGACAGTTTCGTGCGCAGCCGCACTGGCAGAGTTGTTGGCAGCGACGGATACGCTTTTGCTTGCCGTTTTGGTAAACGGGACAGCACCTTTTTGTGACGAGGATGCAGGAGCCGTTGCTGCTCTCGCCGTCTCGTCGGACGTCTCAAGAGCAGCGGCAGCAGCGGCAGCAGCAGCAGCAGCCTTCTTCTTCTTTCGGATGGCACTTTTGCTCACCCCCGTACCAGCGGCAGCAGGCGGTGCCTTCGCCGATGCGGATGAGGTGGGAGGTTGAGCGCGAGTAATGCTCAAAGGCTCTTCGGACTCAGTGGCATCCTTCGCATAGCGAATTCTCACGCCGTCTTCGAGAGGAAGCGCGCTGCCGGGTTGCTGCGGCCCGTTCGACGACCGATGCACGTTGCCTCGCGGTGCATTTTCTGTGTTTGCATACATTTCCTGCGCTTGCTGTTCCGGCTGATCTGGTCGTGCATTTGCGGGAATGCCGCCGGCCGGGGCGTAGCCTCTGTATGGGCCTTGGTAAGGTGCGCCGTGCCCGTACTGTGCGTAGGACGGCTGCGGATACGCGCCGCGAGAGCCACCACGCAGGTACTGCATCTGCTGGCGTTGCTGTTGCTGTTGCTGCTGCTGTTGCTGTTGCTGGTGCTGCTGCTGCTGTAGTGCGTTCGGGTAGTAGCCCGTGTTGTAGCCGTAGCCTCTACCAGAGTTGAAGTACTCTCCGTACCCACCGGTCATGGTCGGATTAGTGCCGTACGAGTTGTAGTACTGCTGCGGGACGGCTGCGCTACCGTACTCGGTGGCGTAGGCGTTCTGGGGGTTCTGCGAGGCCGTTGACCGCAGCCCACCACCACCGCTCCCCGCGTAGCCCATCAGCACATCCGTGGAGGATGCATTCGCGCTGCCGCCGGCGCTGTCTGTTCGCGTGGCCGCGTGAGTGTCCTTTGCTCCTGGAACTTCATTCGCTCCACTCGTTGCACTCAGCATTGCATTATCGGCGGTAGTGTTGCCGGCGGTGGGGCCTCTTCCGTTGCCGGATGCCCCGTGCCCAGTATATGACGGAACACCTGTGCTGGCGCTCTCACTCGTCTCGTTGCAGTAGTAACGCCCGTGGCGGCTGCTGTTCTGTCTGTAGTTGCCGCCGTATGAAGGTGTGACAGGGCAGGACGAGGTTCCCATGTGTGCGGGACCACCGCCACCACAACTAGTTCCACCTATCCCTCCAGATTCGCTTTCTGGGTAGTTCTCAGCACCTGTCGCGGTGGCCGGTGCGTACCTGAACGACGACCCGTCATCCCTCTTTCCGCCACCCGATGCCGCTGCCTGTTGCTGCTGTCGCTGGTAGTACATCTGAGACGGGTAGTACTGCTGGTAATACTTCTGGTAGTGCACCGATGTGTTCCCTGCGCCCCCATCAGTGCCGTCTGCTTCCCCCTGTGCATACTCTTCCGTCGAGGCATACGGGGCGTACACTTGGGCCCCACCATCACCGCCCCCTCCGCCGCCGCCGCCGTCTGCGTTTGAGGCAGTGTTGTACTGTTGTTGCTGCTGCGGACTACCCGAGGTGTCCTCACCGTAGAAAGAGCTGTTTTGGTTGTCACCGCCGTGTGGCGAGAGTGGCATGTAATGAGGATATTGCCGCAACCCTGTGCCTGCCGCAGGGGTGCTGCTCTGCTGGTACACCTGCACCCGTCTCTGCGCCGGCGGCGGCGGCGGCTGTGTTCGCTGAGCGCTCGAGGCTGGGGAGGGGGCTGACACGTACGTCGGAAACGGTGACGTGGTCATCCCGTTGCTCCCCGCAGGCGCGCCCGCACGCAGTGACGACTGCACAGGGTCGACGCCCTCCTCTGCGTATGAATTTGGTGGATCTGCCGCGGTGACAGAGGCAGCAGCCGACGCACCCACTCCTGGTGGACGGCCCGTGCCGCTATTAATGGGGCCGTACGGTGTCACCGGCGCCACTCGTCGGCGCGAGGCAGGATACATGCCGTTGCGATTAACTGGTGTGTTGATCGTCGATACGGCAACTCGATTGCTGTTGCTGCTACTATCATTGTGTGTGGTGTTGCTGCTACCGGCATCTCCCCTTATCTCCACCGTTACGGCTGAGCTGGATGTCAAAGGAAGCGGTGGCTGCGTGACGATGGGCCTGAACTTGTTGGTGCTACCTGCTACTTGACTGTTCGTCGATAGAAACTCGGCTGCGTTACTGTGTCCCGTCTCCACCCCCACACGCTGTGGTGAAGAGAGGAATGCATTGGAGCTGGAGGCGGCGGTGGCGATCAGCTTGGCGCCTTGCGGAGGTGCTGGCTTTGATTCATGAGCAGAAGGTGAAAGAGCACTACTGCTACTAGTTGGATTACGATCCATTGATTTACTCCCTACGTCTCTGTGATTCGTGAAGTACTCTTTTGTTATTGTTTAAAAATAGTCCTCTTGCCTGCTTCGTCGTTCCGTCGTCGGCAGCAGAGTTCTTTGCTTGCTGGAGGTGCGAAAACGCCTTTTGCGTATTCCCTCACTTGTGTCAATTTTGTTTTTCTCGCTCCCCTCGTTGCGAGTGGCGGCTCCGCTGAACAACTTCGTTAAGAGCACCGCTGTTGTAAGCGGTGTAGGGAAAAGCGGGGAAGCGAAAAAGATGACAAGAGAAAGCAAAGAAAACAAGCACTAGAACAAAAGATATATATATATATATTCGAACAGTCAAGGGCAACACAACGACAAAAAAAGAACGAGGTACGCTTTCCGTGGGATGAGTCGCTGACGCGCACACGAGAGGAGAACAAAGAACAAGAAAAAAAAAGTCCAAACAGAGAAGTCCAGCAAAGCTCCTCAAAGCCTCGCCGCAATCGATGAGCCTACAGTAACTTGTGAAAAATCGAAGTCAGTTTTTTCACATGCACACGCACCGAAAAACACGTACACGAACAGCGCAGGCGCAACCTCGATGCTTGCGACGAGCGGCAAAATCTTAAGCAACGCCTAATCGAGGGAGAGAAAATAAAAAATCGAGTGGAAAAACTGAAGTGAAAAGAAGAACAAATAAATAGGCAAGTTTCTTGACGTAACGCATAGGACATGCGACTAGGCAGCAAACCGTTCTCTCAAGAAAAAAAAAACTAAAAAAACAGTAATAGAAGTCGACTGTGAAACGAAAAGGCAGAAAAAGCAAAACGCAAATACACAGGAGTGCTGTACGGTGTCGCGCACAGGCGGAGAACGAAATCAAAGAGAGCGTTAGCACCAACCAAAAGATCACAAAAAGAAAAAAGGATATCTCTTCGCCCAAGCCCACAAACTTCTCCTGCTGTCTTGTTCGTGCTTCTCGCTGTCTTCGGTGGACAAATCGTTTTCAAGTCAGAACTGAAGGTGCTTTTGTGTTGTGTTCGGCTCCTTTTCTCGATGAAATTGCTTTGCAGCTCTCCGCAAGAAAAAACGCTCTTGATGAGCTTTGGGATGTGTAGGGAAGTCGTGCGCCCCGAATTACTTTGGCGGTTCACCTTAGATAGGTAACTAACTCTTTTTCTTTTTTTTCAACTAGTAAATTGCCCACCTTTTCTTTCCGTAGAACTGCAAAAACGGTTTTAGTTTTTGGTTGATGCACGTGCAGTCGTGTCAAATGAATAAAGAAGAGACATAAAAAGGGGAGATGGCAGAAGATAACGATAAAACCTTTAAATACGTGGCGTCCGCCCATCGACGCATGCGCACGGTGGTAAATGCATGCACGCATTCACTAGCACGTGACACAACGGTCGAACATGCTATTTCGCTGCGCCGCGAGTGCACTGTGGGCAATTAGGGCTCTATTCACTTCACTACATCATCACTATTTTCATTCGCACATAAGTGCAGTTAGGCTTTACCCGGCTTCGTGAAAAAAAGGCGCGCACGAGACACCATGCGAGTCGCATGCCTCTCTCACCTCGTGTACTCTTTACTCGGCCATGCAAGTGCGATTTGACAGCGTTTGCCTAACCTCTTCCGCTGGATCCCTTCAGTTGTTGTATTACTACTATCGCGCCTTCACTCTGATGTACGTATCCACTGCAGGGATGGTGTGCATAAGGCATTTCCAAGCCAGAAAAGAAAGAAGCTGAGTATCTTCAGAAAGGAAAAGGAAGAGAAGAGGGAAGCCACTTTACTGGACTATAAAATAGGAAGAAGAAAAAAGACGACGCGTAGCAAAGTCAAAGTGAACGCAAAAGCGAAGCGATGAAGGCGAGCGTCGCTGCAAAAGGTAAAAAATGAAAGGACGGATTGTGTTTCAGAGCGGAGACAACGGGTGGAGAGCGTAACCCACAGGAACAACGGAAACTCATACAAGCAGAAGTGTCTTCCGCAAAATCGAGTTGGATTCAGCAGTATCCGTGACATGCTGCTTTTCTTGAACGCAAGAAACAGCATAATTGAGACCTTGAAAAAAAAAAGAGGCGGTTTGCACGTCAGCTTTCGGCGTAGAGCACGCTACGCACGGAGTTCGTGAAGTCCATCATCTCGTCGTCTTTGCTGTCCCACGCCTTTGCGTTGCTCTGGCGTTCTTGCTTCTTTTTTGCCTCCATGCACTCCACCAGTTCCTCGATGGAGCGCAGCTTGTCGTAGTAAAACTGTCGGTCAACCTGAAGCTGAAGAACGTCTACGTTCGCAGCGTGTTCGCTTGACGGCGGTCCTACTGCGGTGTTGTTGGTGGACAGTGGAGGAACAGGAGCGGGGGCAGATGCAGGAGCAGCTGCAAGTTCCGAGATTGGACTCTTGCTTTGACGTGGAGCAGCAGGGGTCGTTTTGCTCAGCGCAATAATCGGTTTTGTGGCAGGCTTTGTGGACCTGCTCGCTGTGTGTTGCGACGTACCGTTTGCGACTGCCGACGGCGCAGCAACGCGGTCACCACCGTTTTCTGCGGCACTGCGCTTTGGCGTAGAGCCCCGGAGGCTTCCGGCTACGCCTCGTGTGCTGCCCGCGGCGCCATCCGCAGCGCGCGGGGTGCCGCCGCTCCTCTCCGAAGGCTGTCGTCGCGCACTGGAGCCGACACTGAGCCGTGCCGGGACTGGCTTGAACACTACACTGTTGCGCCCTGTTATCGATGAGCGGGCGCGGGTGCTCGCCGTGCTGGACTCCGCGCGGTGCGGCGTGCGAAGTCCGTTGGCTCCCGTCGCGGCCGATTGGGACGGAGGTCGCCGAGTAGCGGAGGAGCGGCGAGGCACAGCAGCGTTCGGCTTCGCAGTCTCCGTTGAAACGGTGGGCGGCTCGGCGGTGGAAGTGGCCTGTGCACCCGTCCACAGCGAAGGACGCGTTAGGGTACCCGAAGCCTTGCGCGTTTGGGAAGGTGTTTTTGCTCGGGCAGCCGGCGTCTGTTCCTTCTTTGTCGCTACTGGAGGCTGAGGTTGAGGTGCTGCAGGGGACGCCCGTGGTGCAATTTCCAACGGTGGCGCCGTCGCCAAAGGAGGCGCAGGAAGGGGGCTGATCATGGACTTGACCAACGAATCCTCCAGCGACCCCCGCTCCTCGCGACGTGAGCCGCCGATCGAGTTGTGCTCCTGCTGTGGTTGCTGCTGTTGCTGCTGCTGCTGCGACAACTTCGTCGGCACCTGCTGACGATGCACGGGTAACGACGAAGAGTTCGCTGAGTTTAGGATGGTGGCTTCAAACACCGAGTTACGCGACCGGCTGCGGTTCTGCGAATGGGTGCGGTGTTCGCTGACAATCGCCACCGCCGCAGCTGCAGCGGCGTCCCCCTTCGCATCCGCCTCCCGCGCCTCCCGCAAAACTTGGCTCTCCGACTTGGTCCCATTCACGCTGCTGGACCGCCGACGATCCTCGGCTTGCAGCACGGAGGCCGGCGGGCTGCCAAGGCTCAATATGCTGTCCTCGTTGCTGGGCGCCGCCAGGACAATGCGACCCTCGCCTGCCTCAATTCCGCACTGCTGCAGGGCCACGTAGAGACCACGGAACCACTGTAGAAGCTGCAGGTTTGCTTGGAAGTTGCGGCCGATGAGTTTCTGCTGGCTGTTAGCGAGGACATCGGGAATGACGATGCCGTTGCGGCGCAACGCATCCTGGATAATCTTGAGGTTTGCCGCGGCCTCGTAGTCCGTCTTGGCTGGCACCTTCACCTTGGACGTGAGCAGGGGTGTGTGAACGATGGGCAGCATCGTGGGCAGCATCAGCGCGTACGGCACGCCGTGGCCGCAGTCCTCTACCTTGAGCATCATCGGTGTTTTAATACGATTTGGTGCCTCGATAGGCATGGACCGATTCACCCACTCCAGCATCTCCGACCACGGCTCGGTCGCCGGGACAACTTGCAAGTTACGCAGCATCGCGAATGCAGCCCTCTCGTGTATGAAAGAAGAATTTCAATTTATATAAATGACGTACTCCACCGAGTCCGGCGGCGAGAAAAGAGAAAGAAAAAAAAGGAATGTCTCACCAGAGTTAATGGATCTCTGAAACGCTCGCAAGATAAAAAAATCCACTATCTGTGTGGGTGGGTGCGTTGTGTTGATTATGGCCTCAAAGTTCTAGCAGCTTCGACAGAGGAGAAAACGTGTGCTTTTAGACCTACTGGACGCTGAGAGGTAGATGCTTAAGATGCGCAACGGTGCATGCAAGTGTGTATAGAATGCTTTGGATTCGCGGAAGAGCTCTACAAAAGCGAATTTACTGTCTTGCTACCAAACTGGCTAAGGTAAAGTCATATAGTCGCAAAGCCTCTCTCTTGAGTTGAAGCAGCAGCGTCACCAAGGAAAAAGAAAGAGAGGTGTTTCCAGGAGAGAAAATACGTTGAAACGAAGAAAACTACACTTTGTTGACCGATCCATCATGTACGACCGCAGTTGCACAGAAGTGACAGTCAGCCACTCCCCGCAGGACTTTTGCTAGGCACAATTCAAGACACCGTGACGCTGCTCAGCACGCTGGATAGTTTCAAAAATTAATGTGTGGTGTGCTGTTTTTTGTACTGGTGTTATCTTTAATAAAAATATACATTACAAGCCAGACAAGACCTTTGTTACGTGTTATATTTACTCGAGAGGGAACACAATGTTGAAAGCCCACTGGCGTGGCTCAAAGTGGAAGACTCGGCATCCACAATGTGTACTGCCCGGGTCCTCCACACACATCTTTCTTCTTTGACAGGGTGTCAAGACGGCGGCGAGGGGTAGTCATCCGTTTTTGCGGGCTCGTGCGCGACTGCGCGTTCTGCGTTGCGCGCCGTCTCAGCAGGGTGCATCCGTCGCATATGCTGCGACAGTTGCCGCCTATTTGGAAAGACGCTAAAATCGTTGCAGTACGGGCAAATGACCTCGTACGTGACGCTCGTCTTGTTTCTGTAGGCCGGGCTCCAGCTGAGCCTCAGAAGACTATCTGCCCTGGAAAGCAAGTGCTCCGACACCACCAGGGAAGTAGGATTGGGCGATTGCTGCAGCTCCTGAAGAGGCGGAGCCATTACGGAACTGGTGGTGGATGCACGCGCTCCGTCATCTGCTCGTGCCTCCCCCCTGACATCCCATGTTGGATCGGCGCGGTGCCGCTTCTGTGGACGGCGCGGCGGGGAGTTGGTGAGTCCTAGTAAGGCGCCTTCCTGTGCTCGGAGCCGCCTCTGCAAGATGTGCCGCTCGCGTTTGTGCCCGCTGCCACGTCGGTGGAAATGAAGACGCAACAGATCCCCATCGAGACCGACGCCGCCCTCTTCGTCGTCGCTGCCTTCGCGGCGGTCACAGCCTTTCCTCGGTGCGCCAGAGGACGCTGTCACCCCCTCCGCCCGAGTCAGCTGGAACGGCGGACTCTGCGAGGGCCGCTTGTCCGGCGAAGGAAGCGATCCATGCAGCGGGGTGCGCTTCGGAGATACCTGACGAATGGGCGAAGAAAGCATACGATGGGGGCTGAGAGACTTACCACACCTGCCTTTGCGGTCAGCGTGGTGGCGCGAGCGCAGGGGTGGCATCGTGTCAGCATCCCCCTCACTCTCCGACGCCTCGGCGTGCGAGCTGGAGCTGTCACTCTCTTGCCCTGTGTCGTCGCTGCCGCTGTTACTCGCGTACGCGTCCTCCACAAACTTCAGCCCGCTCTGCGCCGCAACGCGAGTAAGATAATCTTTCTCTTCCTTGGACAGCACCAGCACAGAGGTGTTCTTTTTACTGCGTCGGCGATGGCGACGAACGGGGCTGTCGCGGCGGTTGCCTCCGCTTTCCGTGGAAAGCACATCGCTCCCGGCAGAATTGCTGTCACCGCTGCTCTCTTCGTCCTCCCGCAGCTCCTGTGCTGCTCTATAGCGGTTCAAGGCGTCCTGCACGGGATCGGTAAAGATGTTGTCCCTGAAAGGGCAGTAGTACCGTTGATGCCGACGTAGCTTTGCTTGACTGCTCACCTCCAGCTCACAGTCCTCGCAGATGAAGACGGCAGGCGGCTCTTGCCGCTCCACCGCGATTTGTTGCTGCCGCTGACATGCACCGTCAAAGGCCCGCTCCGATACCGTTTGCGACCCAGTCAAAGAGGAGGAGGTCAATCCATTCGGTTCGACGGAACCCGTTTCCGTAATTGGTTTGCCGTGCCGTGAAGAAGTTGAACTCGCTGCTGGCGAGGAAGACAACACTGTGGCCGTCGGTAGCTCCAGCGGGGGCATCGGAGCAACAGGCTCGACGTTGTCCGCCTCCTTCTGCGCTCCGTTTGGCGGTGTCAGGTGCCTCGCGTGAAAGGCGGCGATGTGGCGACGCATATTTTGCATCGTCGTGAAGCCGTCGTGACAGTAAGGGCAGGGGAAGGGCCGCTCGCCGGTGTGGACGAGCAAGTGGCGGCGGTAATTGCTGCGCACCCCGCTCGTGCTCGAGTTCCCGTTAAACTCCTTTGCGCAATGCGGGCAGACGAGGTGGATCATATACCCCGCCGACGCGTGCGACTTCTTGGGGCCCATGACGCCGTTTCGCTGCTCGTTTCTACTAGGTCGAATGATTATTCGGTGGTGTCAAATAAAAAACATTATTTTTTTTGGAGGGCGTATATTCAGGGGATCTAACAAGCACCGCTGTTTCACGGAATCCGCCTTGCCGCCCGCCTCCTGTATAGATGCGTAGCTTAAGAGGAAGGGGACAACGAAAGCAATAGTAAAGCAATAGCACATCAATTGGGGGCACAAACACGCGGCTTCAAACCCGACGCAACAGTCATCTCAGGCCGCACGCAGCGATAAACTTCGTTGCCGTAGCAGTCGACCGCTTTCTCTCTCTCAGAAAGAAGTACATACGCAGGGTTAGGGAGGGCAGAGAACACACATACAGTTTCCTTCTTGGGACAGCGTCATTGCAACGTGTCTCACCGATTCGTCTCGTTACCTTCTTTTGCAACTTACATTGTTTTCTTCTCTTTTCATCGAAATCGCGCTTCGATTCAAGTCGGCTCTATAGCAGAACACCACACTCAGCAATTACTCCGTTTCTCTTCCCATATCAAAAGCAGGAAGCTGCCAGGTCTGTCGTTCACGCACTTCGAAAGAAAAAAGAACAAAGAGAACTCGGACAGTTTCTTCACACAAGCGTGAGGGTGTAGCATCTTTTTTTTTTGTAACGGCTGTGCGTGTGTGTGTGTGTGTATCTGCGTTTGTGCGGACTTGATAGCGCTGGAAATAGAAAAGGCACTTTTAGGATGAAAATGCTCGTGTTGGCGCCTGATGTGCTCAGATACTGCGACAACAGAAGTAAGAACTTTTCCTTTTGTCGCGTGCGCCGCCGCCGTATGTGCGCTGCGTTGACAAACGCAGTGAGCGAAGCGGCCGAACGAACAAAGCGTCGTGTATGCGGGGCAGGGTAGGCGGAGCAGCATCCATTCATCGTTTAAAAAGGAAAAGAAACAAAGCCAATCACAATTGATACCAAAAAAAAAAGCATAGATTGATAGAAATTGAAGGGAGAGCACGCAGCTGTAGTTTGTCAGTTTTCCCCTTCATTCTTCTCTTTTTATCATTAGTGAGGTCAAAGATGGCATTTTCCTCGACGACTCAGTGCATTCTTCATACTGGGCTATTCTCTTTCGACGCGTAACACGACTGCGTTAGCGAAGGGAGATGGGAGAGCTGACTGCGTTTTCAAACTCCACGGAACGCAGCTTTTCAGTCGGGACATCCGCCTGCTCGTGTCGCAGCAGCCACACCTTGTAGCGGAGACCCAGAGCATACCCGCGCAGCGCGTTCGTGGACGACAGCACGCGATGGCAAGGAACGATGACCGGGATCGGGTTTGCTCCCATGGCAACCCCAATAGCGCGCGGTGCAGCGTGGGACACGGCGACGGAAGAAGAAGAGAAGGAGCTGGGGGCATGAGAAAGTGCTTGACTGACCCGCACCCCCAAACCCTTGTAGGAAATCGTCTCCCCGGATGGCACCGTCTGCCGCAGCACGTCCCACGTGGTGGTCATGAAGGCGGTGGTGGGGGGGTACGCAACAGGCACCTGCAGCAGTACCTTCTCCAGCGCCGCCGGCCGACCAGCGTCCGCAGAAGATGGGTTGAAATAGCGGTACAAAAGCGTCGCGGCCTTCTCTCCCGGCGTGGTCGACGTCGACGAGGGCTTCGCCATCTCCACCGAAGCGTTTTTGTACCAACGAGACTGCAGAGCCGCACACACGTCACGCTGCTCCTTCATCAGGGCTGCGACATCGCCAGGTGGACTGTGCTGCCAGTGGCAGCAGCGGATGGCACCGTCGCCGTCGACGTAGAGAGAGAAGGGACCGAGCGGGGTGGCGACGGCGTGGTAAAAGAGTTGAAGGCGCTCCGTTGGGGCAGCGCGTGAACGGGCGGCTTGCACGTGAGACTTTTGAAAGGTGGCTGAGGCAGCTGCCGCCGCTTCTTTCTTTGCTGCCGCGGCTGCTGCGACTGCCCTTACAGCTCGCTTCACAATCTTATGCTGCGCCGTCATGGTGGAGGCTCTTGGTTTGTTCTTTTGCTCTGGTGGGATCCAGAAGAGCTGCAGATCAGCAAAAACAATATACGTGTTTAGCGATGTGGCAAGCAGGAACAGAATGCGTGTGAGAATAACAACAAAGGAAGAAAAATATATATAGTTTTTATTTTAAAAGCGACAACAGCAAAGATAAAAACGGAAACGATCGTCGGTAGAAGCAGTGGACAGCGATGCCGTGGTTGGGCAAACGGAGTCTACACAGAACGCGGCGCCATGTTGGCCATCGAGAGGTTGAACCACAGATTGATTCGTGCGTGTGTAATGCAGGAAACAGGGGAAAAAAGTCCCGGAGAGAAGAGAAAAGTGAAAAACATCATGGGAGGAAAGAAGGGTGCATTCTGAACAGTGCCGCAAAGATGTGATTGCAGCAACAAGAGGGAGCAACTCGCTAAGTCGTGTAACATGAGGCGTTATCATATATGAATTGTTGAAACTGGGTAGAAGGAAAAGAGATATGTTTTTTTCCTTGATGAATTCCCGTTAAAACAGAAAAGTAACTTCGTTTAGTACTGTCTCGTGTCGTCAAAAACAAGAGGCTCAGGATCCATGTATGAGTCTGTGTGTGTGTGTGTGTGTGTGTGCTTTTCTTTTATATATATAGGAATAGTTAGGAAACTTAGAACTCTTAGACAAGTTACAAATTCAAAACAAGTGTTCGAGCGAACCAACATCATTTACACAACGCACACCACCGAAGAGGAAGCAGCAACCAATAGCTTTCGCTACACACAGTAGAAACTGCTGATTCACAGGTACAATCTAAACAGAGGCGCACACTTAGCTCATGGCGTAGAGCACATCCTGCCCTGTCATGTGCGAGAGATTGTTGCACAGCTTACGCGCCTCCTCCACCACGGCGTCATCGCGGTCCTCGGTGAGCTCCACGACGGTTGGCAGCATCTCCGCCATCAGACGCGACGCCAACTCCTCACCGCCGTCCGCGTAGATGCCGTCGAGACACACGAGAGCTTCGCGGCGCACGTGGCGACTTGGGTGGCGCAGCGCACGCACCACCTCCGCCTGCGTTTTGCTCTGCAGCTTGCTCGAGCCGAGGCAGGCCATAAAGGCACGAATAGCGGGGACGACGTTGTGCTCCACACGGAAGCGATAGTCGTGCAGACTGTCCTCGAGGAACTGGAGGTTGTGCAGCTGGTGCACCAGCGCCGGCATCACTCCAGGGAAGACGTCGGCGTTGGCGAAGTACACGTCGAGCGGAATGCTGTAATCGTGGTCGGGGCCGGGTGTCTGGGCGAGCGCCATCCCGCGCAGGCACTCCAGCGCACCCTCCAGCACCAACGCGACCAGTGAGTTGGTCGCCGTAGCCACCGTCGCCGTTGCATCGCAGTACGTCCGCAGAGTCGTGACGATGTGGGGTGTGAAGGTGGGGAAGGCGAAGTCAAGAATGGACCCGAGTTTGCCGAGGAGGTGGTTGCTCAGCGCAAAGAAGACGATCCACGACTGCAGCGTGAGGCGGGAGAGGGACTGCGCCTCTCCGTCGTGGCCGCGGCCGTCATGCTCGTCGGCGTCCGAGTTGGCGTGCGCGCTTGTGGTGCCCGCCACGCCGCTGCTCGTCTCCGCAAAGGCCCAGTCCGCCACCACGCGCAGCAACCGCGCGCTGTGTTTCGCCTTGAACTTCAGCAGGAAGACGGTGAAGGCCTCCAGCACCGGCATGATCGCCTCGCTCGACGGCACCGTCTGCGCACTCGCGAGCGAGTTAAGAGCAGCCAGCCAGAAGTTCTGCTGCGGACGGGTGCCCTCCATCAGGGTCGGCATGTGCATCAGTTCCTCCTTGGACAGATTCTCGATGCGGCGCTCAATGCAGGTGAAAAGAAGAGAGAAGGAGTGTGTGTGGACCTGCACGCGCACCTGACGAGAACGGCGGGCCGAGGGCTTCTTGCTCGCACCATCTGCGATGGCGGTGGAGGCACCAGCCGCGTCCTGTGTGAGGTTCACCAGTTGGTGCTGCTCCGACGCCGGCACCACGGCACCGTTCACGTAGGGGATGCCCCGCAAGCACGACGTGCCGGCGTCCAGCAGCAGCTGCGGCTCCATCACCGCCTCCAGCACCGCCAGCATCTCCGCGCACAGGTAGTGCGACTCGGCATCCGTCACGTTTGTCAGATGCGACGCAATGAAGAGCAGCGATGGCAGGTAGGGCTGCGTCATCTGCCAGCAGGCAGGGAAGCAGCGGATCAGCGACGACAGCGTGCTGTGACGCAGCAGGGCACCGGCTTGGCTGCGGGCGAGCAGCCCCGGCATCTCCACCACTTGATACATGCCAGCGGAGACGAGGGTGTGCAGCAGCGACAGGGAGTGCGCCGTGGCAAAGGCGGTGCCCATGACTTGGGTGATGGTCGCCAGCGTCGTCATGAGGCACGTCATGCAACCCAGTATGCCCTCCGCCGCCGCGTAGAAAACCAAAAGCGGCGAGGAGTCACTGTCCGCATCGCACGGTGCGCCACGACCGCGCAGACGCATCTCGCACCGCGTCAGCAGCGGCATCCAGTGGTTGCACACCGTCTCCACAAACTCGCGCACCTCGGTGACGCGGCCGCGGTTGCCGAAGAGCTTCACCAGCGCCGCCTCCGTCAGGCGCCTGCTACGGCTTGCATTCAGCAGCGTTCGCTCCGACTGCAGGCTGCCGCCGCTGCTGACGATGCGAGTGAGCTCTTCCACGCACGCAATGCCCAGCTGCGCCGTCACGAGGAGCTGATCTGCCGCCATGAACTGCACAGAGGTGGTGGTAGTGGAGGGGTCTTGCAAAAACGCGTAGAAGCTGGCGAAGTTGGTCTTGATCGCCTTCACCAGTAGCGGGAACAGAATGGTGGAGCGCTTGGTGGTGAGGGGGCGGGCCTTGATGCGCACCAGATCGGTCAACGAGAGACGCACACGCGGGTCACGCAGGCGGCGGCGGTGGGCCTCCATCTCCTCATCGGACACCACGTTCTCCAAGGTGGGCAAGGAGTGGTGCAAACGGTCCAGCAGCACCTCCAGGCCGATCTTGCGCAGGGCAGCGCGTTTGTCTTCTAACAGGCGCAGCTGGCACACAACAAAGGTCGACTCGTTGATGCCGGCCAACACGCAGGCGAGCGTGTTGCCAGCGAGCAGCTCCAAAAGGGCCGTGTAAGCCTCCGCCTCCGCCTCCGCCACCCCCGCAGGTGCGCTTTCTGCAGCGTGTGTGTCGTCGTGCAGGTCGTGGTAGTGAGCAAACAACTCCAGCGCACTTACCAGCAGCTCCATGCAGCCGCCATCCTCGCGCTGCGCCACGTCCTCTGCTTTGTCGCCCTCCTCGTCGTCAGTGTCCTCGCCTCCGCTGAGGCCCGCCTCGGCTGCTGCCTTGTTGCTCTTCTTGTGCATCTTGCTCCCGCGGCGTGGCGGACTCGAACGGGCGTGGCGCTGCAGCGTGAGGAAGGGCTCCAGGAAGAGGTCCGACTTGACGGTGAGGTTAACAAGATGCAGGATCGTTTCCTGGCGATTGATCACCTGATTTGGTTTCACCATACGGCGGAAAAGGTGCTGCAGCCGCTTCATCTCCGACTCGTGCTCGTCCTCCCCGTCCGCGTCCTCCGACGCAGCGGAGGCGAGCTGCGCCGCCGGATCCGCGACGAGGCGCATAAGCTGCGTCACGCACTGCACCTGTGTGCGGATGTCGAAACTTGTGAGAATCTCCTGGCACACCTCGCGCGCGCTGCGGAAGCCGAGAGCCTCCGTGTTATCGATCTGCTCCAGCTTGATCAGCAGCGACACCAACGGGATGTGCAGGTAGGTCACGCTGTCCTGGTCGTCCTTCACCGCAGTAGCGGTGGCCGTCCTTGCTGAAAACCCACTAGGCAGCTTCAAAAGCGGTGCTGTGGAGCGCAGCAGGCTGGCGATGGTGTCCACGTGGAAGTGCAGCTCCTCCCTGCGCCTCTCCGCTGTGTCCGTCGCATCCTGAGCCGTCTCATCCGCCTTCTTTGCGCCGGTTCGCGATGCTTCTTCGTCTCTTTCCCCCTCCTCCGCATCGACCAGCATGCGCGCCATCAACACCATCATCTCACGCAGAAGGCGGCTCTTGATGTGGTACGCGCCATCTGCCACCTTTTCTGACAGCAGCCGCGTCATTTCCGTGCAGACACGCACGAGACTTTCGACGTACCTCAGCACCGCCTCCACCTGCACCGACCCGCGAGCGCCAAGACGCACCTGCTGAACACGTGGCATGAGCGCCACATCATCGACGGCAGCCACGACGGCGGCCTGACGCAGCAGGCCCTCCATCTCCTGCAGCGGGTACAGCTCCAAGCACTGCTCTACCAGGTGGTAGGCGGACTCCTGATCCTCGTCATCATCCATGATGATGGTCGGCAACACCTGCAGGAGCATGCGCAGCAGTTCGAGGCATTCTTGACTAACAGAGCCCAGGCCCCACTTATCAGTGGCGACACCGGCACAAATGCGCGGCAGTCGCAACACGCGCACCGCGTCTGCGTACGTGAGCGGGTTCGAGACGACGGTGGCAGCTGGGGGGCGCCACCGCCCATTGCTGCTGTCGTCCTCCGCACTTGCGTTGTCTGCTGCCTCGGTGGCCTCCGCGTGTACGGGCCCAGCGTCCACCGGAGCGAGCATCTCCAGCATCTCCCGCACTCGCTGTAACACCAGTCCCGCCTCCGTCTTACCTGACCGCTCTGCCGCGGGCTCCTCCTCGTCCTGCTGCTGCGGCACCTTCTTCCCCTGACGGACTGCACTGCGCTTGGCGGCCGTGCTCACGTCCTCTTCAGCTGTCTTGTTCATGCTGTCCTCGGCAGCCCTCACAAGAGGGAGGAAGAAGTATTCATAGCCACCCAAAGTGGACATGCAGGCCACCGCCACATCCGTGCCAATGACATCCATGGCGTGCAGCACGGTCGAGCGCAGCTGCCGCGCCACCAGCTTTTGGTAGTCACCAGTGATGGCGCTGCTGTTCCTGATGTTGCTGTCGCTTGTCTTCTTTGCCTTGCTGGTGAAGATGGTGCTGTGGCCGTGGCGACGATCCTCGAGGCCCGCGCTCAGCCCAACCGTCAAGGCAGTGAGAGCGTGACGGTAGACGGGGCGGGCCCCACCGCCGTTGCGCACGTGCAGGTGCGGGTGCCGCAGCAGCACCTCCATCAGTCGAACCGACGCATTCGTCTGCACCTTCGCCTCCGTCGCCGCCTCCTCGCCCCACAGCTGCAAACGGCTGCACACGGCATCAACCAAGTCGGCGGTGTCGGCCGCGACGGTGTGCACGGACGACCGCGTCGCACGTGCCTTGGACGAAGTCTGCGACGCCGTGCCCGCGCTTGTTAAAATACCCTCGACGCGCGACAGCAGCTTTTGGGTCAAGCACATTTGCTGCGGTGACGCCGTGGCGGTAGAAGAGGAGGACGAAGCTTTGATCAGAGAGCCACGGCCCCGCTCCGCAGAGTTGCTGCCCGCTGCAAAGAAATACCGAATCACGCGGTGCGCCCATCCCGCAGGCACGACGTACGTTGCGGCATCGTCGTCCGTCGGCCCCGCGGAGGCACGGCGGAGTGTGAGCAGCCCACACAGCAGCTCCGTCGCGCCGGACGTCAGCTGGTACTGCCGCTCTCCCAACGTCATGCACTCAATAATGCAGCTGAGCGCCGTGACAGACGTGCCGTTTAGTTGTTGTTGGTTGCGCATAGCGGACGCGACGATGGCATAGGCGCACGAGGCGGCGTTTCGTTTTCCACCGGCAGAGACGACGGCGTCCTGCAGCGTGCGCAGCTGCTTCAGTCGTTGCGTCGTCGGCGCACGGAGCGGGAGAAAAAGGGCGAGGGCGAGGGCGGTGAGCGACGAAGACGGCATGGCTTTTTGATTGGGCAACTCAACCTTTGTGCTGTTGCCTTCATCCTCGTCGTCGTCCACGGCCTCGAAGACCGCACGAGCCACCAGCGCGTACCAGTCCACCCGACGCGCCAACGAGCCGCTGATGGTATTCTTGTCTACCTCCTCCTCCTCGGCTGCTGACACCGACACGGCCGCCACAGGTGCGTCGTTGATCAGGTCTAGATACGCCGTCGCCAACGTTTCCGGTTGCAGCGTGACGGGGGGCAGCGAGGCACCGGTGTAGGCCAGCAGCTTGCAGAGTCGCACGGTGAGCGCCGCGGAAGACGCCGTTGTCGCGTCTGGCGAGTTCAGCGCTTGGCGCAGGGCGGTGCGCAGCACGAGGGTGATCTTTTGAACGAGGGGGTGCCGGTGTAGTTCTTGGCGGGCCACAGCGGTCGCATCGACAGCGCCACGACCGGTCTGTGCAGCACGGCGGCTGCCCGTCTTCTCCAGCAAGGCGGCATACACCATACTCAGATACCCCTCTTGTTGCTGCACCTGCTCTTTTCTTGCCGCCTCACTGGGGGCGCCGTCTGCGCCGCACAAGAAGGTTGCGATGGCCGATGTAGCCTGGAGAGCAGATTTCGTCTCCTTTACAGGCAACAGGGTGGCCGCCAGTGCAACCACCACTTCCACGGTGTTCGCGCCGTCGCTCTCCGACGACTCCCGCACCGCCGTGCGCGCTGCTGCGAAGGCCTTCGCCAAGTGCTCCCGCGCCTCCGTACGGATCTCTTTTAGTAGGTCCTTGCACTGCATCAAACCCTTGAAGAGCACCGAAGAGGTACATGAGGCAGCGGCCTTGCCCTTTCCCTTCTCATCGTCGTCTGAGTCGGAGGCGGCGGGACGACCGCCGGTCTTCACTTGGTCGTCCTTTTCCTTTGTCTTCCCCGGGTTGCCGCGCTCACTTGCCGCCCTCAGCAGAGGAGCGAGACCGCTGGCATCCCCAAATCCAACTTCCAGCAGCCCGGCACCTTCACCAAACACCTCGGCCAGGGCGGACAGCCCTCCTGTGGCGGTGCGCTGCATGAGAAGCAGAGTGACATGGTACAGCACACAGGCACGAAAGTGACGCGTCGCGGCGCTCGGTGACGGAGCCGCCGTCCACGTCGTAACAGCAGGACGCAGAAGAAACTTCAGCAGAGGGAGCACAACACGCTGCAGCGCCTCAGCGCGGGCAGCAGGGTGGTCGGCGTGGCCCTCCAGTAACGACAGCACCATCAAGTAGAAGGCGCGAACGAGCTTGCACGCAGCACGGCAGGCGGCAGAGATCGTTTCGTCCTGCGCAAAGCGCGCAGTGAGTTGTTGCACCATGGTGGTCCCGGTAGCAACAAAAACCTCGGCGACGTTCGTCACGTGTTCGTACGAGACGACGTGTGCAAGCAGACCGACCAGCGGTTGGATTTCTCCCTGCGCCGCCGCAGAAGAGGAAACGTCCATCGTCGACGATGAACTGCCGTCGCCCATCCACTGCGCCACCGTCATGCCCTGCAGCGTCTTCGCTGCCAGCGCACGCACCTCGGCGACGGGGTGCAGAAGGCAGGCGAAGAGCGGCAGCGACTCCGTGGTGCCCGGCAGCGTGCTGCCCACCTCCACCAAGTTGTACCGCGTTCCCTGAAAATGACGGGCGATGAAGGCGGAGGCAGCGGCAGCGGTGTCGGCGTGCAGCAGCACCTCCGATAAGACCTCGTCAAACACGACGGCGTAGCGGCGCTCGAGCGCGGCAATGGCGCGGTGATACAACGTGGGGGTGTCGCCCTCCGACTTTTCCGCTGCCGCGCCGGCCTCTGCCGTCATGAGCACGCGGAGATAGCTCGCCACCATCACGTTCGACAGCGGCAGATCCTCCGCGGCGCTCGACAGGAACTCCACGACATCCGCAGGCAGGAGACGCACCTCCGAGGCACAGGTCAATCGATCTAGGGCGGTCTGCAGCAACGTGGCGAGGAGGACGCTGTGGCGAGGCGAGGTGGACGGCACCCCGGTGGGGCCAACCACCACCACTTCGGTCGACTCGGCGAACGGCAGCTGCGACGCAAGGGGGCGCCATGGCAGCGCCAGCAGCGACTGCAGCAGCGGCTGCACCGACACCTCCATCAACGCGCGGTGCTGCGTTGCAAAGACGATCTCCAAAAAGGCGAGAAGATCCCGCACGGGTAGAAACACCTCGGCGCCGCCGTTGCCGCTGCTGCTGCTGCTCGTGACGGCAAACGCAGCAGAGGTCAGGTAGCGGAAGATGGGCTTGAGAACGGTGATCAGCATGGAGCTGGAGAAGCGCACCTGGCCTGACCACGCCGCCAGCACCACCAGCGCCGTCGCCACCGAATCCTGCGAGACGCGGCCGCCACGTTGCAGCGCGTTGCCCCCGCGAAGCTGCTGGGCGCGCTTCGTCTCCTCTGTGCCAGCCTCCGCACCGGTGACGGCGCCGGACAGCAGCTCCAGCACCGAGGGCAGAAACGTGCGCCAGAGCGCCTCGCCGTCCTTGTGGGTTGCTAGCTGCGTCACGATGCTGGTGAAGAGCGCGTTGGCGGCGTGGTGACGGATCTCGTAGCGGAAGGGCATCGTCACCGTGAGGCAGACAAGACGGGCGGCCTTGCGGCTCTCCGCGCAGGCGAGCACCAAGTGCTCACGCAGCAGCGGTGCACCACGCAACTGGTTCGTGGACAGGAAATCGAAGCCGGTGTCTCGCAGGTCCAGCAGCAGCAGCACACGCGCAAAAAGGTTGTGGTCGTGGTAAGGCAGGAAGGCTCGCAAGACGGCGGAGACGTCGTAGATGTGGACTTCATACACGCGTACCAAGAACTCAAAGACCTGTTGGGCAGCAGTCAAGAAGAGGTGCGGACTCAGGAGAGTCAGAACATGCTCGAGACTCGCACGCAGCGCGGCATCTTCGCTCGACGTCAGCATCGCACGTTCTTGGCGAATTTTCTTCACGTCGAAGAGGTCCTGAATGAAGGGGTGGAAACGGTTGTCCATCGCCGTCAAGGTCTGCAGTCCATTGAGGGCCAGTTGATGGATCTGCTCACGCGAGAAGCTCTGCGCATCTTGGGTGCTAAACAGAAACGATTTAGCAAGACGGTTGCTGCTCTCGGCAGGGCGCTGCTGCAGCCTCTGCAGCTGCGAGGCTAGCTGGGAGGTCATTGTCAGTCAGGGGGTTGTGCAATTTGGCCCCTCCGTTGTTTTCCAGAACAATAACACCAATGTGCGTCAGTCAAACACGGTTTTCTTCTTCTGCCGTTGAATCTCAATCGTTAAAGGAACAGAGAAATGAAAATAGAAGAAGTGCGAGCGCGGCTAAATTGAACTGTACTGCGAGAAATCCAGTGGACTAGCAAAACGCCTTTTCGCTTCTTTGCTTTGCTACAGCTTTCCTTGATACGGCTTTGTCGCTTAGTTTCTTTTCAAATGAAAAAGAAGATCGGAGAAGAACACAGAGGTCTAGAACAGACCTGCTGACAACTCTCTGTACGGCTGCGCTTAATCTTGCCGGCTTTATTAAGGTGACTTAATCGAAAGAAAATAGTTTGGTTTTATTCTTCTTCTCCTGTAGTAGCACGAAGACGCGTCAGGCGGTGAAGAAAGCATTCAAAAAAACAGATAACGAGAGAAAGGAAGAGTAAATGGAAGTACTAAGAGTGAACGCGGTTGGTTCTGCTGAGACATTCAAAATGCATCTTTCTACTGGTGCTACTTGTGTTTGTATACGATCATAAGATAATCATAAAAACTGATTCTGCACCAAACGGCTTTCCCTGTCTTCATCGCAGTTGAAGAGAGATTGAGTAACAAGAAAAAGAGAAGTGCACGAAGAAGCGGAATTACACTATTTCTTTTTTATTATTACGCAGCACGACATCACGGAGTGGGTGCGCAGAGTAGAAGAAAAAGCTGACCTCTCCCTATCTCCTTCATTTCGTTGAATAGATCCTCGAACGTACGAATAACGCCACAGATTTTGATTGTCGTTGATGTTGTTGTTTTTCCTGTCACCGTGTGCGGACTTTTGAGATGCAATAGTTAAGTACGAAGCGAGAATTTAAAAAAAAAAATATCTTTGACCATCAGCGCCACTCTTGTCGCATCCTACTCTGTATGACGTCGACGACGACGACCAACGTTGCCGTCTGGGGCCGTTGCGTCATCGCCGCGATCGTCGTCGTCGTTAGAATCGCGTCGGCGGCGGCGGGCCGGTCCGGCGTCGGGCTCCCGTGCAAACGCCGCCCTCATGCTGTCGCTGCTGCTGTGGCGGCCTCGCTTTCCTCCGCCTTGCCCGCGCGCCGCAGCAGCACCCACCGCCGCCGTCGAGCGCATCACGGCTTTTGCCGCACCGTTCGAGTTGCCTAAGGTCGATTTCGCGATTTCCACTCGACTCAGCGCACCGACGGAGCAGGCGGAGAAGACGCGCTCACTAGGGCTAAAGAAGTGGATGCGGTAGTGAAACGCAGGCGAAGTGGCGCCTTTGGTGCCGACCTGATACACAGCGGTGGAGGTGCTACCCATGTTGGCGTCTGACCCACCATTACTATCCCCCTGGAAGGGGTTGATTAAAAACTGGTAGGTGCGGTGTTGCTCGCCTGTCGCCGTTGTCGTCAGGAGCGGAGATCCGGGAAAAGAAGCCGGCGTTGTGCCCATTTCAAAGCCGCCAGACGGAGATGCGCTGCTGCCGCCGCCCATGTGGGGCGAGGAGTGCATTGGGGTAAGAACAGCCACAGGGCTGCGGTGTGCGTTGGAGCGGCGCTCCAGTCCGAACCCGTCGAAGAGGGAGCCGCCAAAGGAGACGCAGTGCTTCAATAATTCACTTTCCATGTCGTAAATACCGACTTCCATCCGTTGGAGGGCGGCCTCGACACTCTCACGTCGCTGCATAATGTGAGTCAGCTGATTTTCCACCGCGGGGGGCAGGTACACCGCCGCCTCCTGGCGCAGCAACTCATCGGAGCTCACCGCCTTGCTGCTGCCATGTTCACGGCGACTCATTAGGGCGAACGAAGCTGCGTGGCCGTTTGATTACTAGAACAGTGAAGAAGGAAATGAACCGCGAAACAAATTTTTAGATTGATCCACAATTGCAGAAGAAAGCGAGTTTATTCAATTACCTTTTTCCTTTCCTCCGTCGAAAGGAACACGTGCTGGCACACGAGTGCGAAGAAGCGGAACAACAAAAACCAAGGAGAGAACACGTATACAGCGCGCCACAGAAAGAAAAGATGCAAATATCTGCGTGTGTCGCGGAATAGCCACCTCTGTATGGCGAAAAGCGTATTTTTTATCTTCAACAGTATGATACCGTCGGTTAAAAGAGAGGAGACGCTGCCTCTCAGCCGCCTTGCCGTCTCCTCAAAGCGCAGAACACCCACCGTTGGGATACTCCGCGTCTCTTCTTCTACGCTGAGGGTTGGAAAAAACATAAAAGCCGGCGCTTGTAGAGACACACGCACAGCATGATCAGAAGGGCGAACGTGTGTTGATGATGATGTTCAACGCAACGGAGAATCACAAGGTAAAAAGAAAGAATGCCGAATTAATTTGCTAAGACAACGACGCCCATGGGAGGATGGTGTGCGTCAAGTGGCATAGCCAGATTTTTCTTTTTTTTTAAGGAGGCATATTGCTTCCTTTCCATTCAACACTTTCTTTTCCTCTTTGTTAACGCAAGTTCGCTTTCGCTGCTGTTGTGGTTGCCATTCCAGTGAGCAAACTTTTTCAAATTTTCTGTTTACGGTAGATAGAGAAGCGGCGGAAGATAAATCCTCGTAGGCCGCCCTTACTGTGTAATATAGCCGTTGACAGACCGCTTCTGTTCTTCTTTGGTTTTCAGTTGCCGGGGTGACATCAACACACACAAGCAGACGAACCTTTGTGAGTTGGACTTTTGCCTGCACGTTGCGGGTAATACTCGTTCGGAAAATAGTGAAAAAAAAAAAAGAGATGGCCGCAAAGCTCCCTCTTAAATAATAATAATAGTATTAGTCGCACCTTGAGTTGCATTAACAAAAGGGAGTGCAGCGTTTCCACGTGCGCATGAAGAGAATAAGACACATTTTTAGTGGAGCACACGCCGCAAGCTATCTGGAAGCTCGCCGTGTGCACCACGTCAGTTGCTGATCTTTTGCTTTTTATGAAACAGCAACTAAAAAAAGGACGAAAAAAAGGGACACCTATCACTCTCTTCGCAAAAGCGTTGAAAGGAAGCAGCCGCATGAGGCACCGCCTGCGTTGCCTTTTACAACGCTAATAAGCGTCTGCGTTGCGCTACAAAATGTGCGCTGCACGTGACGTAATAATAGCAACAATAATAATAATAGTACCAACAACGGAGAAGTTTGAAATTGTGATGTCGGTGGAGACTGGCAAAGAAGAAAGATACCGTGAATCTTCTCCATTTTCTGTTGTGTTGTGCTTTCTCTTAACGAGACGGCTCGGGGAGAACCATTGGTGCTCTCTGCCTAAGCATGAGTGCGATCCCCATGAGTGCAACGGATGCCCAACTTTGCCGTCGCGTTCTTCTTGACACAGAACAAAAGTAAAAGTGAATGTCCACCTACGCAGACGGGCTGTCTTCCATCAAATCCGCAAAGTCGTTGGCAAGTTTCACCAGCTCCTCCTGCTCTGTCAAGCCTTCCACGAAGCGAGACGGAATGCCAGAGAAACCGACCTGCGCTCCCACTAGAGCACCCGTCAGCATGGCACGTGCACAGTTCTGTCCGCCACCGTTCACCGCGTGCAGCACGGCCGACTCGAAATCGTTGTTAAAGCGCGCAGAGAGGTAGTAAGCTGCTGGCAGGACGTGGTAGACTGCGCACGGCATGCCGTACACGAGAGACACCTTGGAGGCGGGTTCGATGCGGATGTTCGACGAGTCGGCGGCTGCGGCGGCGCACGTTGACGGAGTAATGAGCCCATCCGGCGAGGAGAACTTACCGGCACGCGGGGGATCCGCGGAGCCCTTCGCTGGGGGATGCAGCTTGCCGGAGGTGACGGAGTGAAAAGGCAAGGCGCCGGAGTTCACCAGCTCAAACAGACGGTCGGTGATGCTCACATCCAACGGTTTCCCCTGCACAAGGAGCGCCAAAACAGCGTTGTAGGCCACCGTCAAACTCACCACAAGCTCGTCGTTTTGGGTGAGATTGGTGTTGCTGGTCACGTCTTCCGCGAGAGAGCGGAGGTCGTCGGCGTGCAGGACGCCCAAAGCGAGAACGCGTTCAATAGCTTCCGTCGTGTCAGCGTTGCTTCCCGTTTCGGACCACGGAATTCCAGCTTTGCGCTGCCGATACACCGCGCGAATCGACTGGCTGGTAGAGCCGCCAGGGCCCGCCATCGGCTCGCCGTTCATCTTAGGAAATAGTTCGTTGTCCAGCTTTTGACAAAAGGCGGCCTCGTTGTATCCTTTGCTCTCCACCACCGCCTGCATCGTGAGCTTCAAAATGTAGCCAGCCTGGGTCAGATCGCCAGCCTTGAGTGCATCGTGGTAACGTCCAGCAACTGGATTGGTGTAGCCGCTCACCCAATCCCCGTGATCCTTGTGCATTTCTTCCAGGTTATAGTACCAGTGCACACCCATGCCAAGTGCGTCTCCGATGAAGGCACCCATGAGCGCACCCACCGCGCGATCGTGCCGCGTCAAGCTCGGCATTGTTAACGATAGCAAATATATAAAAGAAAATCTTGCGATCGTGGAGAACAGCCACTTCAATAGTTTACGTCTGTCTGTGGGCGCTTGACGTTTTGTTGCAGCAGATTTAATGTTCTTTCGTGGGTGTTTGTTCGTTCGTTAGGCGGCGAGTCAGTAGAGGCGAGGGAGTATAAGCATTGAGAGACACCACTTCTCATCAGACGCAACATCGACCGTGCACGTCAATTGGAATTACACGACGTGGTTCTTTCCTACAACGGAGGTCGTGAAATAGCGGCGGCTGAGCCAGAGCCTTTTCCGAATCACTCGCATTGACGCAGAAGGAGCGTAACACACCACACACCTCCCCCGTCGACCACCACGAAGCAGTCGCGAAAGACGTAGTGACATAGTTGATCAAATTGAAAAGCATGACAATCAGTTCCACTTCTCTACAGCCGGTGCCGTCTTCACTCCCTCTGTCGCCGACACGAGAGGATTAACATAGCGCGTTCAGCAGCGCGCAACTCTTGCGTAGCTTCGGCACCAGAGCAGCACAGGTGTCACGCGTGCACTGGTTTCCTTGACTTCGCGTAGTACGTCCCTCGCCACGCACATTCCACGTGCGCAGCTCCGTGCAGCCCAGCACGGCCACTACCTCGGAGGCATCAGACTCGGCCCACGCACAGCGCGCAGACCACGGCGAGAGTTTGACCTCACCACGTGCAGCGCACGCTCAAGAAAGGTACACTCAGATTCTGCAGAATCATCACGCGACTCCGTTGCGCACGCCACACCCAGGCGCACCCCCGCCAATGCAGTATTCAACCACAGCGTGCGATGGCTCTTCGGAACTACCAGAAGGTCGAACCACGGCATTGAATCCCACCGGGGGGACAGCCACGTACACCTCGGATTGTCCCGTTCTCCTCCGCAGTCACGCACTATCTCACACACCTCAGGATCCCGGTACACATCTACACGCAATACAGGGAGCAATAGTGCGTTGCAGGCTCGCGCGCACGCCGCAGCGGTCCACAGGCTCTCGCGACACGTCAAGGCCGTCGGCGCAACCAAATGAAGTGCGCATGGCTGGTGCGTACGCTGAACACCCACCATCGAGACTCGACACACACACAGACACACACCACGGCACGCTCCGCACACCCAGCAGCGCGCAACTCTTGCGTAGCTTCGGCACCAGAGCAGCACAGGTGTCACGCGTGCACTGATTTCCTTGACTTCGCGTAGTGCGTTTTTGACTCTACATGCGGGTTCTATTATCGAATGCAGCTTTCAGTTCTTATGAAGTCTCGTGCACGTCGATAATAATATGTCACCCAGAACAGTTTTATTGGGGGTGTTTTTTTTCTTCACGCCGCGCTCCACTTCGATTGCGGGCTCGTACGAAAAGAACAAATACAAATATACATCAGTTGAGAGGACAAGTTTTGCGTGTGAAAAGAGCCAAAGCAATAATATGAAAGGTGAGGTATTGAACTGTGATGAGAAGTGAAAGAAGATGCGGCAGCGATGGAAGGAAAAGTGGGAATGCAAGGTCGCCTCGACATGAGTAGAGAAGCACCGTGTAAGGAGCCGCTGACTTACAGAAAGCCCAACGAAAAAGTAGTACGTCTTCAGAACGATGGATGATTCTTAAGCAGTTTTCTTCTGCGTGCTGACCTTCTAGAAGATTTACGCATTGCGTGAAAGGTAGAGATGTAGACCTTTTTCGAAGCTCTACGCATCTGATAGTTGTGATTAGGACAGATGCAACGTCAAAGAAGTACCAGAAAAAAAAAGGAAGTGCTATAATACATAAAACATTAACGACACTCTTCCATCTCAGCGACCGTTGTGCACATCAAGAAAGAAAGATAGTCATCGTGCGAAGCGTAAAGCTTCCAACAAAAGGGGGAGAAAAGGGAAAAAAAAAGAATAAGATAGTACCGCCAAGAGCACCACAGGTAATTAGAGCTCATCTCCGTACACTTTAGTTGAGATGCCCCTTCGGTAGTTCTTTCTCCCACTGGTGTTCGTACGCATGCAACAGCTCTGTCCGCTTCTGTGCTTTAGCCTCCTCGGAGTCCTCGTTCTCCTCAATTTTCCTCAACTCTGCCGCAACAGCGGCGGTGTCTGCCTGGGCATCCAGCACTGCCTTACGTGACGCATCCATCGTCTTTCTCAGTGCGTTAATATGGAAGATGTCGCCGTCGCTGTCTTCCAGAGCCATCAGGTAATGATCCTTGCACCCCTCTGCCTTGTTACACAGATGCTGTTGCCTGTGCTGTGCGAGAGACATGATTTGATCTGCAGCGTTATCGATAACTTCAACGTGCTCGGTTGTTTCAGGCGACGCAAGGTGATGCACAGACTCGATAGAGGCGCCTCGTGGGGCAGGTCGCGTCGAATTCGATACGCGTGGTGGTGGCAAAGGCGACAGCGAAGTGGACTCCTTTTTCTTCTCCGCCTGCTGTTTGCGAACCCACTCCACCATGTATTGGAGGATATCCTCTGGTCTATCGCACATGGTGTCCGTGACGAAATCTGTGAGTACTTCCTGCAGTGTGGCACGCAGCTCGTCTTCATTGTGAGCATCGTGCTTCTGTGCCGTCGATGAGCTCGCGTGACGGAACGCGGAAGGCTGCGACGCCTGCGGCTTGGAAGTCAGAGACATTGTCTGCATTAAGAAGGGCTTGAGTATTACAAACTGATGGCAACCCTGTTTAGCCAATGTGCAACAATGAAACTAAGCGAGAGATAATAAGGGGATAGCGCTGAAAGGTAAGTTGAAATGTCAGAAAACGGCTCTAGAGTTGAAAGACACACAGAGCACACTTTTCCTAATAGCATAAAGGCGACCGCGTTGCAACGAAGCTGAAACAGCAGTCGACACCATTTTGTTTTGCTTCTCTTTCCGTTTGTGGCGTTTCCGGTTTAACTTGAAGGAAAATACGAGCAGACGCAATAGCAGCTGGCAAAACAGGGGAAACAAAAGAAAAGATACTATTGTCATTCCTACGGCCCATGACCGTCAGAACCACTCAAGTGTACAAGACAGCAGGGAGAATGCGCGCAGGGAGCGAAGAATGGTCGCCCGTCCGCCGCACAAAAGCCGGTGAAGGCCGGGAGAGTGTAGACAGCCTTCTCATCCGCTTTATTCACCGGTGCAGAATAGCAACGCTCTGGGCACGAGTGCGCTCGAGGAGATCGAGGTTGAAACCACTCTGCGCCTAAGTGGGAAGAGTTCGACGGTGTGTTTCCCATCCCTGAGCTCTGTTGAGTGGCGGAATGCAACTCAGCGCATTCTGCCGTGTTACCAGGCAACGGAGACAAACGCGTATCTGCCTCAGGGCTTTCATCCCTGGCTGTCCACTCGCTGCTTTCCGACGGTACAGACACCAACGCCGCATCGCGTTCAGGCGAAAACCTCAGCAGCTTCCAGTACGGGGACGCAGCGTCAAGAACCCGCCTCTCTCTCAAGCAGATAGGCCGTCCTGCAGCTGTGGTAAAAAAAGTCGGTACGTACAAGGTGACAAGACGTGAGGCGCCAGTTGGGCCTCGATCTTTCTTTACAGATGCAGCAGGACTTATGGCGCCTACACCAGAGAAAGGGACGGTGCTGCTTCGAGGCCGGTACTGTTCATCTTCGCGGTCGTCTAAGTTCGCGCTGTGCGACTCCATCGCGCCGCATTTCACTTCACTCACTCGACCACTGCCGGCGCTTTCGTCCTCCAATTCTGATGCTTCGACTGCAGGAGAGCAAGAGAGTCTTTTTTGTTCCTGCTTTCCAAGAAAGATGTTGCTGCCGGTGTGCGAGATGCATTCCGTTGGTGTTTCGGCAGTTTCACAAGAGAGGCAGCGCGATCGCTTTCGCTGCTCAACAAGTGCGGCATTGTGGTCACCCTTCGGCACGGTATCGGTTACGCCTCCGACGGCAGCAGCGCAGGTGGGAACCCCACTACCGACGACTGAACTTATCGCGCCAGCTTCGACGTCATCGTACTTTTTCGACATCGCGTGATGTTGGTTCTTTCGGTGAATGAACCGGTTTTTGTGTGGTGGAACTACTGCGGATTAGAATGCAAACGTTGCAGGAAAAAGAGACGTCTTTTTGGTGCTTTTAGGGTATTATGAAGCTTGAAGATTGAACGAATGTGTCAGCTACATCTAACGCAAAAGGAAAAGAAAGAGTCGTGAAGGATGAGAAAAGCGAGCAGCGAGAATAGATGCAGCAAAACAGGAGACGCTAAACAAAAAAAAAGATACAGATGCTTATGCCATTAAACTCTTCATAGCACACGACAACAAAGAAGGAAGGGGGGCATTTGTAAGGGCTGATCGAACGCAATAGTTTACCCTCAATTCAAACCCGGTTCGATGCCAACGCGCATCAGTATCATTTTCCTGGTCGGGATAGCTTTTCTTTTCTCGTGCATTTGTTATCGTTGTTGTTTTGACACATTGAAACAACAGTGGTAGTATTACCCAACGCATCCACAAAGTCAGATTGCTGTCCCAAATTGTGTACACTCGAGAGGAACCAGTGAGTTCACGAACAGCAACTGAAATAACTCACTTGTGAGAAAACGAGAAGATGTTACGCGTGAACACACGGGTCTTGTCTCATTTAAAATACGGGAATAAGAAGGATAGGAAGTCAAGAGTCGAAGTGATTGCACGGCATTTAGGGAAATACATAACTAGCGAGTACCTGGCATCAATGTCCCCATCAAGGCTACTCATTGTTTCTTCACTATCTAGTATCTGCCCCAATTCCGTTCTTCTTTATCTGTCGTGTTTGTCGTCGGACTTTTTCTCAGAGAGTATCGCATTACGAAGTGCAAGGAAAACAAAACTCATGGATCTTTTTAAGGATCCCATGTGTCCCTGTCTCCCCTTCGCAAGTTATACCCCTTCGCCAAAGCCGTCGTGGGAATGTCGCGTTCGCGTGAGGGAAAATCCGCGACGTTGTCCTCAGACCGAATGTACCGGAAAACCACGTGTATCCCCTCGTCGCGGAGAAGTTGGTCCACCTGCTGTAGCTCGGCCGCAAGCGCTCCCGATTTCGAAATTCCGCGTCGCACCGCCCCCAGAACTGATGTGTTGTCGATCAATACAAACAATCGTCTCGGTAGGCGCTCTCGAAAAGCCAGCAGCCCCAGGTGCACCGCACGCGCCTCAGCCTGCATGATCATCCGCGGTGAAGAATCCCACCGAGCCCCCGTGATGAATACTGGACCGGCGCCCAGAAAAAGAACCGCCCCCCAACCCTGGAGCGAAGCATCCGTCACCAATGTGGCTGTCGGCTCACCCCCCGGCCGATGCACGAGACGCGCCTCGTTTCGGTGCAAGACCTCCAACAAATCAGACGCGAAAACCCCGGATGTAGGGCGTCATGGTGATCTTGCTCCTGGTGGTGATCTTACCTCTATTGAGGGAGCTCAGCTGGCGTCTCACAAACTTCAGAAACATGTAGTTACGAAACAGGCGGACGCCCAGCACCGCCGCGCCATAGATGGCGCGGGATGTAAAGACCTCCAAATCACCCACCGTCATCTCCTCGAAAGGAGGGGTCTCCCGCAGATGGCGCCATGTCTTTTCACCTAAACGTACAGTATGAGTTGCGTGATCAAAAAACACCCCGACGAATGTATATGACGCAACCGCAACCTCCGACTCACCAATCGTGACGCTGGCGTCCCGCGCGAACTGTGTCACACGCCGCGTCCAGGCCTCCACGGCCTTCAGGGGACCAGCAATTCTCACATTGTCTATCCAGACGTGGATTTTCAATGCCGTTGGGCAGGCGAAGGCGGCATCGACCACAGTGGGTACTCCTGCCAACGCCGACGTTAACAACTGCATAAGCTCCGGACTCGCAGCATACCCCATCGGCAGCCGCGCCAGCTCAACGAGGGTGCCGTCGTCGAGGCGGCAACGAAAAGCCGAACGCGCCTCCTCAGGCAGCGGTACCTGGTAAAACGAGGCTTTCAGGTCCAAATTGGATGCGCCTTCCTCCCACACAACGTCGAGGTATGCGGAAATGTGACCCAACGGCACGTCAGCCTCGTAGGAGTCCTCCAGGTTCTTCTCTTTCGGCCACGCGATAAACCTCCTACGTAGCCCCGAAGGTTTCTCCTCCACAACCGAGAAAGGAACGAACCAACCCCGCGTAGGTCTCGGAGACGCCGGCACCAAGACGCCTGCCGACATGAGGACTCGGGCATCACCTTCAAAAATCGTCCTGAGCGGTGACGTTCCTGGATCGAGCTGTTCCGGCGATGACAGTAAACGCCATAACTCGTCAAACCGCGCCTTGGCCGACGCCTTCATGCGTGACCGCAAGATTTCGACGTTCAGCGGCTGCACGTCCACGTTCTGGAGGGGGAGAGAACGTTGCTCCTCCTCACTCGCAACACGACTTTTGTTGGCTCGGCGGAGGACCGTGTGCCCTCCAAAAGCAACGCGCCGCTCTGGTTCCATCCAAGGTGCCTGACTCACTTCCGAAAAACCAAACGGTCGAGTAAACCCGGCAGCACGTGAGAATTCGTGAGTTCCGTGGTTTTTGGGCCCATGTAGCGAACCGTCGTCGTCGGTATATCCAGAGGGTCTGCGTGCTTCGCGAGAGCCACCACCGAGCGTGGGGGAAGTGCGTGCTCTTGGGCCAGCTGTGCCGCTGACTGAAGAGCTCCTCGCTTGATGGAGTGTGCTGAGTATCCGCGCTCGCGCAGACGCTGTGCGATTTGTGTCGTCGTGAGCCCAGTCAGCTTGCCGCTCTCCCCGACCTGAGCCTTCAACTTTCGCAGCTCCTGGGCCATGGGACCCTGCAACTTCACATACCGATGTGCGCGGTATGGATTGATCTTTGCCGTTTTTGGAATGGCTGCCCAGTCCAAAATCACCGACCCGTCCGGTTGTGGCAGCAGGTTCTCCCCTCGGAGATCCTTCACCTCCCCCCACCGCGACGCGGTCATCCATGCCAACTGCATCACAGTGGCGTCGGCCCACGAAGGGGCCCCTTCCACCAGGGCCCGCATGTCCGCTGGTGTGATCGGTGCTGCCTGACGCACCTCCTCCTTTGCCTCGCGCTTCCGGCATCCCGCCAGGTACGCGTCTACCACCGCTATCTCCCTCGTGAGCAGGGACTTCAGTGTGGTGCCGTACTGCACCTTGGTAGAGTACTTGAGCTCCTTCGACTCCAGGAAAACCGGCACCGCGTCGAGGTTGAGCGGCAGTCCGGCTTCGAGGCAAAACGACTGAAAGCCTCTGAGCAGTGATGTGCGCTGCTCCCATGTGGTCGGCTCGTACATGTCTGCCGCCACTTCGTTGACCTGGCTCCTCAGAGCCGACAGGTGAGGGGGCACCGCCTCCAACCCGTCCCAAAACATTCGATGATCGTTTACCGACGTTCCCGGCGGTAGTGACGAGTGCGGCCGGCTTGCCACCCCTCCGAAATTTGTGTGCGGCACCAACTTTGCAATCTCCACCAATGTCGGTCGCCGAACCTGTGGTCGACTCACCTTCTCCAAGCTCGCGGGGTCCGTCGACCAGTTTCCTACCTCCGCCGCTGCCTTTCGCGGGGCCAGAAGACCCTTTCGTCTTGTAGGCGTCCTTCTTGCCAGACAAACGTAGAACTTTGAGGAGCGGGTCGAAATTGTACGAGTTCTCCTCGCACGCCTGCAGAAACTCAGTCTCCGTCATCTTGTACGAGGATCCATTGACCCTGTAAAACAACGTCAAACCCATCCTGCGCCCAGTGCCCTGGTGGTCAGCCCAATACCGCGGGTCGGCCTCCGCCGCCAACAGCCACCGCAGGACCGCCTGGAAGGCATCATTCACTGGCGCAGTGCGGGGTGCCTCGCCGCGAAGAAAAATGTGCTTCAGCTGCTTCTCAATCTCGTAGGGAGTCTTCCCACGGAACCAAGGACGCCA